AGGATGAACCCATATTGAATTGAACCTATATTAAAAGAACAGTAAGAAATCATTATGACATGGACACCCTATTGAAGAATCCTAAGACAGAGAAATGCTTAGAGAAAATCAGGACTTGGAAACTACCCCTCCCATTCCAAATGCCCAAAGTTTGGGTGATGCTAGTTAGAAATTATACCTCCAGTTGCCGTGTGAAAATGCAAGTGATGACCCCTGACTGTTGTACATGTGTACCTCTTGTACACCCAGATGATAGAGGTGGTCTGGCCAAGATGGATCAGGTGCAGGTAAAGGCTCCCAAGGAACTATTAGTGTCTTCTCAGTTTGGGGAGGGTTTAGCTGAGCCTCTCCCAAGAGGAGTGGGGAGGAATTGGCAATGAGGAGAGTCAGTTCTGTGTCTGGAGGGCTTGCTCACTCAGGAGCATGAGCATGCCATGCATCCTACAGAGCTGGTGAGCACCAGGGTTGATCTTTGAGTCCTGAGAGATGGTACGGCTTGCACATCCCAGAGCCATGATTACCCCAAAGGTCGGGCTTTATCTTTAGACCTAGTGGGCCATGGCTAGTCAGTCTGTGGAATGAGGACTTATTTGGGGGAGAAAGTAAAACTTGTTGGTAATTGTGGACCTCACTACCCACATGCTCCTGACCAGAAAACCAGTCAAGCCATTTCTCCTGTCTCACAGGTGGGGACACATTTTAGGTGTTGCCTTTTGGACCTTCATCTGCATATTCTTTTGCCTCTTCTCCTTTTCCTCCACTTTGTTTGGCCACATATTTAAAATATGTTTTTTAAAATTTATTTTTATTTTTATTTTAAGATACTATTTATTTATTTGACAGAGAGAGACACAGCGAGAGAGGAAACACAAGCAGGGGGAGTGGGAGAGGGAGGAGCAGGCTTCCCACAGAGCAGGGAGCCCCATCCCAGGACCCTGGGATCATGACCTGAGCTGAAGGCAGATGCTTAACGGCTGAGCCACCCAGGTACCCCTTAAAATATGTTTTGAAAATAAGTTTGTTTACCTTTTTTAGACAGGTAATGTCACATGTTTTAAATTTTAAAGGGTATAAGAGTGATATAAAAGGATACAGAGTGACAGTTTCCCTCCTATCTAGGGGTGGTACGTGTTTACAACTTGCTTTCAAAAAATGTGGTCTCATGTAACAATGTGTGTCAACTATACTTCAATTAAAAAAAATTATAAAAAGGAAAAAAAAGCAGCCTGTTTCTCCAGCAGGATAGCTTGGGCTTCTCTGTGGGGAGTTTGGACCCTGAGAGTGAAAGCAAAAGCAGAAACTGCCAGGCCTCTTAAGGTTTGGGCTTGGAAGTCCAGATTTAAGGGGTGAGGTGAGAGACTCCACCTCTTGGTGGAAGGAATGACAAAATCACATTGCAATAGGGAGGCATGATTCAGTGGAGGGCACACTGCATAAATCAGACGGCACCAGGTGGCCCTGTTGCCACAGCCCAGGGGCACAGGCCTGCTAAAGGACCGAGACCTCATCATAGGATTGCAGAATGGATTAGAGAATGCCTGCCCTCCCATCAACCGTACCACCACATCAACAGGGCTCCTGTATAATAATGTAGATTACAGCTGACAGAACTATAATGATCAGGCTCTTTTTAAGAAGCAGTTTCTAGGGAAACCCAGATATAACAGAGGAGACAAAAACAAGGACACTAGAGGAAATGGAGGTCTCTGACATGTACAGCTATGGCAAACAGTAAACACAGCCTAACTGCTGGCCAGAAAAACACAAAACTTCACACTGAGGCCTCTTTACCTTAGTTCCTTTTACCCAGTAAAATAAGTTTGTTTAATGTATGGGTTTTAAGCAAAATTTACAGGCATACAGGCAGAGATTTTGGAATTATGACAGTGGGATCTTCAAAGTAACTTTAACGAGCTAAGGGCTCTAATGGAAAAAGTGGACAATAAACAAGAACTTCTCTCTGTGTCCTCGCAAGATAGAAGGACAAGGGAGCTCTCCTGTTCTCTTCTTATGAGGGCACTAATCCCATTCATGAGGGCTCCACTCTCATGACCTAATCACCTCCCCAAAGCCCCGCCTCTAAATACTATCACACTGAGGGGTATGTTTTAACATATGAATTTTGGGAAGACACAAATATTCAGTCTATAGCAGATGGTGAAAAGATCAGTGGTTGCCAGGGTTTTGGGGGAGAAGTGTAGAGGTGAAGCATAGGGAATTATTTGAGTGGTCAAATTATTCTGTATGAAACTGAAAGGGTAGATACATGCTTTTATGCATTTGTGAAAACCTGTAGAACTGTACAATGCTGAGTGAAACTTGATGTATATTGTGGACTTTAATTAATAACAATTTATCAATCTTATTTCCATGATTTGAATTTTGAGAGTCCTTTTTCTTTTTGCATTTTTTATTATGTTAATCACCATACATTACATCATTAGTTTTTGATGTAGTGTTCCATGATTCATTGTTTGCATATAACACCCAGTGCTCCATTCAATACGTGCCCTCCTTAATACCCATCACCAGGCTAACCCATCCCCTCACCCCCCTCCCCTCTAGAACCCTCAGTTTGTTTCTGAGTCCATAGTCTCTCATGGTTCATGAGAGTACTTTATATATTTTATATACAAGTGTTTTGTCAGATATGTGGTTTGAAATTATTCCCAATATTCCACTGTAGGGATATAACCCTAATGTATTACACTAATGCAAGATGTTAACGATAGGGCAAATTCTGTATTGGGTGTTGGGGTATGATGGGTACATGGAACAATATGTACTATCTGCTTAATTATTCTGTAAAATTAAAACTGTACTAACAATAAAGTCTATTAATTATTTTTGAAAGTCTGAGTCTCATTTTTCTCATTTTACGAGGAGAGAGGAGTAAGTTACTTCTTATATTTTTTCCATCTTTAACATTTAGGATTTCCCCCTTCTAAATATTTATTTTTTGAAGCAGTTTTAGATTCACAGCAAAATAGAGCAGGAGTACAGAGAGTTCCAGTATACCTCCTCTACCCACAGAAGCACAAGTTCCCTCACTAATCAATACCCACCATGATACATTTGTTATAATTGATAAACTTACACTGATACATTCTTATCCCCCAAAGTCCATAGTTTACACCAGGGTTCACTCCTGGTATTGTACATTCTATAGGTTTGACAAATGGATGATTACATGTATTCATCCCTAGAACATCATACAGAATAGTTTCACTACCCCAAAAGTCCTCTATGCTCCACCAATTTGTCCCTCCTTCTCCTTAACCCAAGGGACATCTTTGTGGAATAGTTCTGCATCTTGATTTTGGTAATTACACAAATCTACATTTGATAAAATGACAAAACTGTACACACAGATTGTATCCATGAATATTTTCTGGTTTTGATATTGTGCTCCTAGTTATCTAAGATATAATCGTTGGGGGTACCTGGGTAAAAGGTAAACGGGACGTCACTGCACTATCTTTGCAACTTGTGATTCTGTAATTATTTCAAAATAAAAAAATAGAAATTCTGGTTTGTTCAAATAAAACAGCACTGAATTTTCTGAGAAAGGTTTGGAAAAAGAGAAACCCAACTTTCTTAGAAGCTTTGCGGTATCATGTAGTTGTATGTTATCACGAACCAAACGTTGTTCATAGCAGAAGACCAAGTTAAAACAAAAAAAGTGAAAACCCAACTCCATAATGTGGTGAATTAAAAAACAGCTCCTTTTTTTACAGAAGCATCACTTGAAGTGATTTAGAGTAGAAAACACACAATGGAAAGCTACTAGCACAAAAGCTCCCTCAAGAAATGAATTTTAAAACACTCATTTCCATTCCATATTTTAACTCCTTATGTTCCAGCAAAGAACAGAAAACCTAATAGCTACAGTTCTCCAGCACAGTGCAGACATACAGCTACTCGATAAGAAAGGTGTTTTTAGTCCTTGTTCTGGCATTCTCAGGGGAAGGACTGTGTATGTCATATAACCAAAAAGTCAGTCAAACTTTTACACTTTTTAAGTACTTTCAATGTATTTTTGGATTTTAGTTCACTTTGACTTAGTTAAAATATATACTCCAAAGAGGTATTCATTTGTGGGTGGGTAAAATGATCTGCCCTGTGTCACATATTCTAAAACAATTTTGCATAGTATATTTGCCAAAAAAAAAAATCAAGGACAAAGTCTTTTGCACAGTTGTCGCTGCCAGTATAAGCTAAAATCGTCTCATAAAAATTTTTTTAAAAAAGATTTATTTATTTGTCAGAGAGAGAGAGCACAAGCAGGGGGAGCAGCAGAGGGGGGAGCAGCAGAGGGAGAGGGAGAAGCAGGCTCCTCACTGAGCAAGGAGCCCGATGGGGGACTCGATCCCAGGACGCTGGGATCATGATCTGAGCCGAAGGCAGACGCTTAACGACTAAATCACCCAGGTGCCCTCATCTCATAAAATTTAGTCTCCCTTTCCCCACGCTCCCAGGAACGGTAGTTATAAAAATTTAGGGGCTAAGATAAAGTCCAAGATGCTCAGAACATTAAGCAGTTTTGTCCCCTTGTGCAGCAAAGCTTTTAACGTAAGGGTTTAAGGAAGTACACTCCGAAGTGCCCCACAGTCCAAGTCGGAAAAGAGGCTGAAACCCGTATGCGGCTTTATCACCTGGTACGGTTTTTCGGTCTCAGCGGTCAGTCCTATTCCCACTCCCTAGACTTTAAAGGCGCCGACCTCCCCAACTACACTACACAGCGCGACCAAAGACGGAAGTGGGCCTTCCTCCGATACAAGATGGCGACCATGCGACGCTCTAGGCTGCCCCGACCGCGACTCTGTAGCCGGAAGTCCTCTGGCCCTCGCCATTAGGAAGCGGAAGTAAAAGGCTGTAGGCAGCGGGGCTCTTGCTCTGCGAGACCGGCTTGTGAGGGGAGCCGCGGGAAAGGCGCGTGTCGGCCGCTCACTGGCGCAGCCGCTGCTGCCACCGTCACCGCCCCGCCCCAGCGTTGTCGCTGGCATCGTCGCGGACGAAGCGCGGCCCCAGCATGGGCAGGAAGGGGGACGCGGGCGGCGCGTGTGTCGCGGCTGCGTGGCCGGTGACAGGTACCCCTGGCGTGGCGTGGGGAGGTCTCGTGGACGGGGACAGGGTCTGGGACGCGAGGCGACCCCGTGCGCCGGTCACCTTGAGCTTCCGCTTCTTCCCTGACTCAGTTTCCCCTTACGTGCCCCAGTCCTGTCCCTATTTGCGAGTCCCCGAAGTTGCCCTCTGGTCTTATGGGCAAGCTATCGCTTCAGCGAGAGTGGCCGCGGGCTCTCTTTAGCGGTTTTGAGCCTTCATTGAAGAGCTTTGAGACCCGTGTGCCCAAGTGCAGAAGGAGGTGGGGGAAGTGCCCTAACCTGAATTTAGACCAAACCTGACCCTAAGTAGATTGAGAACCAGCAGTTTGCAGGACTCTGATTGGAGAACGACCTGATGTTTTTATAGATTTCTATTTTTCCTAAAATGAATTCGCGTGATGCATATTGGTTGCCGTTTTCATTTAAATACGAGGATCTGTTGGCTGGAGATTGGATGATCCGGTTTCACTTTTTGTGGGACCTGCCAGAAGAATAAGACCTGCGTACATCGCCAATAAGTTATGGATGTGAACTGTTCTTCGTTGGCCAAAATCACTAGGTTGTTTTGCATTTCTTGCCAGATTCGAGAACTAGCGTATTTTGTTCATTTGAAGTCCGGAGATCTTATACCTTACTGTGCTACACTATCTTGAAAACATTCATCATGCACTTGCCAGCCAGTTTTAGTGTGATGTTTGAAGACACTTAAAATAGTTACTTAACGCCACAAAATTTGGGATAATTGTAGCTTTTCCACTTGGCTTGCTTTTGATAAACTTAGTTGATACTTTTTTTTTTTTAAGATTTTATTTATTTATTTTTACAGACAGAGAGAGTGGGGGGGGCAGAGGGAGACGGAAAGAGAATCTCAAGCAGGTTCTGTGCTGAGTCTGAAGGGAGAGGCTTGATCTATCGACCCTGAGATCATGACCTGAGGGGAAATCAAGAGTCTGAGCTTAACCACTGAACCACCTAGGTGCCCCACACTCATTTTAATAAAGGAAATAAACATTGCTTAGTACAGTAGCATGACAACTTTATAGCCCACGTTTAACTTGAGGGGAAGAAACTGAACTATGTAGAAAATTCTGTTAGGTCTTTCCTGCGGTTACCTGTTGATCATTTTCATATCAGATGTATAGTAACTACTTTTATAAAAATTTAGATTTATGTGGCTCACAGCAAATGGTCTTGCTAATAGGTATAAATGCATATTAAGTTTAATTATTTGGGAAGTAAATTTATTTCTCAAGAACGGCCCTTCCTAATATTTTTCCTCACTGTTATGTATGTTGAAGCTCAGATGGCTGTCTATAAACTTGCAGGGTGCAAGTTGGTTTTTTAAGAGTTTGTCAGCTATTATCTTCAGTTTAGAAATGGAAAAAGAAGTTGGTGATTTAGAATTTTATGCCTCTTCTGTTTTCCAAAAAGTGAAAAGTGTTTTGCCATAATACAATTTTTATTAATATTTCCAATATCTTACTGTAGATCAATGAGTAGGAGATAGTCGTTAATTTAAACTAAGGAAAATGGGCCACAGACTAGATCTTATAGATAATACATTTGGACCTAGGACTTATTATGGAATGTTTTTAATTTACCCACCATGCCGCAAGCATTATGCCTATGATCATGCAATGCCACATTGTAGATTCTGACAGCTATTATTTCTCACAGTATTCATATTTACTAGCAACATTTAAGGACCACTAGGATCAGAGTGATAAGATTCTCGTAAAATGAAGGCATTCTCAAACAAAAGGCCACTTCAGTTAAGTTCTTCTTCTCTAAAACAGTCTTTTCCTGTAGTTTAGCCTGTGGCATCAAGGCTGTGGGGTCTAGGTAGGAAAGCTCTTCTTTAATGTCCACTTTTCTCTGTCATCTCCAGTGGTGCTAAACCTTGCCCCAAGAACTCTCTCTCTCTCTTAAAAATAGTTCAAGGGGATCTCTGGGTGAGTCTTCGTGCATAGAGTTTTCATTTTAACCCTTCTTAAGTCCTAGGCTTTTTGTAGCATCTTTCCTCTTGGTGTCACACTCATTTCTATTTGCTTTCATTCTTCCCTTAATGAAAGAAGCCTGCCTGTATTTGTTTATTTCATTTGGAGCACCTCCTGTGTTCCAGGCATTATGCTAAGCGTGTGGCCCTGACAGACAAAACTCCCTGCTCTTGAGGAAGCTCACATTCTGTCCCCGAAGCAAGGCTGAATACAGATCTGTCAGGCTAGTTGGTCAGTTCGCTTTGGTCCCAACTTCAGGCTGTCATGCTTGGTTTCAGGTTTCAACTGTGCCTTCCTCAGTCACCTATATCCCAAGGACTCTGCCCCTAGAAAGTCCCTGGATTTGTTTTGGTTCTCACAAGAAAGCTCAGTCAGGGTCAGCACAGTATGAATTCTTATACTTCCAAACCAGACAACCAGGGAGATAGCATGGTATTGTAGAACTTAAAAACAGGCAGACGTGGGTTCCAAGCATTGCTATTTATTAGTCAGGCAAGTTCCTCAGCCTCTCTGAGCTTCCATTTTCTTATTTTTAAAGTGGGAATGATAGCGTTTCAGCCATTATGCAATATAGTTATAGAGTATCTACTGTTTGCCAGGTACTGTGCTATTTGCTGTGGTGAACAAAGTAGATATGGCTGCCACACTTCTCCTGGATAGTTGTGTGGAAGGACTAGATATCATGGTATATGCAAAGTACCTGACACCATGCTTGGCCCAGAGCAATTGCTCAGTAATGCTAATGTTTCCTGGGGGACCTCTTGTCACTCCCTGTTCCCCACTCTATGCATGCAGCCTGCCTGGGGTTACTGGCAGTGGTGTCCAGTTTCCAGTCCAGAATTACCACTTTTGGGATTATATATCTAGGCCCCTTCAGGGCAAATTGTAAACAGAGCTGTAGTGCAGTACTGCTTGAACATAGTTCATATATTCTGTCTCCGGTTTAGAAGTTTTGTGACTTTTGGGGAGGATTTTTTTTTCCCCTAACCACAGAAAATGTATTTCCAAGACATTTTTTTGAGCCCATGTAATAACGATGATGCATTATTATTCTGTAATTTAGAAGGTGGTTTCTTATGAGAATGTGTTTTATTAGAACAGTTAATTCTGGTATAGTACTTCGCACTTCAGAAAGCGATATTCATGTTGCTTTTTCATTCTCACAGTGTCCTGGTGTGGCAGATACTGGTACTCCTAATTCAGAGTCTGGGAGACTAAGGGCCAGAGAAGTTACTAGGGAATTTGCTTATGGTGAAACTGCTAGTAAGTAGCAAACACAGTAATTTATCAGAAGTCCCTGACTCTGAAAGGTTCTCTCTTTTCACTCACCCAAGTTTTTCTATCATGCAGAGCAGGTTTCTGAGGCTATAGTCCAGGGGCCTGTAGGGGTGGGTGTCTAAGAGTTCTTGAGTGGTCTGAAGTTATATGTAAAAGTTTCGGTCCTTGCTTGCCCCTCTGTAGGAAATGTCAATAACTTTTGCTACACTCTGAAAGGGCCACCCTCCCCACCCCCACCTCCCACCCCAGCCAGAAATCACTGCTAACAGGTTTCAGTGTCAGGGGTCTAGTTGGTTAGCCCCAGTCTTTACAAATGTTGGTTATTTATTTATTTATTTATGCATGCTTATTTATAAATGGGATATTAATATTAATTAGCCAATTAAATCAGTTAAGCTGGCAGTGCCTGAACTAAAGTAACTTTTCTATTTGGTTTAATTTATTTTGCTTTTGACCATTTGTTTTTTTAGAGATACTGTGTGTTATATGAAGCAGGATGTTGGCACAAATGTTAATGCTTTTTGTAAAAAGAGGGTACTGACTGGTCCTCCAAACAATAGCTTTTCTAACCAGTATCTCAAGGAATTGGGGTGAGCCTGGGGTGAGCCTTACCAGACATTAGCATGCAGAAGCACAACTTTGGTTTGGTGTTTCCCACATATTCATGTCCTCTTTGGGTTCCCATTCAAATGGGTGGAACTTAGATACTGACTTATATAGCCTGGGGGAAGTCTGATTAGGGTTCTATGAGGCAGACTTCTGAGATGAAAAATCAGGCCAAAGAAGCCTGTAGCTGGAGGCCTTTTTCTGAAATGATCTGGACACCTCACTGTGCTTGAGGAGGTTGCTACTGGGAGTTCAGGAGGCCTGCATTCGATGGCCATGCCAACTTACCAGTGACCCCACTTATTTATTTTGTAGATAGGAACCCATTGAGTTCTAACATTCTTCATTCAGAACTGGTGTTTGCTATTTGCATTTATACTCGAGACCCATCGGTTAGCTCCCTAGGGCTGTGGTAACAAAGTATCAAATTGTGTGGCTTAGAGCAATGACAGTTTCTTTTCTTCCAGTTTTGGAGGCCAGACATTCTAAATCAAGGTGTCACAGGATCATGTTCCCTCTGAAATCTGTAGGGAGTCTTTCTTTGCCTCTTCCAGCATCTCCTAGCCCTCGGAGTTCCGTGGTTTGCAGTATAGTTCCAGTGTCTGCTTCTGTCTTTCCTGGCATTCTCCCTGTGTCTATTCACATGGTGTTCCCACTGCATGCCTGTCACTCTGTCCACATTTTCCTTTTTTTGTAACGCCAGTCTTATTGGATTAGGGCCCACCCTAATGACTTCATTTTAACTAGATTACCTCTGTTAAGACCCTGTTTCCAAATACGTTCATATTTCGAGGTGCTGGGTTAGGACTTTTGGGAGGACACCATTTAATACCCATCATTTACATTTTCATCTGCCTCAGCTTTGTTTACTGTCATGCTTCGTAAAGTATGTTTGTGTGCACCCTCCTGTGCCACCAACTGACTTTTATACCTGTGTATAGTATAGGCGCCCTGGGAAATGAAATGGAGTCTTTGTAGGAAAGAGTGTATGATCTACACTCCTTGAGTTATGTATCAGTCACTCAGCAAGTTGAAACCATGGAGATAGTAGGTGCCGTTACATTTTAGAAACATTTCCATTTCTGTAATTTTCATGTTATTTTGTGTCGCTAAGTATCAAGACTCAGGTTTAAACATTTCTTTGTAGCAAAACCTTTTTTTTTCCTTTTTAGGGGTTTGCTATAAAATGGGACTTCTGATTATATTCACTGGACTATGGCTGTTTTCCTCAGTAAAGGCAGATTCAAAAGCCATTACAACCTCTCTTACGACAAAATGGTTTTCCACTCCGTTGTTGTTAGAAGTCAGGTAAGAAGACATCTTTTTTTCCTCTAACGTGTTTGAGTAAAAATGTGGGATCTGCTCGTGAGTATTCAGGAGCTTTTTTAGGCAGCGAGATTATCATCACATGCATTTAGTCAGCGCCTCTTTCAGTGTGCATTGTGCTGTGTGCTAGTCAGAGGCTGTTAGAACACAGAATCTGTCAGTAGGATAAGATAATATTGATTCATAGAGATACTTAGGGACTTCTTTGGACAAATATATTGAATTGGTTAAACTATCTTCCAAAAAAGGTGTACATGTGGTAATAAAGGAAGAGAAAGTTGTACTTAAAGGAATTTTTCTATTTATTTGAAAAAGGTTTTTTTTTTTTTTTTTAAAGATTTTATTTATTTATTTGACAGAGAGAGACACAGCAAGAGAAGGAACACAAGCAGGGGGAGTGGGAGAGGGAGAAGCAGACTCCCTGCGGAGCAGGGAGCCCGATGTGGGGCTCGATCCCAGGACCCTGGGATCATGACCTGAGCCAAAGGCAGATGCTCAATGTCTGAGCCACCCAGGCACCCCTATTTGAAAAAGGTTTTAAGAGATAGAAGAGAGTTTGGCAAGATGTGGGGAAAGAGGGTCTGCTCCTTCTAAGAAGTTGGAAGAAGATCTTGAGATACAAGAACGCAGAGGGGAGGCTGAGGACATGGCTAGATTTTATCTAAGATTTACATGTTCCACATTTTAACATCTCCAAAATTAAGATGCATTTTAATGAAATCAAGATGTTATCTTACAGTTAAAATCAGTAACATTTTCCTTTTTAGTGTTTCATAAAAACGATATGTCTTAAAATTGACAGTGTCTTAAAATCTATAAAATACAATATAGTTAGTGATTTTTTGGGAAATTTTGTATTCCAAGTGTATTTTTTAGTTAGTGTTTATAATATAAATAACCAGATACCTCTCTTTTAGTCAGTTTTTTGTTTATAGAGGGAAACTGATTTTTATTGTATCTGAAATAATACATAGCTAGGACTTGTAGAGAATCATCCTAAAGCATAAATTTAGGTAGATTGAATGGCAAGCAGTTGGTAAATCTCAGAGTTTGATAGTGCTAGAAATTTGAACTGTTGCATTACTTCAATTAACTTTGGTCTGTCTTTGTACTCTTCAACTTAGAATCTCATCTTCTAACCTTTCCTCCTTCATCCCTAGAAAAATGTGAATGAAGAGTTTTTGTTGTGGTGACTGTGTTTATGAATAGTTGCATCTCCTAAGGAAACAGCTTCATTTGGTATTGATAAGAGGACTAGTGGGAAAGTGGGACTTTTAGGATCTGATTTTAGCTTGCTGAGGAGCCTCATGGACTTTCTTTTGATCAGACTTAACCTTGTATCACTCCTCTGTGCCTCCCTTTTCTCAACAATAAAATGGCCAAAAGAAAAAATTCCTACTGCATTTATTTCATAGCAGTGTTATAATTTGGTAAATGGATTGAGTGAGCTCTTCCAGTGTCCGAACTTTATTAGAGAGGGCACTTATAAAAGTGAAGTGACCGAAGGTTGTTTGAGATCTAAGCTGCCTGAGTGCACTCTAATAGCTGACCCTCCCCCCGCCCCATCTTATTTTGGCTGGTTTGTCTGGTGTAAATCTAAGTGTTTGAGGCTTACTATACTTTAAATAATTTTGTGCAATTAACTGTAACAGATGTTTTATAATACTTTGCTTGACATTCTTTACTGAGTTCTACTCAGTTACTCTCACACTAATTTTTTGGTTTTGTACATTGTCTTAAGATTCTTATGGCATATACTTAGGGGACTTTTGAAAAAGCATGTTAAAACTGTCAGCCTTAATTAACCCATTTTTTTCAGTTTCTTTGATCTCTGTGAAGTGAATGATATATACTGCTTCCTCTACCAACTTTTCCTTTCACAAACATTGCCCCTTTTCATGATTTCCTGGCCATTTGCCATTTTGGTTGACTATTTTTAGTCCTCTTCTGGGGCTATTTGCAGACATTTTGCCAAGGTAATGGCAATCTAGGCAACTCAGAAATAAGTTGTGCATATTAGAAATCCTTGATATTTCCCTACAGAAGTAGCTGAGGCCACTATTCTTCCCTCCAGATCCATGGCAGACATTGATGGCAGATCACAGCATTGTCCATCCAAGTGAGGGTGAGGGGACAGAATATATCTCTACACATTGAGGCATGCAGCTACCACAGATACTTTACCTTCCCTGCATCTAGCCCTTAGGGACTAAAAATATTCCCATGTATATTTTTAGATTAGGCCTGATCCTAATGAAGCAGTTGTAGCTTTCTGGTTGTTCATGAAGTGATATATATTTAATTGAAGTAGAACACTGAATATGTTTTGAACAGCCATAGTTACTAACAGAAATCTTGTATAAATAAAGCTACTATTGTTAAAATAGAAACTAATAATCATTTATTGAGTACTAGATACTATAATGGCCCAAGAATGTAGCATGATAGAGATATAAATCAAACAGTTGATTTTGCATTCCAGATTTTTCATTTGCTAACTCTGTGCCCTTAAGCAAATCAATAACCTCTCTGAGTTACAGTTTCTTCATTTTAAAAGCGGTTATAAATCAGGGTGGCTGTGAGGATTTAAGGGCATGGGTGAATATACCAAGCATAGTGTCTGTTGCATAGTAAGCCCTCCTTAAACATTCATTTCCCTTCCCTTTCTAGTTCTTTATGGAAGGAAGACCAATTCTGATCTCCAACAATAACTTTGGAAATCTAGAAAACAAGTTTGTTACCAGGTTTATGCTATCTGGTGGACATTCAGGTTGTTTGTGTTTTTTTTTCTTCTGTCATAGACTAAAAACTTTTTATTGTGATCTTTCAAAACATTTGTAAGTGGAAAGAATGGTACATATAATGTGCTCTCCCTCTACATGTCACTCAGTTTTGGCAATTATCAACTCAAGTCCAGTAATCCATAACTACCACCACCCTCCTCCCTTATCTTGCTGGAATATTTTAAAACAAATCTTAGACATCATATAATTTCATCTGAAAAACTGTAGATGTTTTACTCGTGGAATAAGAATAAGAAGCTAAAAACAACCTAAAATGAAAAGCAAACAAAAATTATACTGTAAACAAATGGCAGCATTCCTTTTAATATTGTCTTGTATTGTTCTTACCTTCCTGGATTAGTTCAGTGGATCTAGTCAATAATTTTCTTAAGACTGTTTGAAACTTAGATGTTGTAAGACTTATTTATGCAGTGGGGATGAAGAAGAACATATACTTCAAATTCCTGTAATTATATGAGGAGCATATATTTATTTGCAGATGGCCTTTACAGGAAGGTCTTAGCTTCAGTGAATCCTTGTTCTCACCATTACAGCCTTTGAGTGTATTATCCCTTCCCCCTCTTCCACAAGCTTATCTTGTGAATGCAGCTTTAATTCATGAATTTAGCGTTTATTTGCGTATCATAATCTATTTGTCTTAGTATCTGTTTTTTTGTTTTTGTTTTTTTAAAGATTTTACTTATTTATTTGAGAGAGAGAGCATGAGAGAGAGAGAGAGAGCACATGAGAGGGGGTAGGATCAGAGGGAGAAGCAGACTCCCTGCTGAGCAGGGAGCCCAATGTGGGACTCGATCCTGGGACTCCAGGATCATGACCTGAGCCGAAGGCAGTCGCCTAACCAACTGAGCCACCCAGGCGCCCCAGTATCTGTTTTCTTGATCATAAGCTATTATAGGGTTGGTATGATGTCTGTGCTAGTTACTAGAAAGCCTAGAAAAATGCCACATTCAAGGAGATACTAAATCATTTAATACATTAGGATAATGGGTATTTTCAGAAACCTGTTTTTAGAGAGGCTGTGTATTACCAGGAAATGTTTCTTATTTTTCCCATATTTCTGTGTCTAGCTGTGGAGTAGAGTGAGAGTTGTACACCCCAGTGTTGACAAGTAATGGGAAAGTCTTCCTTTGGCTAGGTAAGCTGAGATCCAGATCTGTAGTTTGCTTTAAGACAGTGAAAGATCACCACTACATTAGTATTCTTTCTCAGAGGAGAAGATAACCAATTTACATGAATCATTCAATCAGTACACACATTTTCTTTTAGGGATTTTAGACTCTGGAATGAAGGGAAATTTAGAATGGCCATTATTTAGATCCGTAGAGTAAAGTCAAGAAAAAATTAAGGTGGCGTTAAGTTCTAAGAACTTATTTTATTAAACTGAAATTTGGTGATCTTGAAAATTTGGATTTATGGATGTTAAAAGATTACAACATGCTTCCTTTAGTCTCCTAGAAATTTTTTTAGGGTTCACGTTTTTCTTGGGAGAACCTTAGGCAAAACATATTTTTTGTTCTTTGTAAGGTCTTTTAGAAAATAAGTGAGCAGAACTGGTCCCAGAATTATCAGTTCTGAATTCTACTTCTACTACCAACAGCATTTTCACAAAATGGGGTTTCATAAGCTTTATTTATATTGGGACTTCCCTCTTGTTACATTTTTATTCCAGGTTTCTTATGGAACACCTATTAGGCTATTAATATGAATAAGTGAGTAAGCTACTAAGCTAATTAGTTATTAATAGCCAATAAGCTAATAAGACTTGCTTATCATTAGAATATATATTATACATGCTTGTGTATAATATATATTATAAAAGCCAAACTCTGGACATTTGGAAACTTAAAAACCTATTTTTACTCTTCTTTAGTAATGTAGCTTATATTAGAAGATTTTATTAAGTTGTTTTATTTCTGATATTTCCCCCCTTTTCTCCCAGTGAGTTTTTAGCAGAAGACAGTCAAGAGAAATTTTGGAATTTTGTAGAAGCCAGTCAAAGTATTGGATCATCCGATCATCACGGTAAAATTGAAGCAAATGCTTCTTTGACTTTGGTATCTGGGAAAATATTAGAAAAAAATGGTCTCTTTCACAGTATTTGTGGCATGGCAATTAATGGAAAATGTTTTTATCTTTAATGACTAGAGTTGAGATGGTAGCCAGCAGAGCGAACACAAACTAATACTTTTGAAGCAGGTTATAACTTTGGCTATAAGCACTGCCTTTGATTTCTCCCACCCCCCTTGTTTTTCTTCTTTTGTGTTTTATTCGAAGTGCTATGTGAATATTTTGTAGAAGTCAGATTCATTTAAAATTACTTAGTATTAAGTATTAACTTAATTACCATTGATTTTATTCCCTTTTTCTTTTGTTATGAACTAATTACACGACTGATCTATTATGTTAGGTTTGGTATCGTTAAATTAGTGCCATCCAAAATGTTTTCCGTTATGCCTGCCAGCCACCCACAACTTGAGTGTCAAGGTATCAAATGAATGACAATGTCAACTGTATCACTTGTTTACAGTTTATAATGTGCATTCGCACTTTCTAGTTCAGTGTAAGCTTTGTAGATGTTTGTAGTATAAACATTTCTAGTCAAAGATCTGGCTACACTAAAACCTTGAATGTTACATTGACAGACCTTGTTGAAGAGCAAATGTGTGAAAACAGTCTGACTACTATTAATATTTAACTGAATTGATTTTTAACTTTTTGATTTTTATTAAAAATAATACAAATTTTAAAAGTCAAGTCTGAATTTCTTTTTTGTGATATTAGTATATAAAGGTTTGAGCAAGCATCTGTAGTTTGAGTAACATAATTTAGAGTCAACTGGAATTGTATGCATTATCGAAAAAAATCATTTTACTTTTAGTTTACAATTTCATAAAACAAATTTATCGAAGTAGGTTTTATAATGAAATTTGAACTCTGACATTTAAAATGAAATTTCCTCAATATAAATGATAATGTGTTCTTGGTTAAAGTTGGGGGGTATGAATTCTTGGAAGTGATCATAAAAATATGTTAGATATTTTATTTGAAATATTATTCATTGTCCCACCACCCAAAGGTATTGACCATTAACATTCTGGCAACATTTTAAGTATTTCTTTCTGATGTCTTTTTCTACTTAGAAGATGCTAATGCCGTATAGAATCTTTTGTATTTTGCTTTTTAAAATGTTAGTTATATTCCTTAAAAACTTTTTTTGATACATAATATATGATTTACTAGTCAAGTTTATAAAATGCTTATACAGAAAAATCTTGTTCTCTCCCTGTCCCTGCTCCTGTTTCTCCCCTGCTTTTTATAACTACTTAAATTATTTTGTTTAGCCTTCAGTGGTTTTTTTTTTTTTAACAACAAATACATCGTATGTATTCTTATTTCTCAGATAGTTTGTTGCAATTTTTAAATGCTTCTTTCCAAACTACAATTTTGTTAATATCCTTTAATACTCTGTACTTCCTCATCACACTGCTCAGTTTTGCTGGGTTATTTGAGTAGGTAACAAACATATGGTAGGCACTGGGGATACAAAGATAAATACATTATAACTTCTGCCTATGGGGGCTCAAAAACTATTTGGGGAGAGGTAGATAGTAAATAATTTAGTAAATGATGTGGTAAGTGAAAGAGGTAAGTAGAAAAATATTATGGGACCAAAGAAGAGATGTACTTGGTCCAGTGAGGCATGGGGTAGGGATTGGGAGTGACTTTGCAGAGTAGGTGATGTCACAGCTGAATTCCTCTTGTGGAGGTAGGTAGGAGTTAGTCATCCAGGTAAGTGGGACAGTTGCGGTCCAGGTAGAGGGAATAGTGTGAACAAAGGGAAGAAGAGAGGAAGAGTCCAATTACTTCCTGTACTCTAGAGAATTCTAAGCATTTGACAACAGTTCAAGATAGGAGAGTGGTAAAATTTTGCCACCATATACCTCTGTAACACATAGCTTTATACTTTATGAACTATCTTATTTGGATATGTCTAGTTGTATATAATTATTTTGGATAATGTTCTTTGACAGGTACTGACTATTCCTATTATCATGCAATATTAGAAGCTGCATTTCAGTTTCTGTCACCTCTACAGCAGAATTTGTTGAAATTTTGTCTGTCCCTTCATTCGTATTCAGCTGCAATTCAAGCCTTCCAGCAGGTAAGTTCAGTGCTTAGAGATAACAGTATTTTTTAGGGGTTGTATAACATGATGATTGGATATATTGTGATTGTCCTGGCATTGTGTTACAGAGCTATAACTTTTCTGATTGAAATTTCTGAGGATTTCTTTATAAATAGAAAGCAAAGCTGACATTAAATCTTCAGATCACAGGTTTTTTTTTTAGTAAAAAACCATAATTTGCACTTATTTTCATTTAAGAAGAAAAGAATATCCACACAAAAATGAAACTACCAGACTTCATTTATACAACACAGTGTAGGAGGCATAGTCGTATTAAACCAATTGACCGTGAATCTGATCACAGCCTGTAGATCTAAAAGCAGTTCACAGGAAATTCAGGGGATGGGAAATATGAAGCAATATCACAGGGGTAACAGGAAAATCTGGAATGTAGGAAAATTTGTAGTTAAATGATCTGATTCCTTCAACAAATGTTATAAGGAAAGAAAGGAGGGAAGGAAGAACTTCAGGAGAGACTTAAAGTATGTGTCAACTTAATGCATTGTGTGAATCTTGTTGGATTTTGAGTTGAACAGACCCTCATAAAAAGAAAAAGATGAGAGAAGTGAAGATGAGCATACACCGATCATATATTTGATGTAAAAGAAATGTTAGTTTTAAAACCATTATTTTATTATAAAATAAAACAAGCATAGAAAACCACTCACAAGAAATATATAGCGTAATGAATTTTTGCAAAGTGAGCACTTGTAATTTTCCTTCAGGTCAAGAAATAGAACTTAGCCAGGTCCTCTGGCAGTCTGCCCTTCTTGTGCTCTGCTCTCATCACAGCTACCTTTCACCCTCCAGCAGGAACTACTTTATCAACCTCTGTTGAAATGACTTGCTGCACTTCTTTATCATTATATTGCCTAAGAGTGCATCTCCACACAATAGTTTAGTCTTGCCGAGTTATAAAAATTTTGATAATTTTTTTTGGTGGGGAGCGTTGAATTTACAGGTTCTTCTTCTATCCCTTTCCTTTCTTTGAATAAATTTTTTCAGTCTGTATTTTGTTGATCACATACTCAGGATGCAGTTCAACTTATTCTCTGTCCTCTGTTTCCTGCACATTGGCAGCTGATCCAGAGGCTCAATGAGAATTGTGTTTCATCCTTTTGGCAAGTGTAAAGGTAGTGCTCTGTTTCATGAGGAGATACCTAATGTCTTTCTTCTCTTTTTGATTTAGCAGTCATTACTGCTCTATGCTTAATCCATTAATTCTTTGGGGGTTGTGAATTGGTCACGCTCATTTTTTTGTTGTTGTACATATCCTCACCTGGTACTGTTCACATGGGGAAGGCAGAATACATGATTGATTCTTTCCTGCTATTTACCAGGTTTTTGAATGAGTTTGATTCACAGCATCCTTTTACTTTAACCATTTAGTTTTTTGTTTCAACTCTTTTTATTGTGGGAAAATGTAGATAAAGTAAGATTTATCATCTTGGCCATTAATTTAAGTGTACAGTTCAGTGGTATTCAGGACATTCTTATTGTTGTGCAAGCATCACCACCATTCATCTTTAGAACTCCTTTTGTCTTGCAAACTGAAACTTTATACTCCCTCAAATAATAACTTCCCATCCCCCCCATTCCCCCCTTGGTAACCACAATTCTATTTTCTATCTCTGAGTTTGTCCATTTTAGATACCTCATTTAAGTGGAATCATACTGTGTTTGTCCTTTTGTGTCTGGCTTAATTTCACATAGCATAATGTTTTTAAGGTTCATCTGTGTTGTAGCATGTATCAGAATTTAATTTCTTTTTATAACTGAATAATATTCCATTGGATGTATACAACACATTTGATTTATCCATTCATCTGTTGATGGGCATTTGGATTGTTTCTTCCTTTGGCTATTGTGAATAATGCTGCTTGGAACATTGGTTTATGACTGTCTGGTTGAGTCTCTGTTTTCAGTTCTTTTGGGTGTATACAGAAGAGTGTAATTCATGGATCATGTGGCAATTCTGTGTTTAACATTTTAAGGAATTACCAAACTGTTTTCCACAGCAGCTGCACCATTTTACATTCCCACCAGTAATGTACCAGGATTTCACTTTTTCCACATACTTCCCAACACTTGTTATTTTCTTTGTTTTGATAATGGCTGTCCTCATGGGTAGGAAGTGGTGTCTTGTAGTTTTGATTTTCATTTCCTTAATGACCAGCGATGTGGAGCATCTTGTCATGTGTTTATTGGCTATCTGTGTATCTTCTTTGGAGACTTGTCCATTATTTGTCTTTACCCATTTTTCAGGTGGATTGTTTTTGTTGTTTTGTTGTTGTTGTTGTAATCATTTATCAGATATATACTTTTCAGATATATTTTTCATGTTCTATAGGTTGCCTTTTCACTGTTGATAGTGTCATTGATACACAGAATTTTTAATTTTGATGAAGTCTGTTTTATCTATTTTTTCTTTTGTTGCCTGTGCTTTTTGGTGTCATATCCAAGAAGTCATTACCAAATCCAATGTCATGAAGCTTTACCCCTATATTTTCTTCTAAGAGTTCTATGGTTACCATATTAGCTCTCAAGTTAGATCTTTGATCCATTTTGAATTTATTTTTGTATATGGTATAGAGTAAGAGTCCATTTTCATTCTTGCCTGTAGATACCTATTTTCCCAGCATCGTTTGTTGAGAGACTGTCCTTTTTTCTGTTGGCACCCTTGTTGAAAATCCGTTGAGCGTATATATGAGGGTTTACTTCTGGGCTCTTTATTCTACTCCATTGGTTGATATATCTTTACTTATGAAAGTACTATCTGTTTTGATTGCTGAGCTTTGTACTAACTTCAGAAAACAAAATATGAGTCTTCTACTGAGTTCTTTTGATGTAATGCGGGTAGTCTTTGATTGCTTCCTTGCTATCTGGTATGGTAAGTAGTTTCAGATTTATCTTGTATATCTCTGACCTTAGATTTGAGATCAGCTATTTCTCTAGGAGGTTCATTAAAATTTTTTGTTTGTTTGTTTTCATTTGGTGGGAATGGTATTTTAAGAGCACTATCTAGGCATTAGGGATACTCATTGCAAATAGGTTGGTCCTTGTTCTTAGACCTTTTAAATGGGCAGAGGTAGGAAGTGACTATGTGTGTATCTAAAGGCAAAATATATAAAGCTATGCAAAGATGAAATATTTCATGAGTTCATACTGATATTTCCAATTCAAATTCAGGACTACTTTGTTACATCTGTAGGTTTTTTCTTCCAAACTGAGAATATTGGTTCTCAAGGTTGTAAGGGATGATAGAATTAGACTATCTTGTGGTTTGTTTGTTTTATCCACATTACATACACAGTAACCTTAATAACAGTAGTCATACTGTTTCCACAATTACATTTTCTTTTTCTTTCTTTCTTTCTTTCTTTCTTTCTTTCTTTCTTTCTTTCTTTCTTTTTCTTTTGTTTTCTTTTCTTTTCTCTTTTCTTCTTTTCTTTTCTTTTCTTTTCTTTTCTTAAGTAGGCTCCACGCCTGGCGTGGAGCCCAATGCGGGGCTTGAACTGAGATCAAGACCTGAGCTGAGATCAAGAGTCTCAGACTGACTGAGCCACTTCAGGTGCCCCCACAATTACATTTTCTATAAACAGTTAAAAATTTTTCTTTGGCCTAGTTATCCCCATTTTTAAAAATGAATATATTCTACCTAGAGCATAGATGTTTCATATTATACTCTCCCCCTCAACCCTCATTTAGTCTTAGTTCTGTAAATAATTTATATCTTTAATGCTCACAACCAGTCCTTTTGCTACATGTCTCCAGTCAGTTGGCTTTCCTGACTCTTGCTTACTGGTAGATTCCTCAAGAGGGGCTCATAGGAAGAATATTTCCTCAGTTTTGCATGTTTATATATGTTAGATATAAAGTCCTTGCTTTATATCTTTTTTCCTTGGCTAAAACATATTTCATTTTCTTTTAGCATAAAATCTTGCAGAAAGTTGGATGATAATCTAATATTCTTTCCCTTAAAGTCTCTTGGTCTTTTTGTCTAGAGGCCTGAAGGAGTTTTAATTTTTCTTTAATATAGCTTACACTATATTCTAGTGAATTATGACTTAAAAAATTGATGAGTGATTGTTCTGGGTCAATATTCTCAGGTATCCAGTATGTTCTTATTAATACAGAGTTTCAGATCATTTTTTATTTTAAGAAGGTTTTCTTAAAAACTTATTATAGTTTGTTTTAGTCCCTTGTTTTGGAATTCATATCATCTCTCTCTCTGTATGTTGAACTTTCTTTGCCCAGCTTCATTGTCACTTTCTCTGAATTCCTTTCTCTTTATTTCTTTTTGATTTTTAAATATTTCCTCCTTTCATCTTCTATTTCTCTTAAATCATTACTTCTCATGTTTTTGTGCCCCTTCTAGTTTAGTCTTCATTTCTACAATGATTTCTCTTTTACAAATTCTTTTCTCTTGAGTCTTCTGCCTCACTTCTGAGTTTTTCTAATTCTGCCTTAGGTTCTTCTTTACATCTAGTATAATTTTCTTGATACATTTTAACTTGTTTGAAATAGTAGTTCACATTTCCATCCATGTTTTTTGGCTGTGTTTTTCTGATATGGCTTTATTAGCTATGCTCTCCAGTATGGTAACCAGTAGCCATGCGTGACTATTTAAATTTAAATAAGCTAAGATTAAATGAAATAAAAAATTTAGCTCTTCAGTTCCATCAGCCAAATTTCAAGTGTTTAATGGTCACAGGTGGCAAGTGGCTACCACATTGGACAATGTAGATATAGAAGATTTCTGTTGTTGCCAAAATTTCTGTTGTACAGTCCTCATCTATAAAAATAAGGATGTTAATCTATTCCTCCCCCTCCCTTTTCTTAGCATTGTGTGGGATTTGACATTGAGACTTTTCTGTTCCTTTTGATGTGAAATTGGTTTTCCTTATCTTTTAAAGGTTGGCATGGCTCCCTCTTCTGTTGATTTTAGGTAGTGTTAAAAAATACAGTGGCTTAAAAAAAATGGTGGTATGGTTTTTGAGATTTCCTTTATTCCCCTCCTGCACTTTCATTGGACTTTCTCTTTAGTTGTCTCTATATCTCTTTGCTCTCCAAGTTTTATTGGACCCTCAGCAGTTTCTCCTTACAGTGGGGTCCTGTCCTCGCAAGTCTTCTAAGCCTGTGGGTTTTGAGAGTTCAGAGCAGCTAAACTGCCCTAAGCCCTTTAACCTTTTCATGGGCCTCCTTGTGCTCACCTAGTACTAGATTGAACAAATGCATTGGCCCACCATTCTTTACAGTGAAAACCTGTTGGCTCTTTGGTTTTCTTGTTGTCAGGATCATCAGAATCTCTTATTAAACATCTCTCTGCTTCCTTCTCCATGGCATCTGATACCTGCAGGTCTTATGTCATAGGGATATTTTTTCCCATTCAGTTTGTTATATGTGTTCTATTGGCTATCTAGTTGCTCTGTTTTAATGAGGGAACTTGGGAAGATTGAAAAACTATATTGCCAGTTGCCATCTATGCAGAATTTTATTACTTTTTAAAAGGGTGATAATGAGGTATTTTAAAAAAAATCTCTTTTATTGAGACACACTGAAACATTACAAATGAAATATTATTTGGGATTTGTGTCAAAATAATCCATTGGAGTGTGGCAGGAAGGTGGATGAAATAAGATTGGCCATGAGTTGATAATATTGAAGCTGAGTCATGGGTACATGGGGCTTTATCATACTATTCTTTCTTTTCTTTGTGTGTGTAAGTTTTAGAATAATTCACAAAAAAATGAAGAATGTAATGAAAAGTTTTCATGTCAGTTTTTCATGGCAAGCTTTCCATTTCTCTACCTCTGAATTATTTCTCTTACATTTATAGAAAACGACATCTTAATATTAATGTATTACATAAGTGACATCAGTGCACACAGCAGTACTTGTCACTATATCCTTTCTTTTCCCATCTCATACTCATTCTTCTCAATATGCCTCTCATTAAAGTTGCAGCTTGACTTGTCTCATTATGCATTGGCATTTATGCATTTCACTTTAAACATAAACTCATGTCTCATTCAGCCTTTCCCTGGAACATCTTACTATGCTTCGTAGATAATTTTATCTTCTATCTATATTCCTTTTTAGATCCAGTTACTTTTTTAGATTCTATGTCATTCTCCCTATTTCAGAGAGGGGTTCCAAGTTAATTTGCATATTATATTTATTATATGGACTTAAAATACTTAATAGGGACTGTGTAGTTACACTTTGATGCTTAAAGTTGGAATTTGTAAGCTTAGTTTTCTTCAAGGTACATACTGTATTCCTTGGACACCTTTTGTTATTTTCTGAGATAGAATTTTAAAGTTCTGTTTTGGGGATGATATTAACACCTACCTATTGGGGTGATATTGGGAGGAGCTAGATGAAATAAAACGTAAGAAACGATGCATAAAAACTCTTAAATCCTGTCACATCATGGGGGTTCAGTAGATGTTAATTTTTGCTTTTACTGATGTTATTTCATTGCCATCTAATTACCTGTTTAGAGTATTAACGTCCTTACTCTTTGGTTAGAGATCATTACAAGAATATCTTGTGTCTTAAATGGCAGATAGCAGCTGATGAGCCTCCACCAGAAGGATGTAATTCATTTTTCTCTGTGCATGGAAAGAAGACCTGTGATTTTGACACCCTTGAGACTCTTCTCCTCACAGCATCTGAAAGGTAGATTGTATGTTTCTTCGTGTAAATGTCACGCATTGCATTATGCTTTCTTCTATATCAAATCTACCATCAGATTTTTCTTACGGGTTTTATAGTCTGTAGGTACAGTTGCTTAGAGTATGGATTCTGGAGCCAAACTGACTAGATTTGAATCCCAGCTCCATTACTTAAAATAGTTTTGTAAACTTAGGCAAATTACTTAACCTTTCTTTCCCTATCTCATTTCGAAATGGAGATAAGCGTACTTAATGTTACTGTTCTTATTTAGTAATGACTGTTTGAGAAATTACATAGGCTTTGTCATTAGCTTAGTAAAGAATACCTGTGTATTAAAGCCAGTGCCTGAAGTAATGATATTAATGATAATGATCTCTCAGCGTATTATTAGTTTCAGACAAAGGAGACTATTTAAAAGATAATTGCAAGCTTAATTTGAATATTAAATTGGTAATTAATGGGCTGGCTTTTTTGCTTAATGGTAGGTTTCCTGTGGTGGACAGATATAACAGGTGCCTCTTGTTGTCTGGCTGTGGCAGTAATTGCATTGTACCTTCTCTCTAATGCCATTATAAATAGTGTAACAGTGATCGTTCTGTGGTGTTGCCCTGCTGTACCAGAAGAGCGTTTTAGGCAGGGTAGTTCTTCTTTAGTGAGATTATCTACCCAGCACTTGTTCTCTGCTCACTAAATGGCATGAGAGCCTTTTACTCGGAAAGACAACCAGAAAATGGGGTGCATGTTCCAGCTATCTCCAGGTCCAGGAATGGACATTCTAAATGGCTTGTGTGGTAAAGTGCTGTTCCCTTGGAGTAAACATAATTGATTTAAAAAAACTCTTTCTTTAACTTGTTAAAACAATAATGTAGGGCTTCATAAAGAAAAGAGCGATGGTGTCACCTCTTCTGAGAGATGGTAACTATTTTTAATGGTTTGTCATATTGTTTTAGACTTTTTTCTGTGGTTATAAATTTATACAGGTGTGTAGGTTTATTTTTACAAGAGGTTTCTTCCCATTAGTACATGTAGATGTACCTCATTATTTTTTTTTTTTTAAGATTTATTTATTTGAGAGAGCGAGAATGAGAGAGTGTGAGTACATGAGAGGGGGAGGATTAGAGGGAGAAGCAGGCTCCTCGCTGAGCAGGGAGCCCGATGCGGGACTCGATCCTGGGACTCCAGGATCATGACCTGAGCCGAAGGCAGTCGCCTAACCAACTGAGCCACCCAGGTGCCCCGTACCTCATTATTTTTAACACGTGCAAAATAACTATGTAAGAATGTCCCATCATTTTTTACTGATAGTTTTTAAAATTGTTTCCTTTTTTTTGTTTTTGTTATTATGGTAAGGCTATAGTGAACATCTGTATTTATATGTCTTTACTTTCGATGGAATAGTTTATTATAACATAGTTTATTGTAAGAGGGAATGGCAGGTCATAAAGTCTGTGCAATAGGATCGATTAATATCTTTTTTTTTTTTTTTTGAGAGAGCGAGCGAGTGAGTCGGGAGGGACAGAAGGAGAGGGAAAACGCTAAGCAGGCTCTGTGTCCAACGTGGTGCTTAATCTCATGACCCCGAGATCACAACCTGAGCAGAAACCAAGAATCAGACACCCAACTGACTGAGCCACCGAGGCCCCCAACATCTATTAATATCTTGATACCATTATTCGGGAATTTTTTTTGAGGGTGGAGTTATAAAATTCAGGAGGAAAACTTAAATGTTAAATCATTTAGTAGGAAGATCATAGTAGTAAAAATATAGAGGAGGGAGATGCTGTGTTGGCATTTATGTGCTTAAAGTCATCCTGTCTTTTCACATTATTTGTACTTATGTTTTCAGATAAAAGGATAATCTATTTAGGGGTGCCTGGGTGGCACAGTCATTTAAGCATCTGACTCTTGATTTAAGCTCAGGTCCTCATCTCAGGGTTGTGGGATTGAGCTCTGCGTTGGGCACTGTGCTCAGTGCGGAGTCTGCTTGAGATTCTCTCTCCTCTCTCTGCCCCTCTCCCTGCTCACGTTCTCTGTCTCTCTAAAATATATAAAAATCTTTAAAAAAAAAAGAATAATCTATATAGTAGAAAAACTTACTAAAGTTTTAGTATTGTAAAATGTGGATGTGTTTCCTTTTTCTGCCTTTCATCCTCCTTTAGGAATTGGTAACTATTATGAATCAAAGCCTGCATTTTTATAGTTGGTATTTATATAATATCCTTTTATTATTTTTAGTCATGAATAAGTAAGACTAATACCTGACAGTATTCTTACTAACTGAAAACTATTTCAGATTTTGATATTCTTTGAATTAAGTTGCTTATAATCTTAAGTTATTGCTGTTGTAGCTACATCTTGTACTGTTTTTAGTGTTTAAGAACTTTTTTAAGTTTAAAATTTTAAGGGGGGGGTAGGAGGATGGGTGAAATAGATGGTGGGGATTAAGGAGTGCACTTGTGATGAGCACCAGGTATTGTATGGAGGTGTTGAATCACTATATTGTATACCTCAAACTAATATAGCACTATATGTTAACTAAATGGAATTGAAATAAAAACTGAAAAAAAGTTTTAAGCTTTTAATGTTTATTTTCAGACCCAAACCTTTATTGTTCAAAGGAGATCACAGATACCCCTCATCTAATCCTGAAAACCCAGTGGTGATTTTCTACTCTGAGATTGGTTATGAGGAATTTTATAATTTCCACCGCCAGCTTATATCAAAAAGCAATGCAGGCAAAATCAATTATGTATTCAGACATTATATACTTGTAAGTATTGATTTTAGAACTTTTATAAATGTTAATTTGCCCAGCATGACCTTAGCATGTAAGCTAATAATATTCCCCCTTTATAAAATTATTTGAATTACTTTTTATCATATCTGTTATTTGCACACAGGAGGTACTTTGCTTGCGTTTCTGAAGAAATATAAAACAATTATGCTTAAAAAATGGCTTATAAAGTTTACATTGTATTTAGAAATGAACTATGTAAATTATATTTTCTAGATTTAATGTGATCAGCATACTGTGAAACTGATTTTTTTTTGAAACTGATTCTTAAATTCCGTTCCTTTCAAACCGTTTTTTTCATTTTGGAATGTTTGATGGAAAAGGGAGGATTTCTAAAAGCAAGCGGAGTTGATTTAAAATTAAGTTTTTAAAATCTTTTGTAACATTTAGCATTTATATATATCTACATATATATAGATAGATATATATATGTAGGTATGTAAACATATCAGCCTTTAAAGTTTCTGTGTCATAATAAGCTCAGTAAAATTGAGTGGTAAGTCCATACAAGTAAAATAAAATTTTTAAATGAAAATTTGTATGAATAGAAACAGATTTTTTTTTAATATCCAGTTTTTGGCAACTATTCTCCTTCCCAAGCTGTTACTAAAGATTAAAATATCTAAAGCACCATCCTCATTCAGGATGATGGTAAGCCTGTGATAGTTGGTCAGCCCAAACCCTACCTGAAGACATTTAAATTTCAATTAAAAATGAACACATAACACACGTGGTCCCAACAAAGTACTTCAGGGTTTGAAACCTCATCAGTTTTAAACCCTGCTATGTAGGCTCTGGAACTTCCTTTTCTTTTTCTCCATTTCTTCACATGGTTTGGCTACTTTTGCCCTGTCAGCTGTCCCTTCATCTGGTTTTGCTTCTGCTTTGGAATTCCCATTGCCATAATTGTGGCAGGATACAAAATCTAAAGGAGGCTGGGATTCCCATGGAAGTTTATTTTGAGTGCATAATCCTGGGTGGTGGCTATGTGACATTAACATCCTCATGTCCTGTACACTGTGACATGTAAAGAACCAGATAGTAATGGTGGAATACTTACTCTGCTTGCAGAATCCCGGGAAGGAGCCTGTTTACCTCTCTGGCTATGGTGTGGAGTTGGCAATTAAGAGCACTGAGTACAAGGCCAAGGATGATACTCAGGTGAAAGGTGAATTTGTAAATTAAGACCAATGTGTTTTCTTTTCTTTAAATGTGAGTGAAAGGGAATTTGTTTCCTTAATGCAAAATAATAGATTTAGGAGTATGATGAATCTGTGTTTGAATTCTGGTTCTGTTACCTCTGAGTTGGATGATGTTAAGTGAATTCTGTAGGTCCTAAATTTTTTCTTTGTAAAGTGCAGATAATGGTATATGCCTCCTAAAGTATTTGTGAGGAGAAAATAAGATGTCTAAGTAAAGAAGGTAGCACAGTGTTTTTGCACAAAAAGTTCAATAATTGTAGCTGTTGTTATTGATGATATGTAGTTCACAGATAGCCATTGATATGTGACCCAGTGTGAAATCTTAAAACTATCTTATACTTAATGAATAATTTTGTGTGTTTTATTATTTTCTGCATTTGGAATAGTTTTTTTTAAATTTAAATAATTTTTTATTGTTATGTTAATCACCATACATTACATCATTAGTTTTTGATGTAGTGTTCCATGATTCATTGTTTGTGCATAACACCCAGTGCTCCACGCAGAACGTGCCCCCCTCAACACCCATCACCAGGCTAACCCATCCCCCCCACCCCACTCCCCTCTAGAACCCTCAGTTTGTTTTTCAGAGTCCATCGTCTCTCATGGTTTATCTCCCCCTCCAACTTACCCCCCTTCATTCTTCCCCTCCTGCTATCTTCTTCATAGTTTTTTTTTTTTTTAATGGATATACTTCCTATCGTGCTACTCTAGAGTTCTGAATTCATTATTTCAACCACAAGTTTTTTTTTTCTTCCAAAGATTTTATTTATTTGAGAGAGAGAGAGAGAGTGAATGAGAGAATGAGCAGAGGGAGGGGCAGAGGGAAAGGAAGAAGCAGACTCCCTGTCAAGCAGGGAACCTGACATGGGGCTCCATCCCAGGACCCTTGGATCATGACCTGAGCCAAAGACAGATACTTAACCGACTGAGCCACCCAGGTGCCCTCAACCACAAGTTTTATGTGCAGTCTATTTCTTCCTTATGTGCTCATTTTAATGATTGGTTTGAGTAAATGGAGGATAGTCTAGTACTTCATCATTCTGTTCTCAATAATTATACTTAGGATTAAGTTGCTTAATTGCAGATTCTTCAGAATTTTGATACTGAAAAATCCACTGTTCATAATTTTAAGGGTATTAATTTTGAGCTTTTTAACATATAAAATTTTCCAAAGCATTAGGAAAAAATCCATTTTTACTTTCTCCAGAACACAAGATATATTGAAAAACACATATTCTGTTTGTTTAAAAAAATACCCTGCAAAATGTTTGTTGAGGTAGTTGGTGTTTTAAATGGTATTATAATTTGAGGTGTTTCTAATTTGCTTTCCATTATTCAAATTTTATTAGGTTAATAACATTTTAATTTCCCTTCTAAACAATTAGACATGTATTTGCTTTTGCTTTTATAGGAACTGAGGTAAACACCACAGTGATTGGTGAAAATGATCCCATTGATGAAGTTCAGGGGTTCCTCTTTGGAAAATTAAGGTATGGCATATTGTTTTGGGAAATGCCCTTATTCTCTTAAAGCTCCAGGCTTCCTCCCATTAATAAGCATCATCTTTCTCATTACTGTCCGACTTACAGATCTCTCAGTAGTACTTTATATATGTAATGTGATACGAAGCAATTACCACTTCACTTACTGTATAGTTTATGATCTCCAGGCATCCGAAACACATTATTATTAAATGATATTAAGGTGGCCTGCCTATGGCTTTAGTTGATTTCCGTTTCTGGGCCTTGCAGTTGATGACATAAAGTTACATTCCAGTTTTTGATTCACATAATAGGAACATCTAATTGTTTCAATTTTTCTCAAGATAATAAAAAATATTTTAAGTGAGAGAGGTCATAGCTGTTTACTTAAGCTAAGCATAGCCTCAAACAATACAAAAAAGGTACTTTCAGTTGAAATATATTAGACTTTCCTTTATATGAAAGAGGATAAAAGATGCTTTCTTAAAGAAAATTTCATAGCCATTTTATGAAAGTATCATAGAAATTTATAGCTGAAAATTCTTCTTAGTTGTTATTTTAAATGTTGTAGTTATTTCTATTATGCCTTGTTAATTGTTTAGAGTCCTGAATAGTTATTTTTCTGTTAAGCCTTGAAAATTGTTTAGAGCCCTGAATTCTGCTTTATCTGGAAATTTTAATTAGGACAGCCCCAGTGAGGTTTTTTGGCTTTTGTGTTTTTGTTTGTTTGGGCTTTTTTTGTTGTTGTTGTTGGTAAAGGAATGGATCCTGAAGATATATGTATAGGTCCAGTTTCATATACTTGAGCTTTAATATTTGGCCCAGTGAAATGACTTAATCAGGCTAACAGGTTAGCAGAGATGACTCAGTTCATGTTGAATTTCTTTTCTTTTTTTTTAAAGATTTTATTTATTTATTTGAGAGACAGAGAATGAGAGAGAGAGAGCACGAGAGGGAAGAGGGTCAGAGGGAGAAGCAGACTCCCCGCTGAGCAGGGAGCCCGATGTGGGACTCGATCCCAGGACTCCAGGATCTTGACCTGAGCCGAAGGCAGTCGCTCAACCGACTGAGCCACCCAGGCGCCCCCATGTTGAATTTCTGTGCACAAGTTCAGTTCATCCTATGCATATGCATGTTTCTTTGTGTTTAACATCAGTTTGGGCCTCATTAGTATGCAATCAGATTCCATTTTTATTGAACCCAGGTTTTCAGAATCTCTTCATATTCATGTTTTTTATGTTTGCTTTTTGGATAGCATTATGATCTTATGTATTTAGAGCACAAAGCTAGTATGTAGAGTATTGAAGACATTTTCTTTTGTGGACATTCAGAATAGTTATTTAGCTATCTAAAGTAATGGGACCATTTTCTGATATTTTTATCATGAAGAAGATTTTGTAGTAACTGATTGAAAATGAATTGGTCGGAAGGTGAAGAATCTGAGTAAATATTTTACTTTATATGGCATTTAAGAAATTTTGAGTTTCTAGCATTTAAAGGAACAGAATTACTCTACCAGCCATCTGTTGTCTGATCTAAATGATACATATCTGTCTTATAACTTCTGTTTTACTAGCTTTAAATAGAATGTACTATATGTCAAGATAAAACTAAAGGAAACCCAATAATCTTGGTTAGCTTAAGTTGTATTATTCATGTGATTAAAGGATTTATGAGCATGTAGCTGAAAGAAATCCATTTTGGGACTGGCAGCGATATATTTCCAGTTTTATTTTGAGAAACTAGGAAGATTAGTAAAGTATGGAAAATAATAGAACATACACATGTACTTAACACCCACAATTGATGGTTGTAATCATACTTGCTTTTCGGTTCCAAAGAACTCTTTATCAAGTTTTTTTCCAACATACGCCTTCTTTTACTTAAAAAAAAAAAAAAGGGTAAAACACTACAGGTAGAGTTGGGGTCCCCTTTTCCCCCATTTTCAGTCCCATTCCCCCCCGACACAGAGAATCACTATTGTAGTGATTCAGCTTTTTAATCTGTAAATTTTATGGTTTTTAAAATTGTAATTTTCTATATTAGCTTATTTTTTTTTAAAGATTTTATTTGAGAGAAGGAACACGAGTAGGGGGAGGGGCAGAGGGGAAAGCAGACTCCCCACTGAGCAGGGAGCCTGCAGGGCTCAGATGCAGGGCTCCATCCCAGGACTCTGGGATCATGACCTGAGCTGAAGGCAGACACTTAACCGACTGAGCTGCCCAGGCGCCCCTATATTAGCTTATTTTTAAGAAAAATAATTATGCTTTAATATTTTTCCTATATTGTAGGAATTTTCTTATTGCTAAGGGGAAAATCATGAAGATAAAATTGGAGCCATTTTCTAAGTGTGCTTTGAGAAGGGAAAGACAGGTTAATAAGACTGATTTTATGTTTCTTTTAGAGACCTGCACCCTGACCTGAAGGGGCAGTTGAAAGAACTCAGAAAACATCTTGTGGAAAGCACCAATGAAATGGCACCTTTAAAAGTTTGGCAGTTGCAAGGTAGTAAACATGTAGAGGAATCACTGGCCTACTTTTTGACTAAATTTTATGGTATTAAAAAAAATGTAGAATTTGAAATTAATGTTATCTATTTGCCAGATTCTGAAGGTACCACAGATTTTCAATATAGAGGCATTAATTATGATTAATCAGAAAAGAAAGGAAGTCCTTTTGGAGATAGTTAACACTATGCAGTAGATATAAAAATGAGTGCCAGATCTTTATCTGTGTAAACAGATACATAAGTGGGTAATAGTACAAACAAGTTTGTCTTAGTCTTTATGTTTATATATAAGTTTCTTGAACAGTGTATATGTTGAATGTTAAAGACATTAACATGGCAGGATATATTTTTGCTTTTCTGGTCCAAAGATCTAGTTATCACAGTATTTTTTTTTAACATAATTTACTAAAGTCTTTTGCTATACTTTGTGGGGACGTATGAAGTGAATAAAACCTGAAATTAAATCATGGGCACTCTCTGAAATGGTTGCATTCTCAATTACCAAGAAAATTGTGAGAAAGAAATTTTTTTTCTTATTTCTCTTTGCATTAGATTAATGCACTTTAAATTGTATTTGACCTTGTTGCAGATCTCAGTTTCCAGACTTTAAATTGTATTTGACCTTGTTGCAGATCTCAGTTTCCAGACTGCTGCCCGAATCTTGGCTGCTCCTATTGAATTAGCTTTGGTGGTTATGAAGGATCTTAGTCAAAATTTTCCTACCAAAGCCAGGTAATAAAGAGTAAGGCTCTGACACATTTTTCTCTTTGACACATACATAATTATCTTCATGTGTACATGCAAAATGAGGTGAGTAAAATATGAAAATGCTTAGAAAATTAAAGTTTTACTACCAATACCATACTGCTAATGATGCTGTCTTTTTGGGAAGATGGCAATACCGTACATTGTGTGGTTGGAGAGACCCATCTGGCTTGTGTCCTTGGCTCTGCCACTTGCTAGTTGCATGATGTTTGCAAATAAGCAACCTCTCTTTACCTCACTTCCTCAGCAGTAAAATGGAAATAATGATACCTACGTGTCAGGATTGGATGAGTTAACAAAATCTGATGTCTGCAGATATAACTAATTTAGGGTCTGGCATGGACTATAATGTTTTGTTCCTGAAGAGTTTTATATACATCATCTTATTCAAACTTGATGAGGAAAATGAGTTCTAGAGGCTTTTTCATGGTGACACAATAAGATTTTGAATGCAGCTTTTTTTGATATTGCTTTCAGTTGTATAATGGTCCTCCACATCTTCTAAATAAATGATTTTAAAAGCCAAATTTTTAGAGACTAATGACTTAAATGGTTGCCAGTGTTTTTCTTGAATAACTGAACAAGGTGTTTTGACTTCTGATGTGAGATATTTTATAAATAAGTTTGTTTATTTGATTAGTCTTGGAAAATATTTCTTAGGACTTATAAATCATATAGTACATTCTCATTTAGTTCAGCAGGCTATTGAAGATATACATGTAGGATTACACCTCCACCAAAAGTGCTCAAATAGTATGAGGAGTCTTTCACCTTAATTTAACATTAGCCCTTAGCCTGTGAACAGTAAAGATCATATATAGGAATAGAGTTACACATACTTAACGTAAGATCTTGGGGATAACTGCACTTGCTTTAAAATGCTGCTACAACTGCTACTTTTCTGTGGCATCATATCTTGTAGTAAAATGAAAATATACGTACACCTGAATGGAGAAATGTATTTAATTATTTGTGAAGGTGAAGGTTTTTTTTTTCATCTAGTTTTTTGTAATGTATTGAGCAATGTGTTGTTTTATACGTAAATATAGGGAAACTGAAGACATATCAAATGTTAAACTAAACACTAATAACATTTTTATTTCTTTAGAGCAATAACAAAAACAGCAGTGAGTTCAGAACTTAGAACCGAAGTGGAAGAGAATCAGAAGGTATTACCCAGTGAAAAATCACTATTTTCCTTTCTGTTTTGTATTGTATCTTTAAAGATGAGGAAATCTGAGTTACATCAGTGACATTTAACAGTTTTACTGTTAAATCACATCTTTTAGTAAAGATGATGGTGTTTTATTTCTGTAATCGTTTTTTATATTTTTAATTTTTAATCAGAGTTGAATATGAATATAATTCAAACATCAGGGGTGCCTGGGTGGCTCAGTTAATTAGGTGTCCGACTCTTGATTTTGGCTCAGGTCATGATCTAGGGGTCCTGGGATCAAGCCCCATGTCAGGCTCTGCACCCAGTGTGGAGTCTACTTGTCCCTCTTCCACTGTTCCTCTTCCCACTCCTGCTTGCTTGTGCGTGTGCTCTCTCTCTCTCTCAAATAAATAAATAAAATCTTTAAAAAAAAAATCAGATGGTGCCACCACTTTGTTTAGATAAGCATCCTCGTAATATGACTTCCTCCCTGTTTTGTCCCCCTTATTAGAAGTATCTGCTTTCAACACTTAGCTAATTGTTTTGATATTTATCCCCAGATTTTTAGCAAGTTTGAACTGGTACAGTGTTTTCCAGTTTCAACCTTATGTCTTGGCCTCCATTACAAGGATGAAGTTTAACTTTCTTTCACTGCCCCTCACCCCTATGTCTGCCATTACTCCATATTGGTACTTCCCTGTCTCTCCAATTTCTCTGTATATTTTTGTGATTTCATCGATTTTTGTTCTGCTCCACTGTGGTCTGGTGGTTCTTTATGTCTGGGGCATACCAGTTATCCTGGGACCTTGCTTTAATCTCTTTTGTTGGATCTCCTGTTCTTGGATTCCAGGTCTTCTTTGTTTTTGGTTTACTCCCTTATTTTGGTGTAGCACATCATTCTTCATGAGAAGAGTTACATGTGAGGTAAATTTCAGACTCTGAGAAATCAAATTTCCAATTTCTGTTTTTTTTTTTTTAAAGATTAATTAATTTATTTGCGAGAGAGAGAGAAAACACAAGCAGGGAGGAGGGGCAGAGGGAGAGGGAGAAGCAGTCTCCCCACTGAGCGGGGAGTCTGATGTGGGGCTCGATACCAGGACCCTGGGATCATGTCCTGAGCTGAAGGCAGACGCTTAACTGACAGCCACCCAGGCATCCCTCCATTTCTGTTTTTATTGATATCTTGGCTGGGTATAGAATTCTAGATTGGAAGTCACTTAGAAGTTTTGTTACCGGACCAAAGTGGGTCTGCTCCTTGGTGAGTAATAAGACAGAGATTATACCAGGTAGAGTTGCCTTCAGAGGTCATCTTTATTTGTATAAATAGGGACATCACAGGGAATAATTTCCAAAGCCATGACTATTCCAATAGGGGTAGGCTGCCTCCTTTTATTAGGGTTTGGGATGACTATTCCCCAAACTGGGGACTTTAACATTATAATGAGGCTGAGGAAGGAACACTTTCTGATTCATCTGCGCAGGTGTCATGCATCATCCTCAAGTTTCTTTCTCTGGTCCAGCAATTTGTTAGTTTCTAAAAGATGAAATTGACAGACTGAACCTTTTAGGAGTTTGCTGAGTTCAGTAGGTCAGTCCTGAGTTTGGGGGAGGTCAAGGGTGACAGTTTGAAGGTACTGCTTTTTGGAATTTTGGTTTCTATTGTGGATATTGAGAAATCTGAACCCTTGGTATGAGATCTGTTTTTTCTTTCCAGAATCATTCAGGATCTTTTCTTCAGCCCTATAATCTGAAATTTCACAATGCTGTGCCTTTTAAGAAAATCTCTGTACTGTTGGGTGAATGGTGGCCCCTCTAAATCTGGAAAACAATTTCCTTTAGTTTTGGGAAATTTGCTTGAATTATTTCTTTGCCTCATTTCCTCTGGTTTCTCTCTTTTGTTTTCCTGGAATTCTTCATTTTTAAGGTATTGCATCTCCTCGACTAGTTTGTCCTAATTAAAAAATACATTTTATTTCTTATTTTCCAGTTCTTTTATGTTTTATTTTTAAACTTTCTGGGAAAGATTTTCAACTCCTTTGTTGATATTTTTCCTTTAGTTTTCAAATCTTTAATTTCCAAGGGTTATTGTTCTTAGATTCCTCTTTTTGTGGTGTTCTTCTATCTTTCTGAAGCTATCAGTGGTGCATGTGTATGTTTTCTTCTATTTATTTAAAAATTTCTATTTATTTATTTATTTTTAAGATTTTATTTATTTATTTGACAGAGAGAGACACAGTGAGAGAGGGAACACGAGCAGAGGGGGAGTGGGAGAGGGAGAAGCAGGCTTTCCCGTTGAGCAGGGAGCCCGATGCGGGGCTCGATCCCAGCACCCTGAGATCATGACCTGAGCCGAAGGCAGACACTTAACAACTGAGCCACCCAGGGCCCCTGTTTTCTTCTCTCTTGCACCATCTGTTTCCTCTTAAGTTGACTTTCTTTGTGTCTTGGTCTCTTGTCTTTAATGTTAGAGGCTTTCCTTACATGTTTGGTGATCCGCTGCTCATATTGAAGAGAATGAGGCAATAAAGAGCTGATGGGAAGCCTTAAGAATTAGGCTTTTGACTGTAGGCTCTCCTGGTATGACAATTTCCTAGTTCACCCCAGTTCACCCTCAGGTGTCAGTATCCTGATACCTTTCCTCTTGAGCTGTTCAGTGTCCAGAAAAGGATCTTCTGATCTTCTGCCTGGACGGTGAAGTCTGGCTGCCTGAGTGGAACTTCCACCCAGTCCCCAGTTTTCAGTGAGGGGTCCCTGCCCTCAGTTGTGCTTCATTTCCCCAAGTTCCCAGATTCTCTCTTTCACTCTTTCCAGGGAATTTTCCTCCATTTTTCTGGAGTAGAGGGAGTCATGACAGCAGTCACCTTAACTGTGTGAAATCAGCAGGGGAGTCTGAGGGCTCTTATCTTTAAAAGGCTGTCCATCAGAACTCATTTTCTAGCCTAGTGATTACCCCCTCATACATGTGTTCTTTGTGCTGTCAATTCTTGAGCCTTTTGAAGAGTTCCACAGGATAACTTGTGGTTTCCGTTGGCTTGCCATTCAGCTTTCTCGGGGTTGCTAAGACAGTTACTGTTCATGCATTTCCTTTCCACCTTCCAAAATTAATTGCCCTTTTTCTTTTTTGTTCTCTTTGTTGTTGTGGATTTATAACTTTATAAAAGTCCCTTTTTAAAAAACTGACATTTCAACAGAGTTTCAGGAGGGGAAAAAAGAAATGCTTGTGTTCAGTCTATTAACTTTACCCCAGATTTTTTAAACCTTTACATGTGAGATATTAATTAAATAGATCTGAGGACTAAGTAAACCAAATTTATCTCAAATATTTACTAAGTTGAAGAAACCTTATTAACAGTTTTTATTTACTTTATTTTTGATTTCCAGAATAATAGTACCAATACTTAAGCCTTTTTCCCCCACAAGAGAACAAAACATTAAATTATATAGATTGTAGTATTTCCTGGATTCTTTTTTTTATTAAATATTTTGTTAAAGTATAAAACACAAAAATATACAACACATGCAAAAATGTGCACAAATCCTCTATCTTTAGTGTGATGAATTTTCACAAAGTGAACTTTGCTCTTTTACCAGCACCCAGATTTTGAAATAGATAGGAGTCATGTTTAGCAGCTCAGAATCAGTGTTTCTTACAGTCAGAGGGTATACAGCCTGGGTGTCAGTGGACATGGAGGTTTTTCTTTCCCATGTAAGAAATTCCATTTCTGATTTGATGCAACTCTCCATTTTCCCCTTATTTTATCTGCAATTTAATCCTTGCAGGGCAAAGAAGCAGAAGCTGTGGCTTCCTCATCGTTTTATGCTTTACCCATGCAATACTGGACCTTAAAGTTTACTTCTCTTAGTCTGCTGACTCCTGGGAAATGAAGGGAGCTCAACAGTCCCTGTCCTTCTTGTTCCTATGAGAACTAAGGACTTAAGTTCTGTCCCTAGTATCTGAGTAGTTTTTTCCCTTTGCTGTGTGGATTAGCTCCCTGTGGTGTGGAATATGAATAGTAGTCCCAGTTTCCTTGAAAGGAAAGAGTAATTAAATGGAAAGATAGAAGTCAACAGAAGCTACAGCATGGCATCCAAGCAGTGTGTCTGATGGGTCAGGCAGGTCTGAAGGGCTGCAGGGACTGCAGTCACCTGTGTGTCAGGGAGCCACCGTCTCAGGGAGCAGCAGTTGAAGGGCCCCATGGAGACCAGGTCTTGGACAGTTAGGTGCATGTGGGTGCTGTCTCCAGGGCAGCAACTCAGTTTCTTAGTGTGCATTAGTTTGAAGGTTTAAGGGAGGTGTGGGTCTTGAAACCCTTTTAGATTAGATCCCTGGAGTTCATCAAGAAGGCCCAGCTGTTAGTGACTGCTATCACCACCTTGGTTGGCATCACAAACAGTAAATAGTAAAAGAAGTCACCTTTTATGAAAATGACCCTCAGCACTTGGCTTATTTAATCAATCTCCCTCATCCTCTTTCCCCCAACATTATGGGAAACAGTTGTATTAATCGTAGTTGGAAGGAGGAAAGGGAGGAGTGGTGTATTTCACATGAAACAGTAGTTTCATTACAATGTAGTAAATGCTAAGAATGGTCTGTGGGAGTACATAAAAGGAAATCTTAACCCAGCCTTAGGGTTTCCTATAATAAATAAGAGGATGCAACATTTGTACATATACTAAAGTCAGAAACATGGAAATTTTTGTTAAACATTCTCTTCTCCTTAACTTTTTTTTTTTTTTTTTAATATTTTAGTATTTCAAAGGAACTTTAGGATTACAGCCTGGAGATTCTGCCCTGTTTATCAATGGACTTCATATTGATTTAGATACACAGGATATATTCAGGTATGGATAATATTTTTTATTCTCTGAAAAGGTTTTATAATGTTAGCTTCTTATAGCATGTTCAGATTGTTTTTCCTACTTCACGTGGCATGTTGCAAAGCCTAATGGCTTACCAGGTGGAGTGAGTAATGAGTCCTGAGTCATGAGTGGATGACTGGGATGACACAATAATACTGTCATTTGTTATTATAATGTACTTTCAAGACCTTGGACATTGAAGGCCTAAGTGTCTTTCGAGGGTGCCCTTTTAGAGCTATAGTTTTCCTCTTATCCGTAAAAAAAGAGAGAGTGCGAGTGGGTTCTTTTACTTATGGAAACTGTGCAGTAGGTTTATCCAAAATGCTGCCTCTGCCTCCGTGTCTCAGAAGGTGTTCCATCTTACATATATTATTTGAATATCTAGGGACGCCTGGGTGGCATAGTTGGATAAGTAGCTGACTGTTGGTTTCGGCTCAGGTCATGATCTCAGAGTTGTAATCTTAAGAGTCGTGAGATTGAACCCCATGTGGAGTCTGCTTGGGTTTCTCTTTCCCTCTCCCTTTGTCCCTCCCTTGCTCTCTCTCTCTCTCCTTTCTCAAATGGATAGATACATCTTAAAAAAAAAAAAAGAGTATCTATCTCTTTATATTGTTAAAATATAGTTCAGGACTAACTTGCTGTAAATTGACCTTATGAATTTTGAGGGGGGGTGGATAGTTAGGTAGAATTCAGATTTTGTCCTTGGAATTAAGATTGACACAGTTGACACTGGGGCTTCATAATAGTGAAAACAAAAGCTACTGCTAATGCTTCAGAAGAACGGGTTGCCCCAATAAGATATTTTAATTGAGCCTTTTATTGCCTCCTACTGCTTTTCAGAGCTACTAAAAAAATGGTGTGGATGCTTTAAAAAGATTGCCCAGATTTGTAATTTTTTTTTAAGTAAAAAATATGCGCCTATCTCTTTAATTTTTCAGAGTTTACAAATTGAGTACTTGCTTATTTAAACAGTTTTAAGTGATAGATAAAAGAACTAAGAAAAGGAGAGTCTTCATCCTGGCTTCTTATTTCTTCTTCCTTCCCATCTTTTCTACTTTCCCTAGCAAACCTTTACGTTGGGTATAAATTCTTCCAGACCTTTTACTGTGGTTGTATATGTGTGCATCTTGTAAATTGACACTGATGTTGTAACCTATGTTAAATCTATATAATGTAGTTTTTAAAATAAATTTTTAATTATGAGATAATTGTAGATTTATGTAGAAATAATACAGAGAGGTTACCATAGTGTTTTTTTTAAAACATGCAGTGCAAAATTCAGATGAGGATTATTTCATCCTCAAATTGTGTATTTATATTTAGAGATAATTTTATACCTGATAGATACATTGATAAGTTTAATAAGAAGCAAGTCCTACCTACTTCGTTCTCTATATTTTGACGAGGTGAAGCAAGGGGAAGAGCTCCCTTTTTTGATTTCTTGGCTAGTTTGAACAGGCCATTGAATTTGAAATGATAAATCTTTTCATGGTGAGGTTTTTTTTGTGTTTTTTTTTTTTAAACTTTTTCTACTAAATACCTTTTTTTCCCCCCAGTCTGTTTGATATATTGAGGAATGAAGCTCGGGTAATGGAGGGTCTGCATAGATTGGGAATAGAAGGCCTTTCTCTGCATAATGTTTTGAAACTGAACATCCAGCCCTCTGAGGCCGACTATGCTGTAGACATCCGGAGTCCTGCTATTTCAGTAGGTATTCTGTTGGAGTGTCCAAGGGGCACTGGCATTTTGTTATGGTTTTCTCATTGCGTTTTGTGCATGTATGTGAGAATTTATTTGGGGTGGATACCTAGAACTAGAATACTTCTCTAAAGTGACTGTTTTCTTCTCTAAAGTGACTATTCCAGGCACCAGCATTGGGTGAGAGTTCCAATTGCTCTATACCCTTGCCTATTCTTGGACATTGACAAACTTTAAAATTTAATGATTGTGAAATTTCACTGTGGTTTTAGTTTCTAATTCTCAGATTACTAGTGAAGATGTACATCTTTACTTGTGTTAATTGCCCTGTTGAATTTCCTCTGTAAATTTCTTCATATCTGTAGCTTATTTTCTTTTCTCATATGTTGCGGACCTTTTTTTATTGATATGTTAGATTTCTATACATGGTCTTGATACTAGTCCTTTATTGGTTTTGTAGGTTGCAAATATCTTCTGTGGCTTGTGTTTTAGTCACTCATTTTTCTACTTGATCTTTGTATTTTTGCAAATGGTCTTTTCTCATGTGATTCTCCTTAAAATCATTTCAAGTTTTACTGTTATTTCTGGTATTTTTACTTATAGTGACTAAAGTATATGCACCATGATGTGCATTTTTTTCCTAGTGGATCAACAACTTGGAGGTTGACAGCAGATACAATTCATGGCCTTCTAGTCTACAAGAGTTGCTTCGACCCACCTTTCCTGGTGTTATCCGGCAGATCAGGAAAAACTTGCATAACATGGTGAGTAAAACTACTTATTGTCTGGTGATGAGCTCTGTTTCTCCCTTGCCTTCTCCCCTACCTTTAAGCCATATCTAGACTGTTCATTTTTCCCCTGTACTAGCTGCTTCTCCCATCACTATCACCACTAAATATGTTCTTCTACCTCCATATTCATACTGAAGGGTTTTTAAATGTATTGATCATGTGTGAGGCTGTGAGATGTCACAGTAGCAATGCTGCCTCCATCAGCTTGTAAAGAAATGTTCCTCATCCTTAACCTGAAAGTTTAGGCCATGTTGTTTTAGTTTTTTAAGATTTATTTTAGAGAGAGAGAGCGCAAGTGAGCATGCGAGCAAGAGCAGGGAGAGGGGCAGAGGGAGAAAGAGGGAGAGAGAATCTTAAGCAGACTCTGCACTGAGCATGGAGCCTGACGTGGGGCTCGACCTCATGACCCTGAGATCACAGCCTGAGTCGAAATGGAGAGTCAGACACTTAACCAACTACACAGCCCAGGGCCCCTTATTTTAGTTTAAAGATAGTTTTACTCAGAAGATGAATATGCTACTACTCTTTTCCTTTAATATCTTAATCTCTAAAACTTAAATAAATCTTTCTGTGAGCTCCTACTTGTTATTCCTTATTTCACTGCTTTAGAGAGAGAGAGGAGGAGTTTTCTTAGTTGGCCCTCTTTTTCCCTGTCATTTCTTCTTTTCCCACCATTTATTCTTAAAGAGATTGGGGGCAGGTCTCCTTCCCCAGAACGTGCAAGGGAAACTGCCCTCTATACTTGTCTCACTTTTGAAACCACTTTTTTCCTTCCTGGTCAAAATTTCATTCTCTTTTTCTTACTATATATCTGAACTTTATTAAACGGGGTTATATATGTATTTAAAGCACATCATGAAATCTTAATACATGATAGCTATTATTGTGATCTAAAAATTGAGTTTTAAATGAATTCTTAATTCAGAAATGCTTAGAAATGAATACACAGAAAAGATAATCTCAGTTTTCTAAGGTAGGAGAGTTCATAAAACTTGGGTTTTTTTAGGTGTAGTAAAACTATGGATGTTAGTAATCTGGAACACAGTTCCCATGTTATTAGCAGAATATCATGAGAGTACTGCATTCTTTTGAACATTAAGGAGGGAAACTGCTGTTTGTGTAACTCCTCTTTCATGTGGTTCAACAGTTGCTGGAAGTACAAAGTGTAACAGCATTTTTATGTGACATTAGAATAAATTTCATTTTATGTGTTCCCTTCCCCCTTCCCCTTTACAGGTTTTCATAGTTGATCCTGCTCATGAGACCACAGCAGAGTTGATTAACACAGCTGAGATGTTCCTCAGTAATCATATACCACTAAGGTAACACTGGTATTGATTGAATGATATATATCTAATTAGCGGAGGTTTTGTCATTCTTAAATGCAAGTCTGGTGCTACTGGATAATTAATAGTCGGATCATTAATGGCAGTTGTATCTTTTGTTTAAGTATGAAGCAGTATCTTTTGGGGTAGAAAATTTGATTCTCAATGAATAAAAGCTTACCACCATTGAATTATTAATAAATAGCTCATGTAAAAATAGTTTGTGGTCTCAGCTTGCTTCCCAGTGAAAGGGAATTTTCCTAGGTAAGTGTCCACATCACAAAGCCTATTTCTGCTTTTACTGGAGATAAAGAGCTTTGCCAACAACTTTTTTAGACTGGCAAGGACTAAATGTACCTGTAGCTTTTTGTAGACGCAGACACACTTGTTTTATTTGCATTGCCAAATCTACCAACAGGGTACTTGAATGGCTGGATTTTTCACTGTGCTTTTTTAAGAACAGCATTTTAATGCTTTACAAATACATGCTAAGATATTTTCACTTATATTCTTTTTTTTAAAGATTTAAAGAGAGAGAGAGTGAGAGATTGATATCACACGCAAGGGGTAAGGGTAGAGGGAGAAGCAGACTCCCCATTGAGCAGGGAGCCCCGATGTGGGACTCGATCCCAGGACCCTGGGATCATGACCTGAGCCGAAGGCAAACGCTTAACCCATGGAGCTACCCAGGCGCCCATTTTCACTTATATTCTGAGTAATGTCGACCAAAATCTGAATTCTTAGAAAACATGAAAATAGAGAAGAAGAAAAGTCTAGCTAACAAATGTAGTGTGTTCTGTGCCCAGCACTGAGCTAAATGCTGTGGATAGTATCTAAGCTGTATTCCTACCTTCTTGGAAAAAATACTGTTCATACTTTCAGACACTTTAAGAAAATATTTGATCAGATGCTAGGTTATATCCTAGTCATAGTGCTTTAGAATTTCAGGGAAGCAAAAGATTATGAACTAAGATATTTGGGAGGGACAAAGGTTTCATGGAACAGTTGGATATTCATTAAGCTTTGAAGAAAATAGAGGGTTTTTATTGATGGAAAAGTAGAGATTTTGTTTAGTGAAATTTTTCATGTAAAACATGCATACCCGACTGAACTACTGGATTGCAGCCAGAGCTATATTTTGATTAAAAGAGAAATAAAAGAACACAGAAGAAGTTGGCCCATGGTACACGATGGGCACTAAGTAAATATTTATTGAATTTCATTGAGGGACAAGAAGAGGGAATGCGGTTTTCACATTGTGAAGGTAGGTGAGAATACACTTACTGGCAGTAGAGAGGAGTGTTGGCATGCATAGTTGGTGGAGAGACCCAAGGCAGACTGGCTATTGTTTTAGTCTTTGTTTCCTTTGATGTGGTACACCAGGCTGTTGACAGGGACAGAGGAGAGGAGGGGACAAATCTGGGAGACTCCCTAGTGGTACTTGATAAGAGACTGGGCCTGAGAGAAACAGAAGTCTGAAGGGGCCTAGCTAACAGAAAAACTCTGATGCCCTTTCTAGAAATTGGAAACGTGGAAAGGGGAATTCCTTTGTGAGGAGATACTTAGCTCTTATTATTTTTTTAAGATTTTTATTTGTCAGAGAGAGAGAGAGAGAGCACAAGCAGGGGAAGCAGCAGAGGGAGAGGGAGAAGCAGGCTCCTCACTGAGCAAGGAGCCCGATGTGGGACTCAATCCCAGGACCCTGGGATCATGACCTGAGCTGAAGGCAGACGCTTAACGACTGAGCCACCCAAGCGTCCCTAGCTCTTATTTTTGTTTTCATAAGAATAACATTTAAGTCATTTCTGCCTAGAACCTACTCATATGATTTCTGTTTTTTAAGTGGGATTTTAAAAAACAATTTTTATCTATAAATGAACTGTCTTGCCACCACCATCTACATATACACACACTCTACATACCTCAGGAGAGCATGATGTTTGATATGTATCTTTTTGTATTTTCTTCTATTTTTAGGCTTTACCTCTTTCTTTTTAATTAATAGACTTTGTATTTTTTAGAGCACTGTTAATTAGTCTGTATTGATACATTATTATTAACTAAAGTTCATAGTTTACATTTGGGTTCATTGTTTGCATTGTATAGTCTGTGGGTTTTGACAAATGTGTAATGACATGTTTCGACCATCACACAATCCTTTTTTTTTTTTTTTAAAGATTTTATTTATTTATTTGAGAGAGAGAGAATGAGAGACAGAGAGCATGAGAGGGAAGAGGGTCAGAGGGAGAAGCAGACCCCCCGCTGAGCAGGGAGCCCGATGTGGGACTCGATCCCAGGACTCCAGGATCATGACCTGAGCCGAAGGCAGTCGCTTAACCAACTGAGCCACCCAGGCGCCCTTTTTTTTTTTTTTAAAGATTTTATTTATTTATTTGAGAGACAGAGAGAGAGAGAGAGGCAGAGGGAGAAGCAGGCTCCCAAGGAGCAGGGAGCCCGATGCGGGACTCGATCCCAGGACCCTGGGATCATGACCTGAGCCGAAGGCAGACGCTTAACCATCTGAGCCACCCAGGTGCCCGACCATCACACAATCCTACAGAATAGTTTCACTGTCCTCCACATCCTCCCTGCCCCACCTGTTTGTCCTTCCCTCTCAACTGCTGGCAACCACTGGTCTCTTTACTGTCTCCATTGTTTTGCCCTTTCCAGACTCATGATATATATATCATTATTAGATTGGCTTTTTTTTTTTTCATTTAGCAGTATGCTTTTAAGGTTTATCCATGCCTTTTTTTTTTTAAGATTTTATTTATTTATTTGACAGAGAGAGAGACACAGCGAGAGAGGGAACTCAAGCAGGGGGTGTGGGAGAGGGAGAAGCAGGCTTCCCGTGGAGCAGGGAACCCGATGGAGGGCTCAATCCCAGGACCCTGGGATCATGACCTGAGCCAAAGGCAGACAACAACTGAGCCACCCAGGCACCCCTGTCTTTGTCTTTTTATGGCTTGATAGACCATTTCATTTTATCACCAAATAATATTCCATTAGATAGATGTACTCTAGTGTTTTTTTTTTTTTTTAATCCAGTCACCTATCGGTAAACATCTTGATTGCTTCCACATTTGTGTAATTATAAATAAAGTTGCTGTAAACATCCGTGTGTAGATTTTTGTATGGACATAAGTCTTCTGCTCATTTGAAAAATACCAAGGGGCACAATTGCTTTATCTTATGGTAAAAAGTGTTTTATAAGAAATTGCCACACTGTCTTCCAAAGTGGTTCTACTATTTTGCATTCTTACCAGCAATGAGTAAGAGCTCCTGTTGCTCCAGGTTCTCTCCAGAATTTGGTGTTGTCAGTGTTTTGGATTTTAGCCATTCTAATAATTTTGTAGTAGGATCCCATTGTGTTTTTTTTTTTTTTTTAAGATTTTGTTTATTTGACAGGGGGAGAGATAGCGAGAGCTGGAACACAAATAGGGAAAGTGGGAGAGGGAGAAGCAGGCTTCCCGCTGAGCAGAGAGCCCAATGCGGGACCGATCCCAGGACCCAGGGATCATGACTGGAGCTGAAGGCAGACGCTTAATGACTGAGCCACCTAGGTGCCTTCTATTGTGGTTTTAATTTGAAATTCCCTGATTACATGATGTTGAACAAATTTTTTTTTTTTTTTTTTTGCTATTTGCCAACTCTGTGCCTTGGTTGCTGAGGTACTAATTCAGATCTTTTGCCCATTTTAAACTTTTTGTTGTTGTTGAGTTTTAAGAGTTCTTTGTATATTTTGGATATCTGTCCCTTATCAGATATGTGTTTCTTAGTTTCTCACAGATTTTCTGCCAGTCTGTGGCTTGTTTTCATTCTCTTAATGGTGTCTTTCACAGAGCAGAAGTCCCAGTTTCAGTGAAGTTTAGCTCATCCCTTTTTTTTTTGGGTCATGGATCATGTTTTTCCTTGTTAGATCTAATAAGTCATTGACCAACCCAAGAACACCTAAATTTTCTGTGTTCTTTTCTAGGAATTTTATAGTTCTGTGTTTTATATTCATGTTTATGATCCATTTTGAGTTAATATTTTGTGAGAGGTATAAGTTCTCTGCCTGGATTTGTTTTTTTGCATTGTGGATTTCCAGTTCCATCACCATTTGTTAAAAAGACTGTCCATTCTCAGTTGAATTGATTTTGCTCCAATATGTAGGCTGGTGACTTCTGTATTGGCCAGTGCAAGTTTTTTGCTTTTTTTTTTTTTTTTTGCCAGTTTGTAGATGTGTAATGGTATCTTTTTGTGGTTCATTCTTATAATTTAATTTAAAATTTAAAATGTAATAAACATTAACCTTGGTTATAGCTTTTTGCCAACAGATAATAGTAAACATTTTTATATTTTCCATTTACCTATGATTTTCATCTTGCCTATGTTAATCTCAAAATCCACCCCCCTTTTTATATATTTTCACATTCTGAAAATGTTTATTTCCCCCAATTTTTGCTTAAAAACAACAAAATCTCCATCTAAAACTGTAACAGAATCCTTCATGTCAGTAAAGGCCTTTCACCATTGTGGAAGCAGTGTGGTTTAACAGTTGAAAAGTCTAAGGCACCTTTGGGAACCTGCTTTTCTATTCTGTAAGCGATGAAAGCCTTTGCCCAGTGCATTATAGTAGGATGTGAACTGTGCTTTTCGGTAGAAGAAATTACAATATGTGAGTGGGATACAGGGATGCCATTCTTTTTAACCAGTTGCATTTTTTGAGCTAAGTTTCTTTTTCTTCTTTTTGCCCTTCCCCCTCTCCCCAGAATTGGTTTAATCTTTGTGGTTAATGACTCTGAAGACGTTGATGGGATGCAAGATGCTGGAGTGGCTATTCTGAGAGCGTATAATTATGTTGCCCAAGAAGTGGATGATTATCATGCCTTCCAAACTCTGATACATGTATGTTTTCAATCAAAATGGCGAATAATTTTCTTAATTTAACTTACTCTAAGAAACAGTATGAGTTAAGAGGATTTTATATTTTTGTAAAGAGAAAAAGCATGATAAATTATTCTCTCAACCTTTGTGTTTTATATTTAAGGAGTTGCTTTTACTGATCTACTGATGTTAATAATAAATTGCTGTGATCTCAGCTAAGATTCCTTAGGAGCCCTACTAATGTACCTTATTAGTCTTCTGCCTTTTGGTGACTTGAAATCACTAATTAATTTTTCTTTTCTTTTTTTTTTTGTAAGTATGATGTTCTCTACTTGTTTAAAAAAATGTTTGCTTTTTTTCCTTTTAAGGTCTTTATATTTTCATTTAATTAATATTCAAATCATAAATTCTTATTGTCTGTTTTCTCCATATTTTTACCTTGGGAACTGAACTACCCTGAGTTTTATATATATTTAAGACACTTTCTCCAGTTCAAACAAGAAACTCTCTTCTTTTTTTTCTATTTTTAAATATAAAAAATTTATAAGTAATAGTTCTTTTGCTTACAGATTAGTGGTAATTATTAGAAAACCATCTTTAAAGCAGTTGATTTTCACCACTTATTTTTTAACCTATAAACATATCAGCCTGCTGTTTATTATGTTTGTTATATTTATTGTTTAGAGATTCAGTCTGGAGCATTTTTTATTAGTTAAAATGTTCATTTATTTATTTGGCTAACATCTATTAAAGACTTACCATTTGCCAGGCCTGGTACTAGCTGCAAGGGATACAAAGAAGAGTAAGACTTCACCCCTGTCCTCAAAGACCTTATATTCTAGTGGGGGACATGTCCATGCAGATGGTTAATGCACTGTGGGAAGCACAGCCCAACTGTGGCAGCACTAGACCTCACTCCACTAGGGATGGCATTGTTGTGGAGTGGGAAGTTGTCCCCGCTGAGTGTAGGAGGAAAAACAGGAGTCAGTTGAATAATGGCTGCAAATTAGAGGTAGTGATTTCCTATGTCCGTATGGCTGAGAGGGGAACCTATTTGTCGAGGCTGTCAGGCCAGGCAATGAGGGTCCAGCTTGCAGAGGTTAAACTCGAGTTAAAAACATCATTTTGATGCATGTATAGGGACGGGTCTGATGGAGGGTAGACAGTGGCAGGGATAGTGGTTGGTGAGCTCTTGCTGGGATCTCTGTGAGAGATGATGGTGAAGGTGGTTAACAATAGGGCCATAGAGAAAGAAGTAAGTTCAGAAGGAGTTGCTGAGGATGTGTTTTAAAGTCTGCTTTTTAAAGTTGTTCCCCCACTCCCATAGCTGTGTATATGAAGGATGTATATGTATATGAGTTTTCATTTTTTCAAATTTTTATTTGCAACAGCAAAAACGTGTGTTCATTTTAAACTTTTTTAAAAATAATATTAAAGTATCGATTTAAAATTTCTCTGTCTTTCCCCTTTCCTAATCCTGCTCCTTAAAGACAGCCACTATTAGAAGGTTGTCTTACATATATCTTTCTAGGTGTTTAACTATATACAGACACAGTTGTGTTGTTATTTGTTTTATATCTGCTTTTTAAAAACAAGGTTTTTGCCATACATATTTTATAACTTTTGCCCCCCTAAACATCATGGCCATGAATTCTTATTTCAAGGATTATGTAAAGGTGTTCAGATTTTTAAAAAATTAACACATTTTTGCATTTGGGATTTAATGTGAGAGCTGATTGGGTCATTTTAAGAATACGTAGTTTCTAATATAAGAATGTGTCTTAAGGAAGTATATGAAAAAGGGAGAATTGCTAACCTGTTCCATTTCACCTTTCAAGAAAAATAGCCATGTTTTCTCTCTACATTCAGAAATCTTTTGTAATAAAAATTCTGAAATTTGGATTTAAAAGTATGTTTGGTTGCCTGATTTTTCTTTCTTCAGATATATAACAAAGTAAGGACTGGAGAAAAAGTAAAAGTTGAACATGTGGTCAGTGTCCTAGAGAAGAAGTATCCATATGTTGAAGTGAATAGCATTTTGGGGATTGACTCTGCTTATGATCAGAATCGGAAGGTAAGGAATTCTTTTGTGCTTCTCATTTTACCGCAACTCTATGCTTTCCTTACCTCCCTTTTTTGGGGAGTTGTTATTAATAAGGGTAGTGGTGGTTAAAGTATTTAGGTACTTAGCATTTAACAGTTTAGAAACCAGGTTACTTTTTTGTGTTTGCGAATGTAGTTTATATTTCAATTTTGTGACAATATCATTAATTGTTAGCTGGCATATTAACTATTAAATTGAAAAACAAATTTCTTTTACACAGTGCAGTGGTAGTACTTGTGTGATGTATATTCCACATAAAAGCTATTAGAAGTGTATAATGTATGCTTGCCAGGATATGACTTAAAATATTGATGTTGTTTAGGCTAAAGATAAAAATATATTAAGAAATGTAATAAAGCAGAATGGCAAAGTGTGGTAATAAGGATATAGGGAAATATTTAAAAATTTTATTTAAAGATAATACTATTTTTTGTGAGATTAAATACAGTAACAGGACCTTTATCTGTTGCAAGCAGGAACAAGGTAGTCAGTTTATTGAAAATAAATGTTCAGGCAAGGAATCTAAATACATTTCTGAGACATTTTAATTTAAAACAATAAAAATGTATTTACAAACTTTTTTTACTTTTAAATGAAGGAGATATTTCTTCATGGTTCAGTCTTGGTAGGTTGTATGTTTTTAGAAATGTATCCATTACTTCTCAGTTACCCAGTTTGTTGGTATATAAATTGTTCATGGAAGTCTCATGATACTTTGCATTTCTGTGGTGTCAGTTGTAATGTCTCCTGTTTTCTGATTTTATTTACTTAATTTTTTTTCTTTTTTCTTAGTCTAGCTAAAGGTTTGCCAATTTTGTATATCTTCTAAAAAAACAGCTTAGTTAACTTGTCTATTTGTTTTTCTGATCTCTGATCTTTCTTTCTTTCAGCTAAATTTGGGTTTAGTTCTTTTTTTCCCCTAGTGTCTGGTGGTGTAAAGTTAGGCTTTTTATTTGAGATCCTTCTTTTTTCTTAATGTCGGCATTTATCACTATAAAATTCCTTCTCAGAACTACTTTTGCTGCATCCTTTTAAGTTTTGGTGCATCATATTTCCATTTTTGTTTATTTCAAGAAGTTTCTTTATTTCACTTTTCATTTATTCTTTGACTCACTGATTAAGGAGTTTGTTGTTTAATTTCTACGTATTTGTAAATTTTCCAGCTTTCCTCATGTTACTGATTTTTAGAATATTTCATATGTGCTTAAGAAGCCAGGTATTCTGCTGCTGTTGGGTGGAATATTCTATATATGTCTTTTAGGTCCATTTGGTTTAAAGTATAATTAAATTCCAGTGTTTCTTTACTAATTTCTGTTTGGATTATTTATCTGTTGTTGACAGTGAGGTATTGAATTTCTCTACTCACATTGTGTTGTTGTCTGTTTCTCCCTTGAGATTTGTTACAAGTGTTTTCTGTTGCTGCTTTTAAGATTTTCTCTTTGTCTTTGATTTTTAACAGTTTTATTATAATGTGTCTTGCAGAGGATCTCTTTAAGTTGATTTTGTTTGGTGACTTATAAGCTTCATGAACTTGAATAATCAAATCTCTCCCCAGATTTGGGTACTTCTCAATCATTATTTCTTTAAATAAGCTATTTGATTCCTTCTCAAACCTCTTGTCTCCTTCTGGAACTCTAGTAATTTGCAAATCATCTAGATAACATTTCTTTCATTCTTTTTGTTCTTGTTGTTCTCCTCTGGATAATTTCAAAGTTCCTGTCTTCTAACTCACAGATTCTGTCTTCTGCTTGATCCATTCTGATAATAATGCTATTTCATTTTTCCTTTCATTTATTGCATTCTTTGGCTCCAAAATATCTGGTTCTTTTTTATTATTTCTCTCTCTCTTATTAAACTTTAAATTTTATGTGTGTTTTTTTTTTATTTTGTTGAATTGTCTTTCTATGTTTTCTTGTAATTGAGTTTCCCTTTAAACAACTTTTTTGAATTCTTTCTTGGGTAAATCACAGATGTCCATTTCTTTGGAATTGGTCACTGAAAGATTATTGCTATCCTTTGGTGCTATCATGCTTTCTTGATATTCCTTGCAGTTTCATGTTGCTTTTTTGCATTTGAGGTAGCAGTCACTTCCCACAGTCTTTACCTACTGCCTTTGGGAGACAAGTGCCTTTTGTCAGACCTGCTAGGAATTCTGAGGCTTTCTCAGGCCATCTGTGGATACATATACTCCATACTTGTTCTTTCTTGTACAGAATTCTTAAGCATGCCTAATTTTCGATTCTACAGTTGCCCAAGGCTGGATGCTGACTGCCCTTCTTCTGTTTTCCCCAAGGTGGCCCTAACGCTCCAATGTTTTGTCTCTCTGGCCCACACGTTTGGGCTGGTTTTCTGTGCTTGCTCACTAGCCACCTGGTTAAAGCTCACTCTTGCCACCACTGTCAGGAGCATATACAGGGAACTGGCCACAGGGTGAGGGTGAGTGTACGTGGAGTGTGTCCATGAGCCATTTGGTGGGATCTGTGGATGAAGTGTCCCCAGTGGCTCATGGGTGGGCTTCTTGATGGAGTCCGTGATGCAGTAAGTAGGATCCATCCCCTTTAAATGCTTTCTTGGTACTGTCTGTTGCCCTCTTGCAGCTTCTTTCTACCCCAGTCACACAGTTCACAATTCAATACTCTAGATGGGTAAGAGGGAAATGAGCCTCTTTGGCAGTATTCCTTATAGTGGGGGAAGTTGAGTGCTTGCCTACCTGCTCACTTGTTCTCAGTTTCCCCCGTGCAGGAGAAATCATGGGCCCAGAAGATCTCTCTTGGCCCTAAGCTGTGCTGCTTTGGGGGAGGGCTGATGGGAGTGAAGTCAGATTGTTCTTCTGATCTTTTCCAATGCATTCAATCTCATATTTTTTTAAAATTTATTTTATTTTTTTAAAGATTTTATTTACCTGAGAGAGAGAGAGAGCACAAGCAGGGAGAGTGGCAGGCAGAGGGAGAAGTAGGCTCCCCACTGAGCCAGGAGCCTGACATGGGACTCGATCCCAGGACCCTGGGATCATGACCTGAGCCGAGGGCAGACGCTTAACCAACTGAGCCACCCAGGCGCCCTCATATTTTTTTTGCTCCAGTGGGTTCTCAGACTATGGCTAGGAGGGACTGGAGCCAGTTGATGAGCCAATGCAGGGTCCACAGACGGGATTGAAATCTGTATGTCTGTTACATGATGCATGGGTGGGTGAACCTTCTTCTGGATTCCTTGGCATATGGTGCTGGATCCCGAACCTTCCACAAAGGCACTTTTGTCTGTGGATAGATGCCAAATTGTTGTTCAGGATTGGGAAGCACCAATGAGTTATGTTCTCTTCAGCCACGATACTGATGGCACTGCTGCTTTAGTGTTAAGTCCCCTTGTTTTAAAGTGTATTAAGTCAGGTTTAGTGTTGCGGCTGGTCATGAGGTCTATTCAGGGTAGACTGAACATGGTTCCATTGTTCTATTGTATACTTCCATTCACTCACTTGCCTTACGTGTTTTTTAAAATAAAACTGATATGGTACCCAGTGATTTTCTAGATAGACACAAACAGCAAGAATAATACTCCGTAGAAAAAGAATAGCTGAAATGAAAGAAGGGCCATTTGGGAATACCAAAGAATCGAGGGAATTCATGAAGTTTTCTCATATTTTACATTTGGAAAATGTGTAACTTTCTTTTTTAATTTTTAATTTTATTTTTTTTCCCTTGGAAGGGAGAAGTGCCTGATTTTACCCCAGTGTGCTTGCTTGCTTGCTCTTTACCATTTTAACATTAGATCTTACATTGTTAAAAAAATTTTTTTAATTCAAGTATAATTAACATAACAGTATTATATTAGTTTCAGATGTACAATATAATGATCCAACAGTTCTGTACACAACTCAGTGCTCATCATGATAAGTGTACTCTTGATCCCCTTAATCTATTTCACTCATCTCCTCCCCTGGAAAACGTTTCACTTTAATTTTCTCATCCTACTGAAGAAACAGTACACATTTCCTTTTCATTGTGGATGATTGCTATGTCAAAGGTATTTGCTTGAGAAATATTGGACAAATTGATAAAAAGGATATTTTTATATGTATTGAAATCTTGATTTTACTGATGAATCAAATAAATGTGTCACAGACCTAGCTCCTCAGTAATTTCCCAGTCTTGGCTCTTTTCCTCATCTGTACTGATTAGAGGCCCTTCCTATGTAAGCAAATGATCTTAGACCACTTAATTTCCTATTTGAGTAAACATATTTTCATGACAAGGATGTTGTGAGATTCCCGGAAGTCCTAAGAATCTAATGATTAATAAGATTTTCAAAACTGTAGTAGCTGTGCCTCCACATGAAAAAGCCCAAGAAAAAGATTCTTTTGAAAAATTTTTAAGGAGGAATAATATCATTTAGCAATTGTTACTACACTTATAAATATCTGTGCTGGGGTACCTGGGTGGCTTAGTTGGTTAAGCAGCCGACTTGATTTCAGCTCAGGTCATGATCTCAGGGTCCTGGGATCAAACCCTGCATCGGGTTCTGTGCTGGGCGGGGAGTCTGCTTTAGGTTTCTCTCTCCCTCTGCCCCTCCCCCTTTGCGCATGTGCGTGCATGCTCTCTCTCTCCCATTCTCAAATAAGTAAATAAAAATCTTTAAATAAATAACTGTACCTTTTGTATAAATCTGAAGCTATGATATCCTCTGTATATGATATTTGAAAGTTGTAATTATCTGTACTAGGCAGTATAATTAAAGTGGCATTTTTAAACGGAAGATAATGTAGTCTGATAGGTGTATATTTATATCTTTCAAGCTAATAAGATAGATAATGATATTTAAGAAAAGTCCTAACTTACACATGTAGACATTTTGCGTTTGGCATGTTAACTCTGAGTCCTTATTAATTTCAGTTATCATTGTGAGTAGCTCATTCATAAGACCTTGCCTGTAATTATTAAGGTTTTTAAATTATTTATAGTTAACATTTTTAGTTATGATAGAAATTCTCATGTAATTTTTAAGTTTGCCTTTTTGGTAATTAGGCTGCATTCTGTTATTTGGTCTGGTAAGTTTTTTATGGTTTGTAAGAAAAGAAGGTATATATAGTCAAAACATCTCCCTCCCACTCCTGATTTTCACTCAGTTGCCATTTCCAGAGAAAACCAGTGTCATTTCTTCTTGTCACTTAAGAGTTATAATGTAGGTTTTGTTTTGTTTTGTTGGGGGATAATTTTCAAAACTGAAAGTATGTTAAAATTGAGTTTTTAATGAATGTCTAGGAAATAGTTGAGACATCAAAGAACAGAATAACATGGTAAGAATTTTAGTAGTGTAAATTTTAAAAAAGTATAAACTATGATATATAGAAGTGGCAGAAATCAACATAGAAGACCTTTCTGCCTGTGCAGAAAGTCTGTACCATTAGTTACTATTGTGGCTAGATCTGATTAGAAACTAAGTAGTCTGTTGCTGTTGATGATTGTCAGTTACCCAATTGAAGTACTTTTTTATTTATATATAAATATATATAATTCTGCTATTTTCAGAAAGTATTAGTTAAAAGATGTCTAACAAGTATGTTTTAAGGAATCCTTTTTACATCTTGGGTAGTAATGTATGTTTTACTTTGACAAGTTAGTTATGGATTTTTGGTTGATATGTAGGGGGAATGTACCCCTATACTGACCACCAGAGAAGAGTGTTCATCTTAGATATATTTACCTTTTTGTTGGCCTGACATTTCCCTGCTAAGGAACCTCTTTTGTCTTGGAGAAGGAAAAAGATTGGGCTTAGTATATTATAGGGCAATTTTCAAGCACTGTTTTACCACTAGCCTTGTTTTGTTTTCTAAAGTGTAATTTCTATGTTAGTGATAGGGATCCTTTTAAGTTTAGATTGGGTTGTAAATATTTCATCTCAGGCTATCTGCCCAGGAGCACTCATAATTTATGGCAGTCTGTCGTTGTGCTGCCCATTATGGTAGCATCTAGCCACATGTGGCTTTTAAAATGAAAATTAATTAATTTCAAGTGCTCAATAGTTACATGTGGTTAGTGGCTACTGCATTGGACAGCAAAGATAGAATATCTCCATCATTGTTGAAAGGTCTGTTATACGTCTTGGCTAGAGTATATGTAATTAAAGTTTGGTAGCCTGGGCAGCTTCAAATTACCCTCACCCCCAAATCACTTCCTAATGTGCAAGGTTTTGTGGTTTTACAAAAACTCAGTAATCAGTTTCAAATTACCCAGTAGGATATTAACTGTGTCTCTTCTGATATTTCTTTAAAGGCATTTCTTTTGTTATTTCTTGGTGACCATATTTCTGTTGATTTTACTTTTCTCATTAGCACATGCATGTATGAAAACTATGCTTTGTCCATTTGTCTCATGAAGGACAAAAAATGTTTGTGGTCCCTTGTGTTTCAGGAAGCAAGAGGCTACTATGAGCAGACTGGGGTTGGCCCACTGCCTGTTGTTCTGTTCAATGGAATGCCCTTTGAAAAGGAACAGTTAGATCCCGATGAGTTGGAAACCATCACAATGCATAAAATCCTGGAGACCACAACCTTCTTCCAAAGAGCAGTGTACTTGGTGAGTGGTATCAGGGGTGATTTTGAAAGAGAATGGTTTGCTTATGTTTTTGTAGGCTCTGTAGTAAGCAATAAGATTCTTTAAGTATTACTGTTTTTTATACACCACTTGTAATTGGTTTATGGATTCCCAGGAAGTTGTGCTATAATGAAAATATTCACAAGACTTTGTGCATTGTATTTGAAATAGCTAAGTTTATTGTTGTCAAGATTAAGTATTTAAGAGACTTTTGTTCTACTTGTAAGGAATTTTGACTTTGGAAAGACTCAAATATTATATATATATAATATTCATATAATTTATATATATGTTTAAAATAGTTATTGTTGAGGCATAATTCACATGCCATAAAATTCAGTCTTTTAAAGTGGACAATTCAGTGTATTTAGTGTATACACAGTTTATACAAGTATAACCTCTGACTGATGTTAGAACATTATCATCACCCCTAAAATCCAACACCCTGTAGCATTCACTCTGCATTTGTTTCTGCCCTAGACCCTGGCAACTACAAATCTGTTTTCTTTCTCTATGGATTTGCCTATTTGAGACATTTAATATAAATGAATCATACAATATTGTGGTCTTATGTGTCTGATTTCTTTCACTTAGTGTAACGTTTTCAAGGTTACCCAGTAGGAGCATGTGTCAGTACTTTGTTTCTTTTAATGGCCAATTAATAGTTCCTTGAATGGATATACCATATTTTAAAAATTCATTCATCATTTGTTACAAATTTAGGTTTCTACTTTGTGGCTCCTATGAATAATGCTGCTGTAAACAATCTTGTACAAGTTTTTGTGTAGACATATGTTCTCATTTGTCTTGTGTGTATACCTAGGAGGAGAATTGCCTGTTTAATAATTCTGTTTTTAACAGGCTGTTTTCCAAAGCGGCTGCACCATTATACATTGCTACCAGCAGTGTATGCTGGTTCTATTTTCTCCACATTTTAGCCAACGCTTGATACTGTCTGTCTCTTTAATTATAGCCTAGTGGGTATAAAGTGGTATCTCATTGTGGTTTTGACCTGCATTACTCAAACATGAATAATGTTGAGCATTGTTTCCCGGGCTTATTGACCATTTATATCTTTTTTTTTGGAGAAATGTCTATTAGAATTATTTGCCTGTGTTTAATTGGGTTACTTGTTTTGTTATTGTTAGGAGTTCTGTATGTGTTCCGGGTACTAATCCCTTATATATAGGATTTGTCAGTATTTTTCTAATTTCATGGTTTGTCTTTTCACTTTCTTGGTGGTCAGTCTTTTAAAGGACAGATGCTTTAAATTTTGATTAAGTCCAATTTACTTTTTTTTCTTTCGTTGCTTGTGCTATTTGTATGAAATTATTGCTTAATTCTAGGTTATGATGATTTATACCTATGTTTTCTTTTGAGTGTTTTATAGTTTTTTCTCTTTAACATTTAGTTCTTGGATGTATTTTCAGTTAGTTTTTATATGTGGTGTGAGGTAGAAGTCCACATTTTTTTCTCATATACAGTTTGGCATGCAACTGAAAGTCTTTTGGGATATTCAGTTGTCCCAGTACTATTTATTGAAAAGAATGCTCTTCTCCCATTAAAGTATCATGGCACCCTTGTAAAAAATAAATTAACCAATAATGTATAGGTTTATTTTTAGACTGCCTATTGTTTTCCATTCGCCTGTATGTTTGTTCTTATGTAAGTACCTCACAGTCTTGATTACTATTGTAATCAAGTGTGAGTTTTCCACATTATGGTTCCCAAAACCATATTTTGGGTTTTTCTTTCTCTGTTTTCTTTTTTAAAGATTGTTTGGCTGGTCTATGTCCCCTTCATTTTCATATGAATCTTAAGTTTAGTTTGTCAGTATATGCAAAAAAAGGCCACTGTGTTTCAATAGGAATTGCATTGAATCTGTAGATCAGTTTGGGGAGTATTGACATCTTAGCAATATTGAATTTTCTAACCCATGAACCCAGGATGTGTTTCCATTTATTTACGTCTTGTTATTCTTTCAGTGATGTTTTGTAGTTTCCAATGAAAGGAGTCTTACACTTCTCTCATTAAATTTATTTGTTATTATTTTGTTCTTTTTGATGCTATTATAAATGGAATTATTTCCTTAATTTTTGGATAGTTCGTTGATAGTGAATAGAAATACAGTTGATTTTTGTATATTGATCTTATATGCTGCAACCTTGTTGAACTTGTTTATTCCAAAGCTTTTTTTTAAAAAAATTCTATGTAGAAAATACTGTCATCTGTAATTAGAGATAGTTTTGATTCTTCCTTTTCAATCAGGATGTCTTTATCTCTTTTTTATTTTTTCTTTTCTTGTCTCATTGCCTGTCTAGAACTTCCTAGTACCATGCTGAATAGAAGTAGTGTGAATGAACATCCTTGTTTTCTTCCCAGTCTTAGGGGGGAAAGCTTTAGTCTTTCACCTGTAAGTATATTAGCTACAGGGTTTTTGAGGATTCCCTTTGTCAGTTTATGGAAGTTTTCTTCTATTCTTAGTTTATTGAATTTTTTTTATCATCAACATGTTGGATTTTGTCAAATACTCTTTCTATATCTATAGAGATGATAATGTGGTTTTTGTCCTTTATCTGTTAATATTATGTGATTTTTATGTATTGTTTATATAATTGTTACATTTTTATATCAATTAATTTCACTAGTATCCCAAATCTTTGCTGTTATATAGCTCTATTTATTTCCCATGTTATGTTGTTATGGTCATACAAATTATATCTTTCTATATTATATGCCCATCAGCACCAATTTATAAGTATTGCCTTTTATAGTTGTCTCATAAGTGAAATAGAAAACGAGTTACAAACAAAAATATATTCAGACCCTTTTTATATTTACCTATATAGTTACCTTTACTTGTGCTCTTAATTTTTTTGTGGGGATTCAGGTTAGTGTCTTGTGTCCTTTCATTTTAGCCTGAGGAAATCTTCTTAGTGTTTATTTTGGGTTAGATCTGCCAGGGAAAAATTCTCTCTTTTTGTTTTTCTGGGAATGTGTTCATTTACCCTCCACTTTTGAGTGATAGTTTGCTTGGATATGGAATTCTTGGTTGATTTTCTTTTCCTTCTACCAGTTTGAATAGGTCATTCAATTGCCATTTGATCTCTATGGGTTCTTTTGAGAAAACAGCTGTTAATCTTATTGAGGATCCAGTCTGTGTTAGGAATCTCTTCTTGTTCCTGTTTTCAGGGTCCTTTATTTGTGTTTCATTTTGGACATTTCATCAATTTGTCTAGGTATGGAACTATGAGTTATCCTACATGGAGTACATTACATTTCTTAAATATCAAAATTAGGGGCTTTCCTTCCAGTCATTTTTTCTAATAGTCTTTCTGCCTGTAATGACTTCTTACACCAAACTACTCAGAATTAGGCCAAATGTGACAGTTTAAGGACACAGTTTCCTACAAGGTTGCCCTTACTTCAGACCCTGGCCATAAGTTTGGGGATCCCCAAGTCACTGTCACTTAGTATGAACTGGCTAAAGATGCAGGGGGACTTAATACCCTTCTCAGTTTTGGTAATTTGCTAGAATAGCTTACAGAGTTCAGGATAGTTCTATGCTTATAATTTGTGTTATGATAATAAAATAATGCAAATGTGACCAGCCAAACAGTGAGGTGCATAGGGCAAGGTTTGGGAAGGTTCCAAACATAAAGATTCTATTATCTTCCCCCCATGAAGTAAGGATACGTTGCTCTTCCTGCTCATTGGTGTGTGATAGCACATGGGGTATTGCCAACCAAGGAAGCTCAGCCAAGTTTTGGTGTGAAGAATTTTTACTGGGGCTTCGTATGTAGCCATGATTGATAGAATCATTGGCTACCTGATTACTGCTATCTCCAGAACATTTTTATCACCTCATATAGCAACTCTTTACCCACTAAACAGTAACACTTCATTGCTGGCCCTCATCAGCCACTGGTAACCACTCTTCTCCTTTTTGTGTTTATGAATTTGCCTATTCTAGGTGGCATCATAGAATATTTGTCATTTTTGTGTCTTGCTTATTTTAAGGTTCATATGTGTTATAGCATGTATCACAATTTCCTTCCTATTAAAATTGAATTTTATGTATATGCCACATTTATCCATTCATGTGTTGGATATTTGGGTTGTTTCCACCTTTTGGTTATTGTGAATAATGTTGCTGTGAACACTGGTGTACAAATACCTGTTCAAGTCTTTGCTTTCAATTCTTTTGGATATATACCTAGTGGAAATGCTGGATTGTGTATGGTAATTCTGTCTTTAACATTTTGAGGAACTACCAGATTATTTTTTAAAGCAGCCATACCATTTTACATTCCTACCACCAAATATACAAAAATTTCATTTCTCCACATCCTCATTAATGGTTGTTTAGTTTCTATTATTTTAATGATGACCATTCTAGATGGTGTGAAGTGGTATCCTATTGTGTTTTTTTTAATTTTTATTTTTTAATTAAAAAAAATTTTTTTTAAGGTTTTTGTTTATTTTTTGACAGAGAGAGAGACAGTGAGAGAGGGAACACAAGCAGGGGGAGTGGGAGAGGGAGAAGCAGGCTTCCTGTGGAGCAGGGAGCCTGATGTGGGGCTTGATCCCAAGACCCTGGGATCATGACCTGAGCTGAAGGCAGACGTTTAGCAACTGAGCCACCCAGGCGCCCGTTTTTTTTTTTTTTAATTAACATATAATGTATTATTTGTTTCATGGGGTACAGATCTGTGATTTATCAGTCTTATATAATACCCAGTGCTCATTACAACACATAACCTCCCAATGTCTATCACCCAGTTACCGCCTTCCCCCACCTCCCTCCCCTCCAGCAACCCTCAATTTGTTTCCTGTGATTAAGAGTCTCTTATGGTTTGTCTCCCTCTCTGGTTTCATCTTGTTTCATTTTTTCCTCTCTTCCCCTATGATCCTCTGTCTTGTTTCTTAAATTCCACATATCAGTGAGATCATGTGGTAATTGTCTTTCTCTGATTGACTTATTTTGCTTAGCATAATACCCTCTAATTCCATCCACATTGTTGCAAATGGCAAGATTTCATTTTTTGATGGCTGCATAATATTCCATTGTGTGTGTGTGTGCGCGCGCGTGCCACTTTTATCCATTGTGGTTTTTATTTGCGTTTCCTTAAGGACTAATGGGACTGAGCATCTTCATCTTTTCATGTACTTATTGGCCATTTGTTTATCTTCTTTGGAGAAATGTCTATTCAAGTCCTTTACTCCTTTTTGAATTAGGCTCTTTTTTTGTTGTTGAAGTATAGCGTTCCTTATGTATTTTGCAAATTTATCCCTTATCAGACATGATTTGCAAATATTTTCTTCTGTTCTGTTGTCTTTTTGCTTTTTTTGATAGTGTCCTTTGATGCACAGAAGTTTTGAATTTTGATGAGGTCCAACTTAACTGTTTTTTTTGTTGTTGTTGTTGTTGACTGTGATTTTGCTATCATATCTGAGAAATCATTGTCAAATCTAATGTCATGAAGATTTTCCCCAATGTTTTCTTCCAAGAATTTTATAGTTGTAGCTCTTCTATTTATGTCTTTGATCTATTTTGAGTTTTGTGTGTGGTGTGAGTATGTAAGGGTCCCACTTCATTCTTTTGCATGTGGATATCCAGTTTTCCCAACACCATTTGTTGAAAAGACCAAAAAAAAAAAATAGTTTTAAAAACTACTTACCATGCTGATTGTTAATGTATTTATAAAAAAAAAACAAACCAAAAAACCCCTCAAAAACAAAAAACCCCACCAACCCAAAAAACAAAACCCCCAAACAAAAAAAATGTTAGCTAAATTCTGTTGTATGCTCCCTCATGAATAAGGTAGTTTTGTTAAGGAGTTTGTTCTTCATGCAGCTACTGGAATAAAAGGTGAAAACAATTTTTATTTGAATGAGTGTGGCTTATCTTCCAAAGTTAAGAATAGTCTAGAAGAAATGATAATTATTTTCCTTGTTCAAGTGATATTAATGAAAAGATAAAAGGTAATTCAAACATTTTGGTTTTCCAGCATCCATTTAAAGCATTTCTTTTTCAACATTGTTGGATGTAAAAATTCAGAAGAGTTTTTCTGTTTTTCAGATATCTGTTGTGTAAAAGAATGATCATTTTCAAATAGTCCCCCTTTGAATGCTAGTTTTCCTCTGTTTCTACTTATATTGCCAGTGAGAAGTTTGGTTTGGTTTAGCTAAAGAAAATTTTTTTGAAATATTATGACAAAAGTCATATGTGCTCCTATACATATTTAGAAAATACTAAATTGGGAGAATATTAAAGTGTCTAAAGTAAAAATGAGGGTTCTTCCTTTCATCAGAATCCCTAGAGAAATAGCCCTTTGTGCCCCCGTGTATATAGAAATAGATATTTACATATGTATTTTTTAGCTTACCTTTCTAATTGAATATATCTTTGCTTTGTGTTTCTGAGCATATAACTCTTTGTCAGTACTTTTAGATTGCTGCATAGTTTTTTCTTTTTTCTAAGAATGAACAATAATTTATTTCATCCCCTAATGTTGGACATTGCTTGTAGAATTTCACTGTTATAAATAGTGCTGTAATGAATAATCTTACATGTATATCTTTGTAACTTTTTTTTTTTTTGAGAAATACCAGTTATTGGAATTGGTCACAGGGTAATGTACATTTAAAATTTTGAACTAGAGTCACTATAAAAAGGTATGATATGCAGATGGTGTGAAATTCAAATGTGTATAGAGGTATAAATGAAGAGAAACTTTCACCCATTCACTCCTGTTCCCCTGCCAGTCATCTTCTCTTTCTAGAAACAACCATTGTGTGTGGGGTGTGTGTGTGTGTGTGTGTGTGTGTGTGTGTGTGTGTAGATGGGCTGTATTAAAAGGTATGTACATTTAAAATTTTGATAGATGTTGCCAAATTGCCCTCCCTGAGCTAGTTAGGCTTCTAAGTGGCATCAATTCAGATTTTTCATAGAGACCAAAGTTGTTTACATGGGTGTACATCTATACTAAGTCATCTAGTAACTTTGTAGTCTTTTGAGTTGTATGGTTGGTTCATATGCTCATTATTAGTTTATAGTTTGAGAATTTGCATACAAGTTTTCTGTCTCTCAGGATAAGTAGCCACAGAAGATGCCTAATTGGAGTTTTTTAGACTTTATTGTGTATATTTGATTTACATCTATCTCTCCCTTGAAAATTGCTTTAAAATATGGTTTTATATGAAATATTTTGAGTGTGAAGAACTTGCAAGTTTCTATAGCCATTTACACATGGCTTTGAGATCGCCTTAATGAAGTACAAATATTTCTATATATCTGAGAGGTATGAAAGGGAAGAAAAAATGAGAAATGATTTCTCCTCCCTGAAATATAATTGTGACTCTGGAAATGTAGCATTACTTTGATGCCTAGGATTGAAAAAAGCTTGGGGTGATTTTTGTTTTTTAAGATTTATTTATTTGAAAGAGAGTGTATGGGAGGGGAGAGGAGCAGAGGGAGAGAGAGTCTTAAGCAGACTCTGTGCTGAGCATGGAGCCTGACACGGGGCTCAATCTCACCACCCTGAGATCATGATCTGAGCCAAAACCAAGAGTCAGGCACTCAACCAACTGTGCCACCCAGATGCTCCTTGGAGTGATTTTTATTATAAAATACATTAAGTGCTTGAGAGAAGGCATTTGGCTTTTTCCTTTAGAGAGAGGCTAACTATGAACAGCTCTCAGGATGGATTTTTGGTTATGGTAACTTACCTAATTTGTAGAGCTTGCTTATTTCTGGGGAAGCACAGTAGTGTGTGGAGAGACCACATAAACTTGGCTTTGCATTTCATACTTGAATCTCCTTAGCTCTGTAACTTTGAATAAGTTATGTAAACTTTCTGTACCTCAGCTTCCATCTTTAAAATGGATCGTCAGTAACATCTATCTCACGTTGTTGAAAGAGTTAAAGATAATATACATACATAACCTGTCAAGCTGTGCTTGGCAAGGAACCTGTAACATGGAAACTTCTGTTTTTAAGTGTTACCAATACATAAGAAGCTATTGATTGTAAAGTTAATGACTTTTTACTTTCTAATAAATTATTATTGCTCTAATTTGTTTAACTCTTATCCTGCCCCCACCCTGTTAATTTTTTTTCTTGTAGGGTGAACTGTCCCATGATCAGGATGTGGTAGAGTATATCATGAATCAGCCAAATGTAGTTCCACGAATCAATTCTAGGATTTTGACATCTGAGCGAGAATACCTGGATTTAACAGCAACCAGTAAGAAGCATTTCAGGAACAACTTTGGGCTTTTTTTCATTTGTGTTTCAGAATCTTTGCATCTATTAGATTGCAGTGTTTAGAAGATAACCCAAGATTATGACACAATCTTGTTTTAATTCATTTCACCCTTAGTTCATAACATGAGTCTCTAAATTCACAAGAGTTTTCTCCAAAAAGAGAGAAATTCTTCGTGTATAAATCCTTGTAAACTTTGAAAAATATCCATTTTTTTTTTTTTTTTTTAGAGAGGGAGGTGGGGAAGGAGAGAATTTTTTTTTTTGAGAAATTTTTTTTTAAAGATTTATTTTTATTTTTATTTATTTGACAGAGAGAGAGATAGTAAGAGCAGGAACACAAGCAGGGGGAGTGGGAGAGGGAGAAGCAGGCTTCCTGTGGAGCAGGGAGCCTGATGCGGGGGCCCAATCCCAGGACCCTGGGATCATGACCTGAGCCGACAGGCGCCCCAGAGAGAGAGAATCTTAAGCAGGCTCCACACCTGGTGCAGAACCTCTCAAAACCCTGAGAAAATGACCTGAGCCGAAATCAAAGAGTAGGACGCTTAACTGACTGAGCCACCCAGGCACCCCTCCATTGTCTTTTAAATGCCAGCTTTTTAGGCCTTAGGTGATGAGACTACATCTGTATTGTTGACTTTCTTACAGTCATAAAGCTGTTAAGCAGCTGTCTTTTCTTCATCCTTGTTCTGGAATCAGCTAGCAGTGATGTGGACAAACACCCCAGGTGGTTTGACTCTGAGAGGCTAGGAATGCCTATCTAAAAATAAACCTTCATTGAGATAAAGTGTACATGCCATAAAACTCAGTCTTTCACAATCTTGTCTACAATTTTTAGTGTATTCTCAAAGTTGTCTAATCATCACTGTTTAATTGTAGAACATATATCATTCCCCCCAAAAGAAACCATGTATCCATTGGTAGCCACTCTCCATTTCTCTTTTTCCTATCCCCTCCGCAGCTGCTGATCTAGTTTCTGTTTCTAAGGGAGTTTTCTACTGGGTATTTCATATAATTAGGAGCTTTCTGTGACTGGCTTCTTGTTCACTTAGCATAATGTTTTTAAGTTTTATCCATGTTGTAGCATGTCTCAGTACTTTTTTGCCTTTTTATGGCTTACTAATATTTTCTTGTATGGATAGTCCACACAGTCCACACTTGGCTTACCTAATCTTCAGTTGATGAGTGTTTACACTGTTTTCACAAGAATACCTTTTCAGGGGTAGTTGTGTGAAGCCCAGATGCCAATTTGTTCCTTATGCCTTTCCTTGCTGCCCTGAAGGCCATTTCAGCAAACAGCTGGAAATAAGGTGGAGCTGTGGCCACTTTGCAGAAGTCTCACTGGGCGAGAAAAGATAGGTGTAACAGAGAAGTACAAGCCACGGGCATTTGCTGTTGTGGTAGGGGGTGATGCACACAGAACTCTAGGTGTGCTTGTTAGTTTATGGCACCTGTCTCTAATCTACTTGAAGCTGAATTCCCTTTCTTTTAGATAGAGGAAGATGTACATCTCTGCTTATATTTGAAAAAGGAAGTAGTCAGAAAGTGACATAATCTGTTTCTTCATAGTTAGGTTTTAGCTTTTTACCAGAAGTTTTAATAGAGCAAGTCAAGCAGTATTGGGAGTTTTTGTCCTAAGTTTTTGTTGTTTCCAACATTTTACTTTATTTTATTTTATTAAGATTTTCCTTATTTATTTGACAGAGAGAGAGCACAAGCAGGCAGAGCAGAAGGGAGAGGAAGAAGCAGGCTCCCCACTGAGCAGGGAAGCCCGACGCGATGCGGGGCTCGATCCCAGGCGCCCCCATCATTTTAAACTAAACTATAAAGAGTTCTCTTTGGAGTATTCATGGATAAGGAGCACAACAGTAGTTCTGTGTGTTTGGATATCTTTCTCCACTGAATGTTGAAGTGACCAGCTGTGGAATGATGCTGGCTCACAGGGGCTAAAATGTAGTTTGCCTGGTGAACATTTTGGAGCTGTCTGTGAAGGAGCAGCTGGCATCCTTCTCACCCAGGGGTCCTGGTTCCCTTGTTACCTACACTGTTCTTGGCCTTTATTGTCCTGGGACCTTCTTAGAAGAATACTATGTTTTAAGGCTTTAAGACTTTTGGTGCTTTCTCCCCTCCCCTACATGATGTCATGAGCTGTGTCTGTCTTACCATTTCTTTCCTTTTACTGGAATACTGACTTAAAGGATAGTAGGTCCTTGGTAAGGTCTATTGAGTGAAAGGGTAAATGGGTGAGTGGGTGGACAGACATAGAGGGAGGGGTGGGTGAGCTACCTATGCTTGGAGGATGGTGAGAGAAGAGTGTTAGAGTGCAAGAATGCATAAGATTGGGGAGATTCTTGGAGATAGAGGGTTTCTGATACAGGATGGAGACCATTTTGTAGGTAGGAAGAAATTACTGGGTAGTTTAGATCAAAGGAATGACTACATGAAACTGGGATTTTAACAAAAGTAACTCGAGGGGAAGTGAACGGTGAGAGCATGGTCCAAGGGCAGTAATTGTTCAATAAACCTGAAACAATAGATTTCACTCATGTATTTTTATATATCTTGTATTATGGACAAATCAGATTATCAGTTGAACATTAACATTAGATTGAATTTAGGCACGTTAATTATGAATCTATTTCAACTTTCTCTTCCAGATAACTTTTTTGTGGATGACTATGCTAGGTTTACTGTTTTGGATTCCCAAGGCAAGACTGCTGCTATAGCCAATAGTATGAACTATCTGACCAAGAAAGGTAATCCATTTTAGGCTTATCTTGGATTCAACATCTTTTTTTCTTTTTTTTAGTATTTGTAGAAATAATTCAATCTTCAGTGTCTGCTAGAAAGAGATTTCTTCATTTCTTTTTAAAATTATTTCTTATAATGATTTGAATCCAGAAAATACCTGTTTAAAATTCAATTCTTTATGGAGTTTTTGAAACTCCAAAAAGTGGAGTTTTTGAAAATTCAAATGTTGTTTTCTTTTATTAGATATTATTTATTAGCTATTAAGGTGAAATGAAATATTTTTTCATGATTCAAAATGTGAAAACATTTATGATGTAAACATGGGTTAATGGATTGAAAATTGGTTTGACTTGCCTCTTCAGTGACAACACTGAGTTAAATTTTTTAGGGTTTATAAGATTAACTTGGTTCTAGGAATCCTTGTGCACATTTTAAAACTGATTTTTAATATGGAGTCAGTTATTTAGGCTAATATTGTGTGAAATGATATTTTAATGGCAGACAGATCCTTTCCCCCTCTGGCCAATCTTACTATCCTTTCAAAGCACTGACTGTCATTTAAGGCAGCTATTTTTATCCATGCTGTAGCCTTGTCCTAGGGAGAATTTCTGGCTTCCCAGATCTATGTAAATAAAAGCAATTGCTCCATTTGGTTCCTCAAAGAAATTTGTTCCGAGGGGCCCTGGAACAGTGCTATACAGCTAAGGGGACTACAGAGCAGAGAGAAGATTGATCATATTAGGCATTATTTAAAATTTTGACTCTTAAGGTAGGCATCAGTTATAGCAATGACATTTTCTTCTACTCTTTTTCCTTTACCTCTTTCTAGGAATGTCCTCCAAGGAAATCTATGGTAATTTTAAACTTCAGAATGTTTGGGTTCTTTCCTTAATTATCTTATGTGGTTCCAGGCAATGTTGTGATTCAGAATTTATTGACACTTTATTGTGACATTTCTGGAACCTGTGGGTAACAGTAAATAATTTGTCAAATGCAGATAGAATTTGTATAAATTGTATAAATGTTTGCGAAGAATTCTATTTCAGAGAGTTACAAATTAATATGATTAAAGACTGTGATATGTTACCCACATGTTCAAAGGCTCTTTTTCATGTATATGTTAACAGTTGCCTGAGCCATAGTAGAATTAATAAATGCATGTTCCTAGTTTGTAATTAAGCCACATGGAAGGTTACCCTGCTTTCATTCTAGTATAGTTTTACTACTTTTGCTTTGTATCTTTATTAAACTTGTCATTTTCTTATTTTTTGCATGGTTTTCAGAAATTATTTGGCTTAATAACAATATTGAAACATAGAATATGCTTTCTTCCCTCCGACTCAGTGTGTTGTTTTTGTTTTTCTACAGATGATTCTTTCATTAGGCCTGTAACTTTTTGGATTGTTGGGGATTTTGATAGCCCTTCTGGAAGACAGTTACTGTATGATGCTATTAAACATCAGGCAAGTATCTGCACCTCCATTCTGTGTGCTGATGTTACTGTTCTGGATGGGAAGCGGGAGTCCTGCTTTTTTATAGTACTTGAGGGAAAGGACCATTGTTTCTTCGAAGGTCTGCCCACTAGTGAGAAAAGAGGGGAGACTGCAGTGTTCTGACTTTATTTAAGGGTATAGATTCTTATAGAGAAAAAAAAATAATGAGATGCTTATCACAGATAAGTGTTTATTGTGTGACTTCATGTTTTGCTGCAGAGATGCTGCAAAGATCATGCTGTATATTGCATGGGGAAGGCAGGGCCTTTTCATTGAAGGAGGTCTAGATGTGGGGAAATACCATGCAGACACCTTAGTCCTCATATAATAGAAGCAGATCTAGGCACACAGAGGGATGCACATATAGATGGTCTGAAATACACATAGCACATAAATTGTAGAACTTGAGTGAATGGCAGTGGTGAATGGTTGGGAAGAAATGGACTCCTCTAGAGAGCGTTACTGTCAGAGAATGAGCTGTTACAATTCCTTTTCCTGAGCAGTTTCAGATTGACTCTTCATCCAAATTTCATACCCTTCCCACGTCCCCTAACCACCCTGTGTCCCGAGGAAGCTTATTGAAATACTAAAATATCAAGGTGATTTCAACTTCACTAACATGCTAAGTGCCTTTACGGTCTAAAGGAGTAGACCAGATGGTATGGTCAAAACAAAGTTAAATCAGGATGAAGGAAAGTAGATACATACATAAGATTCTAACTGAAATTTATAAATGCTTGAGTGGTGGTAGAGTGGGAGAACAAGAAGGGAGAATTGAGAAATTTTTTTCTCAATTTATTTTAGAGGGAGGGGCAGGGAGAGGTTGAGAGAATCTTAAGCAGACTCCATGCTGAGAGCGGAGCCCTGTGCGTGGCTTGATTTCACAAGCCTGAGATCATGACCTGAGCTGAAACCAAGAGTTGGATGCTTAACCTACTGTACTACCCAAGTGCCCTGAGAATAAAAAAAAAAAAAAAAAAAATTAATTGAAATAAAATATAGAATCAAAAGAAGGACACAAATCATAGGATACATAGTGTCACAAAGGGAACACCCAGGTGACCATACCCAGGTCAAGAAATACAGAATTATCAAATTCCAGAAGGCCCTCTCCTGCTTGTGTCTCCATCACCCCCCTTCACATATTTATGTTTGCCTTCTTTACTCAACATTTTTGAGATTTATCCATGATATTACAAGTAGCAGTAGTTAGTTCTTTTTCATTGTGCTGTATTGTATTGTATGGCTATACCACAAAGTTATAAAACTTTGTTTAATCTTTTTGATGGACAGTGGCGTTTTTTTCTAGTTAGGGGCTATTCTGAAGGATGCTGCTATCACTATTCTTGTATGCATCCTTAGATACACATTAGTATGAATTTTTGTTGCTTATGTTCATGACACAAGGTTTTATGGGTCCCAGATAACTTTTCCAACATGGATTCTTATCTTTCTACTCAGGGAGAGATTAATTTTTTTTAAAGAATTTATGTATGTATGTATTTATGAGAGAGAGCGAGAGAGAGAGAGAGCACACAAGCAGGGGGAGCAGCAGGCAGCGAGAGAAGCAGGCTCCCTGCTGAGCAAGGAGCCCGATTTGGGACTTAATCCCAGGACCCTGGGATCATGATCTGAGCCCAAGGCAGACGCTTAACTGACCGAGCCACCCAGGTGTCCCAGGGAGAGATTAATTTTTTGCAAGGCATCTGGAAAGGCCATGTGAACAAAGAAGTATTTGAATAGAAGCCTGAAGATTGGTTGGGACTGAGGGGAGGAAATATGGGATGGACTCGGGGTTTTGTACGCCAACATGAAGCATGGAGTGTGTTAGAATAATACAAAATGTGTTGGGAAATACAGGACTCTGATGGTCTGTAATGGAGCTATATATATAGGGATGGTAAGAAATGAAGTTGGAAAGGTAGACTGGGGACCAGTTCATGTAGGGGTTTGAAAGCCTGGCTATAGCATTTTAATTTTATTCTGTATACAGAAGAGGACTGAAGACCTTGAAGAGAGGTTGTATTTGCTACTTAATGGAATATGATGATGTTAATGCCACTTTTTAAGTTCAAAACATCTACCATATAACTCTTATTTCCCATTTTGTAAATAGAAATCCAGTAACAATGTTAGAATAAGCATGATCAATAATCCTAGTGAAGATATAAGTTATAAGAACACTCAGATCTCCAGAGCAATCTGGGCAGCTCTCCAAACACAGACCTCCAACTCTGCTAAGAATTTCATCACAAAAATGGCCAAGGAGGAGACCGCAGAGGCCCTGGCTGCAGGAGCTGACATTGGGGGGTTCTCTGTCGGGGTAAGTCTCTGTGTGTTGCATGTGGTTACTTTCCACAGAAGTTCATTCCCATGGTCTGATGTCTCTTGTTCATGATTGGGATTTGTGACTTTAGTACTGAGTTTCAGAGGATTTTCTTAGTTTGGAAGAATCTTTCCAAGATACAACAATTCTGCTACATTCCCCTTACCACTTTTAATACCTTTAAATAAAGTTTTAAGATATGACTCATATAAATTCATGTTTTAAGAACAAAGCCATTTGTTTTGTATAGTTTTTATTTTTTTATTTATTATTATTATTTTTTAAAGATTTTATTTATTTATTTGAGAGAGAGAGAATGAGAGACAGCACGAGAGGGAAGAGGGTCAGAGGGAGAAGCAGACTCCCTGCCGAGCAGGGAGCCCGATGCGGGACTCGATCCCGGGACTCCAGGACCATGACCTGAGCCGAAGGCAGTCGATTAACCAACTGAGCCACCCAGGCGCCCTGTATAGTTTTTAAAAGACAGGCAATATTTGATTTGTTATAGAGCAAAAAACTGTGATTGAAGTTTCTTATGAGTTAGAGACTTTTGTGTTCTTGATGTGTTCTGATATAAGCCCCCACATGTATTCATTATATAAGTTACTACCTCTTGGAATATTTTGTAGATTTAAAATTCTTATAAAATGATGAGTATACTTGATGTTTCTGTTAGAAAAAAGGCCCTTGAAATTAGCAAGATTTTAAAATGCAGAATAAACGTATAATGAAGAATAATTTGCCAGTGGCACAACCACATAAAACAGTAGGAGCAGGAAATAAGCATTACTTGATAAGTGGGAGGGTGGGAGGAAATAGGAGTGGAGAATTGAGACATCATAATGTTAATTCTTAAAATTAGTTCTGACTTTCCCTTAAAAGAGCATTTTATGATTTATTCATTATGATTATTCATTTTATGGCTTGCTTAATAACAATTACTTTTCCTTAATAACAATTACTTTCCTAGGGCATGGATTTCAGTCTTTTTAAAGAGGTCTTTGAGTCTTCCAAAATGGATTTCATTTTGTCTCATGCCATGTACTGCAGGGATGTTCTGAAGCTGAAGAAGGGACAGAGGGCAGTGATCAGCAATGGAAGGGTGAGGATTTTGTCCTGAGACAAACTTGACCTCAAATTAGATCAGTGAACAGGGTTGGCAGTGTTGTCCAAAGCTAGTAAACTCTTCAAACAGAGCCACTCTTTCCAAAGGGGATTGGGGCATATGCAGTGCTGATGATAATTTCTGCACCCTTATTTCAAAGGAGGTTTGCTTTTCACAAGCATCCTTGTGTAAAACCTTCCTGCTGTGTAATTATGTCCTGCCACATGTATGGTGGCAGTGAGAGTGTGGTGTCTCTCAGAGAATAAATTGATAAGGCTTTGATACACGAAGTAATCATTCCCTGTGGGGACTGTGTTCATAGTTGTGTAGTCTCTGTCAACTTCATTGGCGCAGAGTTAGACTATTTCATACATATCTACAGCCAGGGACATGAGACTGGGGGGGATATACCAAACTTTAATCTCTTAACACTGAGGGTGAAATCTCTGCTGTCATTCACTACACTGCATCTCTGGTTTGGCTCTGTTTTTTTATATTCAGCGAGAATTAATGAAACTATGTCACTATTTTGTTTTACTTCAGAGTTGCTTACTATAAAAATATTGTGAAGTATACAAGTCTACCCTCTGTAGTTGAGGAATTGATAAGTAAATAAATAACTGGATGAGTTGATTTGGGTTCTGTTTTTACCTTTTTCATTGATTTTATTCGATGTATACAAGTCTTGGGTCTTTAAAGTGATTAGGTTTGTAAGATAGCCTGAGGACAGCAGAGGGCTTCTTTCTAGCTGTGATTCTAGCACCGACCACCTGTTCTTCTTCACAGATCATTGGGCCACTGGAGGACAGTGAACTCTTTAATCAGGACGATTTCCACCTCCTAGAGAATATCATCTTAAAAACTTCAGGACAGAAAATCAAATCCCATATTCAACAGCTTCGGGTAGAAGAAGATGTGTAAGTTTTCCCAAGGAAAAAATTAATTAGTGCATGTCATAGGTACTGTGTTAGTTGAACTTTCCTCATGCTACCTGTTTCGTGGTGTTTTATTTCCAGTTTGAACACATAATAATGCTTTTCAATCCAGGTGTTTATTTTTGCTTCTGTTGAAACAAGTTAATTTATTTAAAAAACTGAATTAGGCCTTTCCATTTCATTTTTTTGGTTGTGGAAAATTCAAACATATGCAAGAATAGAGGGGTGAGTTTTTGTTTTTGTTATCTTGGGATACTTTTGTAAAGAGATACTTTCCCTTATCTGTTTTATTTTGTTCATGAAAGGAAAGTCAGGTTAAGTGCTTTTCTTTTATTTACTAGTATAGAATAATGAGTTGTTTCTCTTGCAACCTCCAAAGGTGATGATTTGGTTATTGTTGGTTTTTAATTTTTATTTTAATTCTTTCAGTGTTATTATTAGCTAATGAATTTTTTTTTTCAAGATTTTATTCATTTATTTGACAGAGCGCACGCACAAGCAGGGGGAGCAGCAGAGGGAGAGGGAGAAGCAGGCTCTCCACTGAGCAGGGAGCCTGATGTGGGGCTCAGTCCCAGGACCCTGGGATCACGACCTGAGCTGAAGGCAGACGCTTAACTGACTGAGCCACCCAGGCGCCCCTAACTAATGTATTTTAATGAGTTATTTCCCAGTGGAAGAAAATGAATTATTTAACTGGTCCATGTACCTGCTATATAACTAGAGCCCATAAGTCATATACACATGGTTTTATATCAAATGAATATAGTTGAAAGGTGTATTTTTATATTTAATTTTTTGAGGAACCATCGTATGTTTTTCCACAGAGATCATACCATTTTATTTTCCATTGGTAATGCATAAGGGTTCCAATTTCTCCACATCTTTTTCAGTACTTGTTATTTTCTGGTGGTGGTTTTTTTTTTTTTTTTTTTGGTAATAACCCACCCTAATGGGTGTGAAGTTGTATTTCTTTGTGGTTTGATTTGCACTTCCCTAATGATTAGTGATGTTGACAGCTCTTTATGTGCTAATTAGTCATCTGTATATCTTTGGGAAAATATCTTTCCAGTGCTTTGCACATTTTTTTTTTTTTTTAAGTAATCACTTCACCCAGAGTGGGGCTGGAACTCACAACCCGGAGATCAAGAGTTGCACGCTGCACCAACTGAGCCAGCCAGGTGCCCCTCCTTTGCACATTTTTAATTGTTTTTTTTATTATTGAGCTATAGGAGTTCCATGTAAATATGTAAATACTCTGGGTATCAATCTCTTATAGATAGATGATATGCAAGTATTTTCTTCCGTTCCATGGGTTGCATTTTCATTCTTTTGATAGTATTCTTTGGTGAATAAGTGGGAAGATACAAAATTTAAAAGTTCTTACGGTTTTTCTTTTCATCTCTTTCATATACCCTCATGCTGCAGAGTTTAAGATGCATGTCTTAGTGATGTATTGACCTTTGTAGCTGCCAGAGTAGTTCCTTTGCCAAGTCTTGTGTGATAGAGGAAGGAATCTTTTTTCATCTCAACCAATAATGAGGCTACAGATAAAGAGGTTTCCTCTTACCTCAGTGGCTTTTTAGTGATGCCCTTTGTTCTGGCCTATGAAACACTTCCCTGATGCAGGTCAGGAGGTGTTCCCAAGACTTGAAGCCATCATATCATGGCATAGGCTTGGTGTGATGTGCCCTTGGACCACCCCCCCTCTTTGTGGAGTCTTTGTGGACTATATAATTGCCAGTTTTTCTCTTGCCATTTGGTATAAAGTTCATATGTTCTTCAAACCATCTTGTTGGCATTCGGTACTTAGGCTGATTATATTATGTTCAGCAATAATTGGAAAAACCTTCAGTTAAAGATGCTAAATTTTCACCAACCATGTCTTTCAGGGCAAGTGACTTGGTAATGAAGGTGGATGCTCTCCTGTCAGCTCAACCAAAAGGAGATGCAAGAATCGAGTACCAGTTTTTTGAAGACAGACATAGGTACAGAATTAATATTGAATTTATGCATATTCTTGAATAAAATCTTAAGGTTGTCTTTACCTCATATGAAGTGTGTACATAAGTTCTTATTGGAATGGAAAATTTGTCCAGTGTGCAGTTTTCATATATACTCATTTTCATATGCCGAATTCATATACAGAGCTCAGTTGCATAAAAGTTGACATTTATTTCTAAATAAATCTGACATAGTTCTGACTGTACCCTTTTAGAAAACAGAAAGAATTTAATGAAACAGTTGTAGTTTTCTCATACTCAAAAATAAACAGGTTGTTAGAGCATTTGTATTGTTCATCTTTTATTGAAAACGGTTTTGTTTTCAATAAAATAATAAGTTTAGCATTATGAAAAAGTCCTTGCCTTTTGGTTTTGAGTTTTTTATTTCAGAAGTTTCAAAGCTAAAGAATAGTTGAAAGATTATTACAATGAACACCCAGATATCTTTAACCTGGCTTCACCAGTTGTTAACATTATGCCACGTTTATCTGTCATCTATGTGTGGGTTTGTGCATATGTATGTATGTATAGTACATATAATGTATATTTATGTTTGTGTACAAACTTATATGTACTTAAATTTTTTCTGAACTATTTGAAGGTCCGTTGCAGACATCGTTACACATCATGCCTGAATTCCTCAGCATGTATCTCCTGAGCACTAGGAGTGTCTCCACTGTTGGTATACCTCAGAGATTTAACCTTGATACAGTGACATTTAGTAGTACACAGTCCATATTCACATTTCTCCAAGGCCCCAGTAATGACCTTTGAAAACTGTTGTGTTCTTTGATTTAGTCCAGATCACATGTTGCAGTTCTTTGTTGTGTGTCTTTTTTAGTCTCCTTAAATCCAGAACAGTTTCCTGTGTTTTTTGTTCTTTGGGGTTTTTTTGGTCTTTTATGACTGACTTTTTAAAGAGTCCAGACCAGTTATCTTGTAGAATGTCCCATAGTCTGGGTCGTTTCCTCATGATTAGACTTAAGATTAAGTTGTCTTTAGGAAGAACCCCTACAGTTGATGTATGTAGCCAGGCAAGGTTATGTATCTTGATTGTGCCTTAGAGGCTTTAGATTTTGAAGCCTGCATCCTGCTCCGTTATGATTTTGATTTAATTAGTCTGGGGTAGATTGGACTTCGGTTTCATTGATCCATGCTTTCTTATAGCCAGTTCTTGTGGGGATCAAATTTGACCAGACTGTTTGATAATCCAAGCTAGAATGGAGACTCTCTCCCTTCTCACTGGCTGTGTGTCCTAACTTCTTACATCGCCAGTGAGTGAAGACTTCTGTGGCTCCTTGCTAATCCTAGTTGGATTTTGCCCATTAGCACCCATTTTCTCATCACTGTATACTTTCAGGAAGTAACCCAACTAGTTATTACCACAGGAAACATATTTCCCTATTGGCTTGCTATCCTGTTTGCCTTTCATGGCCAAGATAGTGAGTCCTGAGCCAGAATCTCTTCCCTTTTTAGAACATCATTTTCTCCATGAGTCTCATATAATTAAAATGCTCTAATTACAAATTCTGTTGTGAGACAAATTATAATTAGAGAAATTCTTCTTATTGGGGTTGTGTTAGTTAAATGAGCGTTATACTTAAATCAGACGTTTCTTATTTATGTGAGAAATAAAAAGGTCTGAATTATTGGTTATGTATATCCTTGCCCTAAAAGTGTGGCTCACAGAACAGCAGTGGGGCATCATCTGGGAGCTTGTTGGAAATGCAGAATATCTGGCCCCAGACTAGACCTTCTGAGTCAGTATTTACGTTGTAACAGGATCCCCCCAGGTCACGCTTGTGTACCTTAAGATTGGGGAAGCACTGTATTCTTTGATGTTTGCTCTACTCACCTCATGAAAATGTGTATGACCCCCAAATCTTGTTCCTGTGTCTGTCACTTTTGGCCTTACTCTGGTCTTTTCTCTAATACAGCAAGTATGTTTCCACATGATATTGTTAGTTTATACTGTTCTCCATTCCCATACCACTGTTCCTCTAATCTTGGCTTTTGTTTTACTCTTTTCTGTTATAGAGATATAGAGTGGTTAAAAGGCCAAACAGGATCAGTTTCTGGTTATGCCTGTTGCAGATCACTTAGAACAGTGGGTCAGAACATTAACATGTCACACAGAACTCTGCCCAGACCTGCCAGGTTCACAGGTTTTGGCCTGGGCATGCCTGACTCAGATGCTATACTCTATAGGACTCTTTGGGACTTCTCTTCTTCTTCCCTTTGTGAGAATTTATATAATGCTATTCTCTAGTGAGCTTTTTCCTTCTGGAATTCTAGAGAAGCACAGAAGTCCAGGTTATCTGAGGCCAGTGGCTCTCATACTTTGGCTTTTACCTAGAAAATTTGTTAAAGTGCAGATTGCCTGACCCACCCCCTGAGTTTCTGATTCAGGAAGTCTGGGTTGTGGCTGACAGTTTGTTTCTAACAAATTTCCAGATGAAGCTGATTCTGCTGGTTTGGAGCCACACTTTGAAAACAGCTGTATTAGAGTAAAAAAAAAAAAAAAAATTATTTTGGAATAATTATTGACAGCTGGAATTGTTAATTTTATCAAAAATTGAAAACCTCTGCTTTAATAACAGGCACAAAGCTATTTTGATGGTTATTTCCAAAGGAGTTAAGATTTGAAATAACCTTCATCCCCATTTAAACTATAGTTACCCAGTTTTGTTAGTTATATTTTATTTTGCACTTTTGTTTTCCTCTCACTGGATAAATGTTCTTGCACAGAACAGTAGTGGTTAGCACCAGAACTATATTAAAACATTGTTCAGAGCAAACAAAGATAGGCATTGATTTGACCAATTAAGATTTTGGAAAATTGGATGTATTTTAAAATCCTTCCAAGTTTATCCCTTTTCAGAATATATCAGAGGCTCCTACTCCTCTTAAGTCATCTAAGTCAATATGACTTTGGAGGGAGGCTGTGCAGCTGGAAACTGCGGGTGGGGAAATGTACATTCTCCTCAGAAACTCGAGAGGGACAACCTGAAACCTAAACAGCTGCTATTTTTAACTTACTAAGAAGACAGAATATGTATAACTTAATGTCCTTGAAAATTGATTCAGTTCTTTTGGAAATGTGATTGACAGTACATGTTATCCACAAAAATATTTGTATCCTGTGACTCTGTAATCTCATGTTTAGGACTTTGTCGACTCTAAAAGAAATTTCCAAGTATGAAAAAAACTGTATGTATGAAGTTACTTACAGGCTGCAAGCCATCTAAATGCCCAACAATAAGGAGTAGCTTAAATAAACATGGCAGATTCACTTGGTAAATAGAAGATTATTTTTTATTCAGGATATTTGATGTGTAACAATATGGAAAAATCATTATGATAAAGTGGTGGGGGAAGGAAGGAATTATAAAATTGCTAATATTCTTTAGGTATAGCTGCTCTTTATAGAGGCATTTGAGAAGGTCTGCAGAGAAAAATGCCACAGCATGGTTGGGTTGGGATGGTGAGATTTTATGATTATTTCCTTTTTCTCTCACAAGTTTTCTGTAATGTTCTTTGTATTATTTTTAAAAATCCATTTATTTCTTCTCTTCTCATACCCTTCTTGCCAGGAAATAAAAGTTGGCATAGTATTTGTAATTGTCAAAAACAAACATCAGCTTTTAAGCAGCAGGTTTTGGTTAAATACAATTTTAAGCTGGTTTTCATCTTTTGTTCATTTTGAGTGAACTTGAGTCATGAGCAGGTTTTGCAAACTTTGAGGTAGACATAATTACATGATTAACCAGCATGTAGCCTTGTTGTTCTAGATCTGAAGTGTTTTTGGAAATGCTGAGAGAGCTGATAGGTTATGTTGGTCTTAATAAAAAAGGTTAACTTTGTTTTCTGTTTTCCACCAGATTAATGTTTTGTCTTTTTGATCTCTGTAGTGCAATTAAAATGAGGCCGAAGGAAGGGGAGACATACTTTGATGTTGTGGCTGTCATTGACCCTGTCACCAGAGAAGCACAGAGACTTGCCCCATTGCTCTTGGTAGGCATAGCCTAAGAGGCAGTTTGCATCTCTTTATCTGAAGTCACAGGCCCTGTGACTCCCTGAGAGTGTCATTGTTCCCCTAGTTATCTTCAAAGGGCTTTGGAAAATGCTACAGGGCATCTTGGCAGAGCAAATGTCTTCATAAAGATTGGTAATGGCTCTGGAAACAGCCTCATAACCTTAGAAAGTTGGTAGAAGTTTGGTTGATTTCCTCATGTAATTTTTTAAAAATGTCCTATTTAGAGCAAGGTATCTTTTAATTAAATTGATTTATGCCATATTTTGATTTATAATGAATGAGAGTTAAAAAGGTAAAATTTTGCTTTTTTATTTTCCTTTTCTAAAACTAGCATTTTTTCAAATTGTGGCATGTCTTGTAGATTTGTATAATATATTACAGTTTTAAGAAAATTTAAGAGCTTTGCCAAAAAGACAGTTGCCTCGACATTTTTTTTTTTGAGTTGTATTTCTTTTTTAAGGTGAAGTTTTATTGATGTATAATCAGCTAACATTTTTATGGATGTGTGTAAATATGCATACTCTCTAGCCAAGAATAAGTTTGTGGTGTGATGAGACCTTGGCACCACTGTCCATTCAACTGCCCCTGAGCCTCTCTCCCTGCTGTGTGTGTGTGTGTGTGTGTAAGGAGGTGCTGGGCTACAGTGCTGATGCTGAGCAGGACTGGGGGGTAGAGAACAGGGTTCTCCCATGTCCTGGAATGAATATGAACATGTCCCTAGGCCTCAGTTGGGACTCAGGTCTAGGGACAGCTCTGTGGTCAGGGAGCCACCTGAGGATCCAGGAAAGGTGGAGGAAAGCCCTGAGTGTCTTTGTTTCATCTGAGGGTGGGTTGGGGTGAGTCACTGGGGGAAGCAGAGCTCAACTGAAGGTGGAAAGATGACAAAAGAGTCCTACAGTCTAGCACTTATTCTTTGCACCCCTGGGAAAGGGGCTGGGTGGCCTGAGGGCGACTCTTCTGTTTGGGGGGAGGGGGCCCAAGGCCACTGACACGGAGAGCTGGGGCTCAAGGACAGGGGGTTCGGGGGTGGGCTCTCCTCTTTGTGATCACTCTACTTCAAGCCTTTATGAGTTGCCTTCTCATCAGATTTGTAACCTTGGAGCCTACCCTGTATCTTGTACCTTCCCTCAACCAGATGTGGGTGGGTCCCTGGAGTGGGGCTGTACATCACAAGGGCTGGAGGCTTAGAGGCAGAACACCATTATCTCACAGAGGGACAAGTGTGTCCTCTTGCCCTTTCCTCAGCTGTGGCCAGGGGTGTGTGGGCCTTGTCTGCCTCAGGGTCAGGCTGCAGTGGAGGTGGGTAGATAGATGAGGTCCTGGCCCAGGAGTGGAGGACAGCGGTGGTTAGGTCTCCTCATGGTTCTGCTTGAGGTGGATTAGCTGAAAGGTGATGAAGTTTAAGCCCTTTCCTGTTCCTGTTCTAAATAAACACTTTTGGACAACAACAACAACTGCACTGATGAACCTTTAAAATTTTCCTTGTGTAGACAGCTCTCCATTATCCATCAGTTGCTTCACACAAGGGGGAGCAGTGATTTGCAGTAGCCCACTTGCCATGTTTTTGCCAAGTGATATGTGTGTGTGATTTAGGTTGTATGCCAGAGTTGGGATTTCCAGAAATTTCTCCAGTGCAGATTTTATGGCTTTTATTATCTTTTTGTCTTTCTTGAGATATTAAGAGATGTTCTCTCAACTCCGTGTCAGAGTGATAAGTTTCTGAAGAGAAAATGTAAATATTTTGTCTCAAGTAGCAGTCACTTTCTCCGTAGGAAAATTTTATGTTTTGTCTCTGGTTTGCTCTTTTAGGTTTTAACCCAGCTGATCAACATGAATCTAAGAGTGTTTATGAACTGCCAATCTAAACTTTCTGACATGCCTTTAAAAAGGTAAGACAAGCTGTTGAAGAAATCAATCGAAAACGTGGTACTAAATCTGAAAGCTGGTATTGAATGTTAAGGAACAAATGGGTTTATAGGTGGACTTCATGTTTGAAAAGATCATTTACTGAATGTTCAGTTTTGCTAAATTTCTGCTCTAATCAGAAGTTCTAAGAATTTAGGGTGGGTCTGGAAGCATTTAGGTGGCATTAACTCAAGTTACTTGGGCCAGCCGGCCTGCCTGCCTGCTTGCCTGCCTGCCGTCCTGCCTCCCTCCCTCCCCCTCTCTCGCCCTTCCCTCCCTTGGAATTATGTAGTTCTTTAATTTTAGAGCATTTGGATCAATATAACTGTTAAATTTACCTAGTTATTTAAAAAAATGTGCTGTGGTACAGAAAGAAACTTGTCTATCCCATTTTATCTTAAAAGTGGAGCAGTTATTTCAAGTTGGAGTATATTTGTCAGAAGAAGCTTGCTGAGGCTCATTTGCATGTATCTTGAGGAGGGCAGGCTTAGCTGTATATTTTCTGAACCTTGGAATGGTCATTTATGAAGAAAGTTAAATAAAAAGCAGTAGTAATAGGGTAGCATCTGCTGGGTCTATAGGAAATTTCTTATGTAAAAATGTGCCGTGTTTTTTTAAGTTAGATTCTAAGTGAATTCAAATACTGTTTGAAGTGGTTCTCAGCTTCTACATTGTCCTTGAATAGGAGAAATGTTTAAACTACTGTGTATGGTGTTTTCAGGGCTCACCTGAGAACCCAGCCACCATTTAGGACTTTGTGTTTAAGAGAAAAATAACTTTTCCTCATTGAAGGGAGGCATGTGCTCAGGAAATCTTGTGACTCCAACAACAGCCACCCTTAGCAGTACCAGAAAGAATGACCTCTCCTCTCAATTCTGTCCCTCCTGCTCTTCTCTTGCATCTGCAAAAACCATAGGCGGCATAAATTGTCAAGAGATGGCTTTGGAAACATTTTTCCCAGTCTGGGAGGTTACCCTTCCAAATCTAGTTTGTTTTATTTTAAGCCAATTAGTTACCTGTGTGGATATCTGTGAACTTAAGGACTGTGGGTGTATTAAAAGGACTCACTTTTTATTTTATTTTTTTTAAATTTCAGTTTTTACCGTTATGTCTTAGAGCCAGAGATTTCTTTCACTCCAGATAATAGCTTTGCTAAGGGTCCAATAGCAAAATTTTTGGATATGCCACAGTCTCCTCTGTTCACCCTGAATTTGAACACACCTGAGAGTTGGATGGTGGAGTCTGTCAGAACGCCATATGATCTTGATAATATTTATTTAGAAGAGGTAAGAATATCATTGCTTCTACATATGTAATCTTGTGTAAAACCTGTTTAAGATGGAGTGGTGGTAGTTTCTGAATGAACAGACTGGATCACAGTCCAGGCAGGCCTCTGAAATGTCCATGTTCATGTATAATTGTATTTTTAAAAAATAACAGCTTCATTGGGATCTATTTCACATACCATAAAATTTACCCTTTTAAAGTATACAGTTCAGTAGTTTTAGTATATTCACAGAATTGTGCAGCCATCACCACTAGGTAGAAACTCCATACCCATTAGCAGTCACTCCCCATGACCCCCTGGCAACCACTGATCTACATTCTGTCTGTGTGGATCTGCTTGTTCTGACGTTTGATCTAAACAGAATCATATATTTTTGTGATTGGCTTCTTTCACTTAAATTATTATTTTTAAGGTCCATCCATGTTGTAGCATGTATTAGTATTTAATTCTTTTTTGTTGTGAGAAAATATTGTATGGATATGCCACATTCTATTTATCCTTTCATTGATAGACATTTGGGTTGTTTCTACGTTTTTGGCTATTATAAATGATGCTGCTGTGAACATTCATGTCCAAGTTTTTATAGATGTGTGCTTTTATTTCTCTTGGAATTGGTGGATCATACAGGAATTCTGTGTTTAATCCTGAGGGATTGCCAAACTATTTTCCAGGGTGACTGCACCATTTTCCATTCCTGCCCATGATGTTGAGCATTTTTTCATGTGTTTATTGGCTATTTGTATATCATCTTTGGGGAGAAATGTCTGTTCAAATCCTTTGCCTATTTTAAAAAAAATTGCCAGGTTTTTTTTATTGTGGAATTGTAAGAGTTCTTTGTATATTCTAGATACAAGTCTGTTTTCAAATATATGATTGGTAAATAATATCTTTCATTCTGTTAGCTGTCTTTCACTTTCTGGATAATGTCCTTTAAAGCACAAATGTTCCTAATCTTGATGAAATCTGTTATTTTCTTTTGTTGCTTGTGCTTTTGGTAGTATACCTGAGAAATCAGTGTTAATCCCAGGTCACGAAGATTTATTCCCATGTTTTCTTATAAGACTTTCAAATTTTAAACTCTTTTATTCATTTTGAGTTAATTTTTATATATGGTGTGAGGTAGGGTTACAGATTTGTTCTTTGTGTGTGAATAGCCATTTGTCACAGCACCATTTGTTGAAAAGACCGTTCTTTCCCCACTATATGGTCTTGGTGCCTTTGTCAAAGATCTATTAGCCCGGAATGAATTTAATTCTAGACTCTCAGATCTCTTCCCTTGATCTGTGTGTCTATCCTTCAGCCACACTTGTCTTACTTAGCTTTGTTGTCAGTTTTGAAATTGGTAAGTTAGTTTTCCAATTTTATTCTTACTTTTCAAGGTAGTTTTGGCTATTTTGGGTTCTTTGCATTTTGGAATCAGCTTGTTAATATCTGTAGAAAAGGCTGCTGGGATTTTGATAGAGATTACATTAAATCCCTAAGTCAATTTGAAGAGTATTGCCATCTTAACATTAATAAGTGTTCTGACCCATGAATATGGGATGTCTTTCCATTTATTTGGGTCTTTAATTTCTTTCAACAATGTTTTATAGGTCTTATATATAGGCCTGTAAAAGATCATGTCATCTGCAAATAGAGGTAGTTTTATTTCTTTCTTTCCAAACTGGATGTCTTTTATTTAATTTTCTTGCCTAATTGGGAAATTTTAAATTACCAATTCAGTGTCTTATTATGGATTTATTTGGATTTTCTCTCTTGTCTTAAGTCATTTTCTGGAGTTTGTATCTCAGGAATTTATCCATTTTATCCAGATTATAATTTGTAGGCCTATAGTTAGTCATAGCATTTTCTTACAGTCTTTTAAATTTAGTTTTGGAGGGGCACCTGGGTGGCTCAGTCGTTAAGCGTCTGCCTTCGGCTCAGGTCATGATCCCAGGGTCATGGGATTGAGCCCTGCACTGGGCTCCCTGCTTGGCCGGGAAGGCTGCTTCTCCCTCTCCCACTCCCCTGCTTGTGTTCCCTCTCTCGCTGTGTCTCTCTCTGTCAAATAAATAAATAAAAATCTTAAAAAAATAAATAAATTTAGTTTTGGAGTGATGTCTCCTTTTCCCTTGCTGATGTCAGTGAGTTGGCTCATCTTTTTTTTTATGGTCAGTCTAACTAAAAGTTTGTCAGTTGGTTGATATTTTCGAAGAACCAACTTCCGGCTCCATCAGTTTTTCTGTTTTCCTGTTCTTTATTTCATTTGTGTTCATATAGCTGTTTTGAGTATCTAAGGTAAGTGGTCCTTTCCCCAGTCCATTTTCAAAGATTGAGAGCTCACAAGTGTAGTTTTGCTGCTGTATCTTCACAGCCCTCACTCTGTACCTAGTTCAGAGTGTATTAACAAAAGAATTAAAACACATGGTCTTTCCTTATAAGGAGCTTACAGAGCCTCCTTCCTTTTTAAGACCACTGTCTCTGTGTCTGTCCTAAATATCTCTTCTTACAATTGAAGCCTGTTTCCTGGTTCTTCTTGGGAATTGGGAGACCAGGAACTTGAAGATAGTTATTAAGGGACTTCTCAGCCTTCTTTTCATAAGGGTAAAGAAGAATTCCATGATTCTTTACATCCCAAGAATGCTAAGTTAGGGGAGAGTGTGTGTACACACTTGCCTTATTCCCCACCTCAAACCTGTCCACCAAGTTTGTTAAGAAACAGGAAATGATGTCTTTGCCCTTGAAGAACCAACTCTTGCTTCGGAGATAGTAAGATGGCCACAGAAAGCACTAAAGAGCAGTGTAAGGAGGCACAGAACAGATGCAGAGCAGCTCTCTTCCATGTCCTTAGAGTTTTTGCTGCTCTTTCCTAGACTTTCTCTGCTTTCTCTGTATCTGCTGAAAACATAGAGCCTGGGACTTGGTGAGCGTGTGGAGGTTTAGCCCTTAGCTTTCATTATTACGCTTTTGGAATTAGTGTTGCAGTAACATATTAAGCTCCAAATAGCGTGTTATTAGCATTAGATAGGATTACAGAGCCAAGTGTGAACCAGCCTGGGATAAAAAGCCTTTAATTAACTAAAGCCAAGCTGCCCTAATACCTTGCAATTATATCGTATTTTCTGTAAGGAATCAATAATAATTTAGGCAGTTGATGTGGAACATGAATGGTTTTGTGCCATTATGGAGTCATCGAATACATTTTAGATATTTGCCTTTAGAATGGCAGTTGTATTTTTAGCTATATCCTGTAGGCCAAGATGAATTTATGTTTTTCTCTGCTGTTTCTCATTGTTTTTTCTTTATCTTCTTTAGCTTTTAGATCAGTTCATTTTTTTTTTTTTAAGATTTTATTTATTTGACAGACATAGTCAAAGAGGGAACACAAGCAGGGCGAGTGGGAGAGGGAGAAGCAGGCTTCCCATGGAGCGGGGAGCCAACCTGACATGGGGCTCGATCCCAGGACGCTGGGATCATGACCTGAGCCGAAAGCAGACGCTTAATGACTGAGCCACCCAGGTGCCCCTAGATCAGTTCATTCTTTTGGCAGTGTGATTTACATGGTTTTCCCAATATTACTTCCTAGATGACAGCCTCATCCTCTCATCTGTACATCTGTACAAAACCTCCTTGCACAATCAAGATACAGAGCATTTCCATCACCCCAGAAAGTTCTCTTGTGTCCCTTTGCAGGCAGTCCCCTCCCCATTCTGTCACTATAGTTTTGCCTTTCCTTAAATTTCTTAGAAATATGACCATACAGTATGCAGCCCTTTACATCTGGCTTTGTTCACTTTGTACAATGCATTTGAAATCCATGTTGCATGTCTCAACAGTTTGCTTCTTTTTATTGCTGAGTAATTTTCAAGTGATTTAATTCTGCTGTTGCAGGTGGATAGTGTGGTGGCTGCTGAGTATGAGCTGGAGTACCTCTTATTGGAAGGTCACTGCTATGACATCACCACAGGCCAGCCCCCACGAGGACTGCAGTTTACATTAGGAACTTCAGCCAACCCAGTCATTGTGGATACCATTGTTATGGCCAATCTGGTAAATAATCAGTACATAAGGTGGTGGTATTGAGTCATGTTAATTTGGGCACTACAGTTTACGATGAACAGTTTGCATTCTGGACATGAGTGAGATTAAAATTCATGATTGACTGAATTTGGTCAATATAAAAATCGAAAGTTAAACTTACAGATTGGAATTACATGTTAGCCTAAAAAAAATCCTAGGATATTCTGAATATTCTGTTCTAATCAAATTGGCCCCTGCAAATGCATTGCTTAAGAGCTGACAGCATTTTTTCTTAGCTTTGGAGGTTTTTAGCTTGTTCACACATGACGCATTGATCCTTCACTCACTTACAGATCAAGAACCCCCTTCTTGGCTTCACTGGCCTGTATTTTGCTAGTGTTTCAAATGGGTAGATTTCTTTCTTTCTTTTTTTTTTTTAAAGACCTGCACTGAAATTATAACTTTTATTTAAAATATGAGTGATATTTCAGAAAAGGAAATAACTGTCCCTCAGAAACAGCATTTTGATGTTTCAAAGAGAACTAAAATTTGTCTTTCTTCTTACTTAGGGCTACTTTCAGTTAAAAGCCAACCCGGGAGCTTGGATTCTCAGACTAAGGAAGGGTCGGTCTGAAGATATTTATAGAATCTACAGGTAGGATTAAGTGATGTAGGTGCTTTTCTTCCAGAACACTTTACAGAGAATCAGCTTAAGTTGGGTACTACACAGGCAGTTAGCCAGGGAATAAGGATTTAATTTATGTGTGATGAAATAATGCTTCTCCGGGAAATTGAGTATAGAAGAATTGTCAGGGTCTGATTGGGCAATAAGTGGTATAAATTCTAGTAAGTATAGTCAAGTTTCACTCTTTAGTCTTTCCTTTGTGCTAACAGCATCTCAGAATCAGATTATTCTTTCACTGTGTTGAAAACCATAGGCAGATGAGAAATTGAGTCATTTCAAGAAAGGAGAAAAGAAACAACATTCAGACTTTTCTACATAGACAGTGTATTTCTTGACCCTGGGTGAATTGCAGGTACACAGTAGGTGTACGCTTTGGCCATGAAATCTTGGTGCTAGCACTGGCTTTCTTGGTCTGTGGTAGTATGGAAGTACTTCCAGAGCATTTCGTCAGTCACCAGGTTTTTGCCTTCAGGTTTGCTATGGCTGCCTATTAGTTTAAAAAAATTATACTGCCATTTTGAGTTTATCTTTGTATATGGTGTAAGAGAGTGGTCCAGTTTCGTTCTTCTGCATATGTGACTGTCCAATTTTCCCAGCACCATTTATCGAAGAGACTTTTTTTCCATTGCATATTCTTTCCTGCTTTGTTGAAGATTCGTTGACCATAGAGTTGAGGGTCCATTTCTGGGGTCTCTGTTCTGTTCCACTGATATATGTGTCTGTTTTTTTTGCCAATACCATGCTGTCTTGGTGATCACAGCTTTGTGATATAGCTTGAAGTCAGGCATTGTGATGCCCCCAGCTTTGGATTTCTTTTTCATCATACCCCTGTGATTCGGGATCTTTTCTGGTTCCATACAAATTTTAGGATTGTTTGTTGCAGCTCTGTGAAAAATGTCGATGGTATTTTGATAGGGATTGCATTGAAAGTGTAGATTGCTCTGGGCAGCATAGACATTTTAACTGTTTATTCTTCTAATCCATGAGCATGGTTTCACTCATATGTAGAGTGTAAGGAAAAGCATGGAGGACCATAGAGGAAGGGAGGGAAAACTGAATGGGAAGAAATCAGAGAGGGAGACAAACCATGAGAGACTCTGGACTCCAGGAAACAAACTGAGGGTTACAGAAGGGAGGGAAGTCGGGGAATGGGGTAACCAGGTGATGGGTATTAAGGAAGGCACATGTGTGATAAGCACTGGGTTTATGCACAACTAATGAATCATTGAACACTGCATCAAAAACTAATGATGTACTATATGTTGGCTAAAAAATTAAAGGGGGAAACAAAAATATTATACTGCTTTTAAAAGGTGTAATCTAAATTCTGTTTAACACAATTTAAATTAGTTTTAAGCTATGTGAAGAGAGTTTATGTCAATTTTTAGGGAGTGATTTCCATTACAGGGTATTTAAAACACCCTCTTGTTGTGTCATCTTAGTTCTATAGGATCTATAGAGCAGCGTGGTTTCTTGAAGCTGTATTATAATAACATATTTATTGTAAATACCATGTTTTCTTCCAAATAATGTTTTCCTAAATATGGTTTTGCAGAATTTAATCCTATCATAAGAAGTTTACTTGTTCTTCTTCTAAACCCCGTCCCTTCTGTGTGCCCTTTCCCTGGCTGCTCTAACCCCCTTCCCAAGAGTGTGGAGTCCTCCTCTCTTCTTACTGTCTAGGGTTCCCTTCGTCTTGGATATTTCCAGACTCTGTAGTGTTTCATGCTTCCCCATCAGAATCTTACCTTGCCTGAGAACTCTGCTTTCTGCTGGATGACAGTGAATGAATGCAGTGAACTCATATTTTATCATGGCTTTCTGCACTTAACACCTTGAAAATTGGTGCCTGGAAATTTTAGGAATTACAGTTGAGTGGGGATATCTTATTTTTAATTTTAAATGTTTCCTGTTCTGCCCCAGCCCTCCCTGCAAATAGAGCTTGTTATAGTTCTTTCTCCAGAATATGGGCATCAGATTGAGTACAGGGCCTAGAGTTGGCTGATTGTGTGCCTCCAGGCAGAAGGATAGAGTAGATGCCTTTTCAGAACTCTGAAGTAGAGCCATGCTTTGTTACTTGTCCATGAAAGAGTAGAAGTGATGTGTTTCTGGTGATGGTGCAGAGTGGCTCATGCTCCTGGGCAGTCCTTTATTGCTGATACTGAGCTTGGCTCAGACTTTGTGAATACAGGTGTTGATTAAGTGCTCATCATGCACTTGCCAGCACTGGGAGCCTCTTACTCTGTGAAAGGTAATTTAAAGAGGAGACTCAAGAAGGAAGTTTGGGTTGTGACTAGAATGTTCAGTGTTTGAAGGACAGAGATTCTGACAAGTGCTTCTGTGTAGCTTGAAGGGACTTCCTGTAGGTTGTGAGAAAATAATTTGTTCTGGAAAACTCCTTTATGATAAAGATGATGGACAAATATGGCAGATTGATGTCAGACCACTTACTGCATTTTGAGAATTGTGATTTGTAATGTCCCTCTTATTCTTTCCGTTTCTTTTCTCTCTAAGCCACGATGGCACAGATTCTCCTGCTGATGCTGATGAAGTTGTTGTTGTTCTCAACAACTTCAAGAGCAAAATTATTAAAGTGAAGGTGAGTTTGGTAATACTAAGGCAGCCACTCTAATAGTGGGTGAAAGTAGCAGTATTCTGGCATTCAGTAGCTCTTATCTAGAAATAGGTGGATGTATTAACTGATAATGCTGTCACTGTGGTCATTTTACAATATTTATGCATATCAAATCATCACATTGTACACCTTCAATTTATACAGTGTTGTTTGTCAATAATTATATCTCAGTAAAGCTGGGGGGAAGAAAAACCGGCTTAAGACTTTAATTCACCTTTGGAATTTTAGTGTTTATTGGAATGCCCTTTTTTTTTTTTTTGAGAGAGGGAGAGAGAGATCATGAGGGGCGGGGTTGGGGGGAGATGAGAGAGGGAGAGAGAAAGAGAAAGAGAGTCTCCTAAGCAGGCTCCATGCCCAGTGCGGAGACCGATGTGGGGCTTGTTCTCACCACCCTGAGATCATGACCTGACATGTCAGACACTTCAGCCAGCTGAGCCACCCAGGCACCCCAGAATACTTCTTTAAATGTAAGATGTCTTTTGTAAATACACATTTGTGGTTTTCTTCAACTGAGAGATTGCACCTTTTAGGTAATCTCTGAGCAATACAAGTCTCATTTTACATAAAGTGTTTTCACAGATACTGTTTTGCTTACATAGCCATCGTTCACATTATTACTGATGACTTTTCTCAGAAAATTGGGAAGAATGCCAGTGAAAATTTCAATGACAATAATAATTGGTAGCCCTATTTCATTTCTTTTCACTTCTCAGAATTTTGAAGTTCTTAGTGCCTTAAATTCAAGTAAAAGGTATTATGGAATAAATAATCATTATACACAGTAAAATCTAAAGCAGACCACACATGATTGAGCAGAAAACTGGTCCCTGTGTTGTTGAGAAGATTCAACCCGTCTTTATCCTGGTTAATCCTAAAAACAGGCCGTGATGTGAAGTGACTTCTTCCTGACAGCGCTCATGTGGGCTGCACTCTACCCCTGGAAAACCAGCTGTCAGCTTGGTGGATTAGGTTTCTAGTTTTGCTTAGACTCTGTTTCCTACATAGTTGAATTTGAGGTTCTTTGACCATTTTTCAAAGTAAAAATAGTTATTACCTAATTAAGAGAGGTTGCTGGCTCATCACCTGAAGTTTTAATGTGATATGTTGAAGATCATTGTATTGAACTTGTCTAGACTCTGGGTGGATTGTTGTGCTTGTGGGAGAATTCGTTCCCTATTGTTGACAGCACTCCTCGCATATGGTTGCAGGTTCAGAAGAAGGCAGATATGGTAAATGAAGACTTGCTGAGTGATGGAACTAATGAGAATGAATCTGGATTTTGGGACTCCTTCAAATGGTAAATTGGCATCATTAAAAAAAAGATAGTATCTTTTAAGGAAAAACTGAGATATAAGCACCATCCCTCCCTTCTTTAGAGTATAAGAATCCTATCTGGGCCTTTCAGAGTCTGCACTCTGGCACCACATCTTGTACTTCTATTTAGAGTAGATGAATGTTTTCCACGGACTGAGTGAAGGAGGTTAATGTCCCCTTGTGCGGAAGTTACTTCTTGACTCTCATTGGGTTGTGCCTGCCTTGTGGAGAGTTCAGTTTACTTCCATTGAGCGGATCATGTTCTGTGGAATCGCCTCTGTTCAGTGTATTCCTGAAGCTATGCAGTGCCCTGCAGGCAGCATCCTTCTCTTTCCCCTGTGGTGGCTTGGTTGTCTTGTGCCCTCTCAGGGCGCCAGCGGATGCTTCACCGGCCTCTCCTGCATCACCCCTAGGGAAGGAATGGGCATGGGAAACACAGCTCTGTAGCTCTCCCCTTAAAGGGCTGTGTGTCTGTACCAGCATTTCAAGTGTTCTTGTATTTATCTTTACTATTATAGGGGCTTTACGGGAGGACAGAAGACTGAGGAAGTGAAACAAGATAAAGATGACATAATTAATATTTTCTCCGTGGCATCTGGTCATCTCTATGAAAGATTTCTTCGGTTAGTTGTGTTGATTATTTCAGTATATACGAATGGGTTTGTCACAGTATTCTTATTTAGAGAGTAAATGTTTTATGGGATTCTGTCCATTATGCTTCTGTGTATCTGAAGCACTCTGAAGATTGTGAATATATAATTGTATTTGTTTTGATCTGCCAGTCTCATGAAGTCTGGCTGTATAATAAATGCATCTTGTGGATATCACAAGGCTATATACCTTTAATACCACTGCATGCACATTATAAATAGTGGTGTTTCATTGGCCACCAAGCATTGCTTAAATCAGAAATTAGGAGGTTAACACAGAGAATAGAAGTGGAGTAGGGCTATGGACCTGCCTTCCAAAGATTCATAGGAGTTTAGAGCCAGGAGTGATCTTAGTTCTCACAGAAGAACACCTCTGTTTTATAGACAGATTCAGAGGGTGAAGGAACTTGCCTGAGGTCACACAGCCAGGGCCAAAGAGAGGTGACAGCCTTGGGCTGGTTGATGCAGTGGCCGCCAGGGGAAGGCTTGGCTATGAATATGCTCCTTTGCTTGAGAGTGACTTTCCTAATGCCAGGGTTCATTTTACTTTTTTTTTTTTTTTATTTTAAAGATTTTATTTATTTATTTGAGAGAGAGAATGAGGGAGAGAGAGCACATGAGACGGGAGAGGGTCAGAGGGAGAAGCAGACTCCCCGCTGAGCAGGGAGCCCGATGTGGGACTCGATCCTGGGACTCCAGGATCATGACCTGAGCCGAAGGCAGTCGCTTAACCAACTGAGCCACCCAGGCGCCCTTCATTTTACTTTTAATTTTCCATGACGAATCTAGTATGGCAAATAATTAAACTGTCATTTTACTCAGTTTCAGGCCTCCCATTTCCAAGAAGTAACTGACCTGTAAAACAGTTAATGTCAAATGTTGGTAACTCAATTTAATTCAATTCCGTGACTCAGTTTGTTTTTGTATGTTTTCGAAGTTAGGAAATCCTGACTCTGTAGCCATTTGCTATCCCCCGACCTTTCTCTGCTCTCCTCCCTGGCAGGGTCTCCAGTTGAGGCTGTGGGGGGCAGTGCAGGGACATAGAGCTCCTGGCCTTACAGGTTCTCTTTTCAGAGCCCTGTAATCAGTGAACCACAACCTCCATTATTCATTTGTACCATAATTAAGATAGCAGTTCATGAAGCAGTTTATTTAAAGATGTAACATGATTAAAACATTTGCCTTTATCAGGGATATCTTTATGGGTGAGGAATACTCTTTCTTTTCCATGCAGTGATAACTTTATAATAAGTGCAGTTTTCCATTTTCCATTACTAAGGGTCTCTCTTTGCCATCAATTTGCTCTGCCATGAAGAACATTCAGCAGTCTCGTGATTGACTCTACTTGATTTCATTGAGATTAAAAAGCATTGGAAAATTATTATTGATTATTATTTGCTTTTGTTTGACAGTATAATGATGCTATCAGTACTGAAGAATACCAAGACTCCTGTGAAATTCTGGTTCTTGAAGAATTATTTGTCTCCCACATTTAAGGTTTGTTCCTCAGGAGAAAGGAAAGGATTCTTATTAAGGAGATATGTATGGTATAATATACTTTTTTACTACTTCAGTGTTATTTGTATGATTTAAAATTTTTCCTTTTAATTAGGTTTCCCTTCTTCAGTTGCATATATTTTTTTTGTTTATTTATTTAAGTAATCTCTACACCCACCATGGGGCTCGAACTGACAACCCCAAGATCAAGAGTTGCATGCTCTTCCATTTAAGCCAGCCAGGCGCCCCTAGTTGCATATTTCTATGTTCATTCCAGATGGATTATTTTGGAGGAATAGTTATTATAAAACCAAACACAAAATTATAACCTGTTTGAAGCTTGGATAACATTGGAGGAAAATCTGTTATCTTTTGTTTTGATGAAATAACATTCTCTTCCTCTGAGCATGTATGTTATAGTTTAATTAGAAAGCACAATACAAGTTATTCTCTGTTTTTTTTTTATGTAGTCACAGGTGAGTCAGGGTCAGATTTCTGTTATTAGACCACTGTTAATGGTAAATGTGTTTTACTTGTGCCATAATCATGATGGCTGACTTACATTATCGAGTTGATTTTCTTCATCAAAGTAAGTGGTCGTTTGTTGTTTTCTATGTCCCAAAATAGGAGTTCATACCTTATATGGCAAATGAATACAATTTCCAATATGAGCTTGTTCAGTACAAATGGCCTCGGTGGCTTCATCAACAGACTGAGAAACAGCGCATCATCTGGGGTTACAAGATCCTCTTCCTGGATGTGCTCTTCCCACTAGTTGTTGACAAATTCCTGTTTGTGGATGCTGATCAGGTAAGCTCTTACAAGCCAGATTTAAACAGTTCATATTGGGGCGCCTGGGTGGCTCAGTCGTTAAGCATCTGCCTTCGGCTCAGGTCATGATCCTGGGGTCCTGGCTTCAAGCCCCGCATCAGGCTCCCTGCTCAGCGGGAGGCCTGCTTCTCCCTCTCCCACTCCCCCTGCTTGTGTTCCCTCTCTCGCTGTCTCTCTCTCTGTCAAAATAAAATAAAAAGGAGGCCTGAAACTGAGTAAAATGACAGTTTAATACGAACTGTTTTTGTTTTGTTTTAAGATTTTATTTATTTATCTGACAGAGAGAGAGACAGCGAGAGAGGGAACACAAGCAGGGGGAGTGGGAGAGGGAGAAGCAGGCCTCCCGCTGAGCAGGGAGCCCGATGTGGGGCTCAATCCCAGGACCCCAGGATCATGACCTGAGCCGAAGGCAGATGCTTAACGACTGAGCCACCCAGGCGCCCCTCCTTCTCCTTTTTAAATGATTTTATTTTTCTAGTTAAAGAAAAATACATGCTTACATTATTTAGAATATATGGAAAGTTACACTCAGATGTGATCACTTTTAAAATTTGCATTTGAAGTATCTCCTTTTCATCTTTTTTTCTATGCCTCTTTTACACAGTTGTGATTATATCATGTATGCAGTTTTGTTTCTTAATTCATTTAACATACAAACTAGAAACTGGAAGACTGAGGTTTAGTAATGCTTGCCATTATCTCCAATTATTTGCCCAAAAGCTGGGAGTTATTGACATGGTTAAGAGAGGGGAAGCTCTAGTAGATAGATGTCTGCCTTGATAATTTGGAACTCTTCAGATATTCTTCCTCCTGTCAAGATTTGACCTAAAAGGAACACACTGTGGTTTTAGACCATACAAACTCAAAAAGTGTGAATATAGTTGTCCTTTACAACCTTCCCCCTTCCCCTGACCTGGCTGAAACCTGAGGTAATCATCTGAATGGAAGTGATATATAATATGTGCAAAAGTCATGCGGCCAGAGGCTTCATCCACCTCTTTGGAATTACCTGCCTCATCTGACTCATTGTATCACAACTGGCTTGACCTAAAGCATGCTTTCTGGATTCTAATATAAGCACACTTACTCCTTGTTGAGTACTTGCTGTGTGTCAGGCATCTTTACACAGCTGTCCACATACTGATTCATGTAATCCTGTGAAGTCTCCATTTTACACCTGAGGAAACTCAGTCACAGAGAGGGTAAGTAGTGTCGATCTGTTTTATTTCTACCTTTTTGAATACTTAGACTACTGTGTGCCCAGCACTAGGCCAAGTGTCTTACCTTTTAGTGAAGGCAGTCAGCTAATCAGTGTAAGAATCCGGGCTCAGACTGGGTCTACCACTGGAGCCTGTGCCATTAACCTCAGAGCTGCCCTCTGTAATGTCTCAGTGAGGCAGTCTGTATTTTAAGAAAACTGCTGTCTGCATGGCTGTTTAACAAATGACTTGTGGGGTGACTAGGTGGCTCAGTTGGTTAAGTGTCTGACTCTTGATTTTGGCTCAGGTCATGATCTCAGCATTGTGAGATGGAGCCCCGTGTCAGGCTCTGCATTGGGTGTGAAGCCTATTTAAGATTCTCTCTCTTCCTCTCCCTCTGCGCCTCCCTCCCTCTAAAACAAACAAAACAAATGACTTGTGATCTTTTTTCCAGATTGTACGAACGGATCTGAAAGAGTTAAGAGATTTCAATTTGGATGGTGCTCCTTATGGCTATACTCCTTTCTGTGACAGCCGAAAAGAAATGGACGGCTACCGGTTCTGGAAATCAGGGTACTGGGCCAGTCATTTGGCTGGGCGAAAGTATCATATCAGGTATTGAAAAAGGAGTACTCTCAGTGTTGTTTGATTTTCTTTTCTTAAAAAATTTATTTTACATACTTGAATTTGTGAACAGGTAATAAACTAACATGGTTCAAAAATAAAAATTATGAAAAATATGCTGTGAAAAATAATCTTCCCAGTCCTTTCCGTCTTCTACCCAGTTCCCATTTCTACAACAGATAACCTACTTTATTAATTTACTATATGTCCTTCCAGAGTTTCTTGATTCTTACATTAACAACTGAACTTCTTTTTTTACACAAAATATACCATCATACTTACAGTTTTGTGCCTTGCTTTATTTAATATCTCTAGTAGATATTACATCAGTGTGCTGAGAGAGAGACCTTCCTTTTTACATCTACATATTATTCCAGTATATCTGTTATTTATGGTATTTTGCTGTGACATACAGTGTTGCAGTGAGTAATTAAATACATCAGTATGTTTCAAATATATCTGTAGGACAAATTCCTAGAAGTAGAACTCCTAGGATGGACTGTGTAACATTACTTTATCTGCTCTGGGCCGAGTGTGGTTTGGAAGATCTGGAAGGTCTGGGGATGTGTAGGTAGCAGCATTTACAGAGATAAATGTTGGGGTTTGGTGAGTTCTTTGTCATCAGTTAATGTTCTTGGTCCAGAAGATCTGTAACCTTGGGGGTTTTTTTCCCTGCAGCATTTAAGACATCATCAGGATATCTTTGACTGATGGTTAGCTTTTATTACCTAATCTGCTGACGTTTGGTAGAAGTCTTCTTTTGTCAGAGATTTAAGGTAGCTAAATAAGGAAGGCAATTTAATAAGGGAAAGTGACAAAGTGAGCTTGTGGTGGCAGAATATGGGTTTTGCAATAATTTCCTGAGCCATCTTTGAAGGAGCACATACTGACCCTGAGCTCCACACGGAGGCCACAGCTTACTTTTTCAAAGAGAGGCCAGGCTGTTTACCTGGTGAACATTATTCAGCGAGGTTACTTTTTCTGCCACAATCCATGGTTATAACAAGTAGTTCTTCTCTATCCAGTGCACTATATGTCGTGGATCTGAAGAAGTTTAGGAAAATAGCTGCTGGTGACAGACTCAGGGGACAGTACCAAGGTCTGAGTCAGGATCCTAACAGCCTTTCAAATCTTGATCAAGTAAGTGGCTATTTTTTTTGGTTAACACTTTCAGTGATGGGTATGCAATATTGTGTCAGGAATTAAATTTTTATTTTCCTCTCAATTCTCTCCTCCGTTGGGACAATGTTTTGTTTCTTCATGGAAAGGAATTGTAGTGTGTGTGTGTGTGTGTGTGTGTGTGTGACATTTTTATCCTCAAGAGAAGACATACTAGTGAAAAATGTCGTAGGCCTGATGTGAGTTTGGAAGGGAGATGGAAGGAGGATGCTGCCTCTTCAAACCATTACCGTATCTTTTAATTTTGCACCCAAGTTATCTTGTTTGATAAATTTGTTTCTCTGCCTGCTAGGAGCAATTTGTTTCTTTTTAGGAACTAATTAGCAAAGATTCACAGTAGATAGTCTCACAATTTCCCTTTTTTCCTTTTTCTTTTCTTTTTTTAAAGATTTTATTTATGTGTCAGAGAGAGAGAGAAAGATGACAAGCAGGGGGCGCAGCAGGCAGAGGGAGAAGCAGGCTCCTCGCCGAGGAAGGAGCCTGATGTGGGACTCAATCCCAGGACCTTGGGATCATGACTTGAACTGAAGGCCCACGCTTAACCAATTGAGCCACCCAGGCATCCCTCCTTTTTTTCCTATGTCAGAAACTATGGTGTTTTTTGTGTTTGTTTTTTTTTTTTTAAACTGGTGGGTTTTTTTTCTTTAAATTTTTTATTGTTATGTTAATCACCATACATTACATCATTAGTTTTTGATGTAGTGTTCCATGATTCATTGTTTGTGCATAGATAGCACCCAGTGCTCCACGCAGAACGTGCCCTCTTTAATACCCATCACCAGGCTAACCCATCCCCCCACCCCCCTCCCCTCTAGAACCCTCAGTTTGTTTTTCAGAGTCCATCGTCTCTCATGGTTCGTCTCCCCCTCCGATTTCCCCCCCTTCATTCTTCCCGTCCTGCTATCTTCTTCTTCTTCTTTTTTTTTTTCTCAACATATATTGCATTGTTTGTTTCAGAGGTACAGATCTGTGATTCAACAGTCTTGTACAATTCACAGCGCTCACCATAGCACATACCCTCCCCAATGTCTGTCACCCAGCCACCCCATCCCTCCCACCCCACCCACACTCCAGCTACCCTCAGTTTGTTTCCTGAGATTAAGAATTCCTCATATCAGTGAGGTCATAGGGTACATGTCTTTCTCTGATTGACTTACTTCACTCAGCATAACACCCTCCAGTTCCATCCACGTTGTTGCAAATGGCAAGATCTCATTCCTTTTGATAGCTGCATAATATTCCATTGTATATATATATACCACATCTTTATCCATTCATCTGTTGATGGACATCTTGGCTCTTTCCACAGTTTGGCTGTTGTGGACATGGCTGCTATAAACATCGGGGTGCACGCACCCCTTAGGATCCCTACATTTGTATCTTTGGGGTAAATACCCAGTAGTGCAATTGCTGGATCGTATGGTAGCTCTATTTTCAACTTTTTGAGGAACCTCCATACTGTTTTCCGGAGTGGTTGCACCAGCTTGCATTCCCCGTGGTGTTTTTTTTTTTTTTAAGAAGTTTAACCAAATCAATTTATTAATGCTAAATATTTTCGGAAGTAAGATAATAGTTTGTTTTAGATACCTAGTTTTACATATTTTGTTTTGCTTAAGTCTGCCTTAAACATTTTAAAACTGTTATTGTGATATATAGCACCCATAAAGGAAAGCATACAAAACAAAATTATACCGATATATATACATATTCATATGCATCAGTGAATTACCACAAAGCAAATGCCCATATACCACCATCCAGTTCAAGAAATAGAACATTACTAGCATCCCAGCAGCCACTTTTCTTCTCTAACAGAAGTATCCAGCATCCTGACTTTGGTGGTAATTACCTCAATTCTTTTCTTTATAGAATTACTACTTGAACGTGTATCCTTAAATACTGTAGTTTAGTTTTGCCTGTTTTTTTTCTCACTACCTCAGTTGTATCTTAAAAGCTGTACTCTTCTGAATCTAATTTCTTTTGCTCAACATTATGTTTGTGCAATCCATCCATTTTGTTGTGTGTAGTGGTACTGTGTTTTGTTTATACTACATTTGGGTTGTTTTCCATTTTTGTCTTCCATGGATAATGCTGCTGTGATCATGCATGCAACTATCTTGATGCACATGTGCACATATTTCAGTTGTGTGTACAACTACATGTGGAATTACCAAGTCATCAGATTTGTATGTTTATCTTTATTAGACGATCCTAAACAGTTTTCCAGAGTTCTAATTTATACTCCCACCAGCCATATAAGAATTCCTGTTGCTCTGTGTTTTGACCAGTACTCACTGTCAGTCTGTTAATTTGGTATATGTGAACTACCATCCTATGTGGCTTTCATTTAGAGAGTTTATTACATTTACATTTTCTATAATTATTAGTCAAGTAGGATTTACATCTGTCATTTTAATTCCCTTATTTCCTGTACTGTATATTTTTGAGTTATTTTCTCAGTGGTTTTCCTGCTGATTATCATTAACACTTTAACTTATGACAATTTAGTTTGGGTTACTAACAACTTAATTTCAGTAGTATACAAAAACTTTGTTCCTATATAGCTTTGTTCCCCTCCTTCCCATACTTTTATTATCATACAGTTTGTATGATACATTGTATATATATTGTATAATACATTATATACCCATCAACACAGATTTATAATTACTACTGTTTGTAATTGTTTTTAAACCAGGGAGGAAAAAGGAGCTCTAAATAAGAAATACATTGATAATTATCTTTTATATTTACCTACATACCTTTACTGGTGCTTTTTATTTCTTCATGTAGATTTGAGTTACTGGTTAGTGTCCTTTCATTTCAGCCAGAGGTCTCCCTTTAGTATTTCCGATAGGTTGGCTCTGGAGCTACAAACTCTTGGGGGTAATTTTCTCCTTCATTGTTTTTGATGGATAGTTTTGCTGGATATAAAATTCTTGCTTGTCATTTTTTCTTTTTCTCATATTTTTCTTTGAATATATTGTCCCACACACTGTTAACCTCCATGTTTTGTGATGAGAAGTTAGCTCTTACTCTTGAGAATCCCTTACCTGACAAGTCACTATCTCCAGTCTTTTCTTTTGATAGTTTTGATTATGATGTAGCTAGGTTGGGTCTCTTTTGAGTTAATCCTACTTGGAGTTCATTGAACTCCTTGAATGTGTAGGTTAATGTTTTTCATCAAGTTTGGGAGGTTTTATTTCTTTATTATTTCTGCCTCCTTTTCTCTCCTCTTGGGACTCCCATTGAATGTGTTCATATATTTGACGGTTTCCCACAGTTCTCTGAACTCTATTTTTTTTTCATTCTTCTTTCTGCTCCTGGAAAATCTTAAGACTGGATAATCTCAATTGATTTATCTACAGTTGACCTGATTATTTTTTCTGCTACTCAAATCTGTGGCTGAACCCATCTAGTGAATTTTCATTTAAATTATTGTGTTTTTTAACAGTAGACTTTGTTTGCTTCTTTTGTATAATTTGTACCTCTTTATTCTCTAATTTACTATTTATACTAATTAATACCAGTTACTACTAATAATATTAATTACTAATTAATATACTTTCCTTTAGTTCTGTTAGACTTGGTTTCCTTTGTTCCTATTTGAACATATTTAAGGTACCTGATATAAAGTCCTTGTGTTGTAAATTCAATGTCTAGGCCTCCAGAAGTATAGTTTCTATTGATTACTTTTTACCCCTGTATATGGGTTTTGTATATTTGGTATTTCGCATGTCTCTTCATTTTTGTTGAATACTGAAAACTTCAAGTAATGTAGTGTGGCAACTCTGGAAATCAGACTTTCTCCTGTCCCCAGGCTTTATTCTTGCTGCCTATTGCAGTAGTAATTGTTTGTTTTTGGACTTCTAAACCAGTTCTGTGAAGTCTGCATTTTTGGTCTGCCTGATTAGCTTAGTGGTCAGCTAAAATTGGACAGTGATTTCCTTAAGTGTTCAGAACCCCTAAGACTTCCATTCTTTGCCAGCGGCCTCTGGGTGCATATTGGGACACATCCTCAACAGTTAGCCAGGCAGTTTACAACTCTACCTTCTTTGTTGCGTAGAGCCTCAGGATCAACCAGAGATGAGAGCTTATGGCTTTATTAGGTCTTTCTTGCTTATGCACACACCACTGAGCATGCTCAGAGCCTTATACATGTGCATGGCTTTCTGTTTTCCCAGGAATATATCTTTTCTTTTCAAAGCCTCCTATGGATATCTAATTCTTTGGTTTCTCCTGTTAAGAATTTTGCTTAGTTTATTCTTTGCTCCACTTTAGACAGCCTCGGAAAGCTTAGTACAATCCTCAAGTGCTGCTGAGGAGAAGCTTTCTATCATTGGGTTAAGTTCAACTGAGATTGAATAAATGGGCCTATATAGTACAGTCTTTAAGTAATGGTTGTGCTTTGGGAATGAAGCTTGAAAGACCTCCAGCCTTGTTCTCCTTCCTCCAGTATGGGAGTTCAGGCTGTTATTTTTTGAGGCTGATGGGGAGCAGGAGAATAGGAATAGGGTAAGTTCAGATGCCTCAAAATTCACTGTTCTTATCAACATTCAACCATTTTTTGGTTGACTTTTAGTTGCTCCTTTCTGTAAACCTTTGGTTAATTTCCAGGATTCTGAAAAAAGTTGGTTCTATTTTTGTCATGTTTTTGGCTGCTTTTATGGAGAGGTGAACTTTCAGAGCTCCTTACTCTACTACCATTTTTTGCTGATGTTCCTCCTCATTGTGGTTTTATTTTGCATTTCCATTATTAATATAATGAAGTTGAGTACCATTTTGTGTGTTTATGGCCATTTAGGTATTCTCTTTTGTGATATGCTTATTTAAGTATTTGGGCTGTTTGAAATTTTTCTTCTTGATTTATGGGCATTCTTTTATATATACTGATAGTGTATCCTTTGTTATATATGTTGCAAAATTTCCCACTTTAACTCTCTTAATGGTATCTTTTGTAG